TGTATATTTCCAGAAGTATTTAATATTTATGTGTAATAATTTTTCAATCCTATTCATATAACGACTGTAGCAAAGTTTTATCAGCCTTTTGACGCGAGTTCTAAGTAGAGAAAATTCCTGGTAGTCACGTAAATTGTTGTATGTCTTCCAACGATTCCAAAGTTTTTGCTTTCGATTTAACGCACTTATTAGACCTTTACTAAACCAGACAGGATATCGATGTGACTTACGTTTGATTAGTGGCACGTGAGTAGCAAAAAATAAATTTAGAATAAAAAATTGCAACAGCATCTTCAACAGTGGAGTTGGAAGTAAAGAAACCCAATCGATCTCTTCTATGGCCTTATTAATTAATTCATAATCAGGTTGAAAAAGTTTCTCCGATTAATACTATTTGATGACATAACGGAGGCCTATTAATTGTTAATAAAATATCTAAAGCTGGATGATGAGGTACTATGTTAAGGAGCGGGTCAACTGAGCTATCTATACAGGTAGGCAGTGTAGATAGAACAAGATCTAAAAGTACGAATTAGAGTTATAAATAGAATTAATTTGTTTTAAATCCATAAAAGACATAGTATGCAGCAATAGTTTGGATGATTCAGTATTAGCAGATTGTAGTAAGATGTAGGGTAGAAGACCAGATAAGATTGGATAAATTAAAGTCACCAGTAATTACATAGTGGAAAAGCGCAAGAAGAGAAGACATCGTGTGGTATGAAAAAAAGATTGAAATGTAGTAGTGTGCGTCGCCGGTGGAAAGTAACAAGCGTAAGTAAGTATGAGTAGATGAAGTGAATGTATATTTTTCCAGATCAGAAGATTCAAATTCAGTCATCCTAACTGCTCCAATCTCTCTTTTAGTCATTACTAAGACACCTCCACCACCTTTTTTACGAGTACGTACGAGATCTCTATCACGCCGAAATAAATCATAATTATTCAAGTGTAGCTCTCCGTCCAAAATAGAATCTACCAACCAAGTCTCTACCAGAACAATAATATCGTAATTACTAGAAGCAATGCTAAATTTTAGTTCGTTAAGTTTACTCTTTATGCCTCCACAATTCTGGTAATAAATGAGTAAGCTATTTTGAGCCATTATCCATAGTCAGACACTATAAAGTAAAAAGCAAGAATCGAAAAGAGTAAAACCAGTATCGCGCTCTGTACTGCAATCAAAAAGTATGCAAACAACGTGTAAAATAACTTAGTAGAAAAAGAAAACGTATTAACATTAAAAACTAAAATCAATTCAAAACTTAAAACTAAATACCAATGAAGGGCAAGCAAAATATTCCTGGAATTTATAGGGTATCCAACCACAGGGTAATAATTTAGTCAAGATAATTTGGCTAAATCGTCTAGAGAACGCATTTGGGTAACCCTACTCTCGTCAGACTTTCTGATAAAAATACAGCAATTCTTAACCCATACATATTTGTAACCCTTATCTTTGGCCAGCTGGCGCGTTTTACTAAATAAGATTTTGTTTTTCAATGTTAAGTGCTCATTAACAAAAAACCGACTATTATCATCTACATCCGAAACAGTTGCAGATCCACTGAGTAGTTGACCAACCGTTAAGGAACCCCGCACACGAGCTGCTGCAATAAGATCGTCACGTTTCCTGCGAGTCGCCAATTGCAGTATAATATTTTTAGGTCGATTTGTCGGTATTCCGGGGGCAACTCGATGAACATTTTTTATGTCGTAATCCTTTAAGTCGACATTTAAGATCTTGCCAAGTGTGAGGGATAGTTGCATGAGATTTTCACCTTTTCTTTCAGGCACATTTTGAACCTCAAGGTTGCAACTTCGAGAAGTTTGATCGAGGTCGTCGAATCTGGAGGAGAGAGTGTTTAACTCTTTACGGAGTACGGCATTTTCTTCCAGAATTGTAGGTGATAAAATGGCGGAATGCGTGGTTTCCGCCGATTCTACTTGAGCTAATCTATCCTCCCATGCACTCATTCGACTTTCCAAGGCATTTATGTCGTTCCGAAATGTTCGCGATACCTCCGAAATAGCGTATTTTAGGTCATCGCGCCACTGTTGCATTAAGTCGGCAAGTTTTAAGTCCATATACTTTGTTAACGCCTCCGTGTCAATATTTAAGGACGCTGCTAAGCTAGATGCGGGTGAAACTGTTGTCGATGGAATAGTTTTCTTTTTAGATTTGCATTCAGCACACTTCCATTTAATTTTGTTCATCGGTAAAATTTTCTTAAAATCCTGTTCGGACAATTCAGCACAGTAAAAATGCAACCATGTAAGGCATGAGTTGCACTTGATACCCTCAATATCTGTAATTTTCTTCGTGCATCTACCACAATCCATGATTACAAACGTAATATAAGTAGTAATCGAATAGAATAATCGAAGGTGGCCAAAAAACCTTGTATCCAATCGACTAAACTATAGTACGGGCAATGTTGGTACGCCCGGTTATCAAATGTTAAGTGTCAAATCCAAGTGACAATAATTGACAGCGTCAAATGTATGTTTTATATGTCATTGACTATTTGAGGGTATTTTGAAAATGGAACCAAAAATCACTTATGTTTAAAAAGTTTTTTCTATTAATTTCTCTAATGAATCAGGATGCTTGATAGGAATCTCCAATATATGTGATTAGCAATACCTCCAGGAAGAAATCGGTGCACTTGTTACGAGGATTCACTGGGTATTTACTTGAACACACTAATAAAAGCTATACACAAAACGTAGGTGGTCTAGGTGGTAAGAGAGATGTCGCAGAGATTTTTAACTAAGTAATATTAAAAAAATATTACTCATATACTTATTCCCGGAGCTGAAAGACATAAAAGTCCAGTAAAATCGTAAAACACCAGCCAAAGCGCTTTACATTATTGTTTTCGGTTTTGCGAGCAAATTCAGATGTTTGTTTAGGACGAAGCGATGTTTTGGGGCTCTTGTTTTCGAGGCCCGTCATTAGAATATCAAGTTCTAATAAAAAATAACATTGAATCAATATTTTTGAAGCGGTTCGTTTACGGTAGGCTGCAAATGGAGCGAAGTTTAATTTATAGTCACGTCTGATTCTTTGAACGCGCTATCGCTATTGACAATGGCACGATTGGTCTGGCAGTACATATTGTATGACTTTATAACTACTATACTAAATTATCGACCAATAGAAAGCTGAATATAAATACTTTTTCCTGTTTCAATGTTTACTCCAACTTTGTTTAGTTCTAATTGGTACTGAGAAACCTTTTCAACAGACACTACACACAATACTCAGCCCAACTTATTACAGAGCGTAGTATCACAAGGTGTAAAGAGGCTCACACTTATATACTATATAGAATAAAGTGAATACAAGTGTGAGAGAGATTTCCCTAAAGTGAAAATGTAAATCCGAATCATATTAGTAAGGTAACTGTATAATTTATATTTCATCATTATAGCTACGGCCCGACGTCGCCCCGCTGACCACCGCTGCTGCAAAGCATTCAAAGCATCGAGTGTTAGTTATAAATTGAACTTAACTAATGGAATGGAACTTAAATAATAACTTAATAACCCTTTTTTATTAAAAAGTTACGATATACTACAATTCGAGATATTATACTAATAATGCACTAACTGTACCTACTGTTGTTGAAATATATGCGAAAAGCTGTAATGCGACCTTTCATATTCAATATGCTCTCACAAATTCAATGGGTTTCCTTGAATTTCGTTGCCCTCTGACATAAAATTTTATAGCAAACTCCAATTCTGTTATTGCGTAGGCCTGAATACATTATTTTATTAATGCCTATTTTATTGGTGAGCTTTTCTGTCGAATATATTTGAACAAAACTAATGGTTACGTATTTTATACAGTTTCACAAAGCGTCTATTCATTATGTTTTGTAAAAGCGTTATTACTCCGCTACGTAAACGTTACGTGTAACGTAAAGGTCGAATTTATATTCATTCTTTACTCTTAATAGAAAAAGTGTTCCAGAAATTTTTATTTATATATATATATATATAACTGTATTTTTTAATATTATATGTGACGAAGCGCTGTCCGATGGCTCGATAGAATATCCCAAATAAACGTCTTTTCGTGCGGTACAAAAGACTATTGAAATATTCAAAACGAATTAACACAAATTCCGCTTCGATGGATTCGATTTAAACGAATTACTTTTGCAGTGCAGTTAATTTAATACAGCGGCACTAATATCGTAACCGATCGTTCGTGATGGTGACTACTATTGACTCTGAACAAGACTCCAATCGCGTCCCGATTGGAACCACTGATCGGTGGGCACGAGACCGCATCACTACCAAAAATGCCTACCCCGCCATTTTTTTCAAATAAAAATTTGTCAATAACCACCTCTCAACTCTCAATGAGAGTTTGTCAACCATCAATGCCACTAAATCGACTATACTCAATTCGCAAGATTTACTTGACGCTTCCGCATCTTTAGGTGTATAAACAAACTATCCGGTCGATTTGGTGAAAGTAATAGATAAGGGCAGTACTGTAAGCTTTAAAATATATTAAAGGCTAATTAGCTTTATATCTTACTAGCTATGTCAGCGACTTCTTCCGCTCAGTATATTTATTTTGGGCAGCCAAATTCGTTTTAAACTTAAGCTGTAACCCACGACGTCAGTCGAGTTCCTTTCCGTCGTTCTTGCAAGTTAACCTTAAGAGATAGACATATAGTGTCGCGGACTTTTATTGGACACAGAGATGAAAAATTTCCCCCGTTTTGTTCACATTTCCCGCTGTACCTTCGTTTCTATAAGTCACAGCGCGTTGTTGTTGATGTTTTATAGCTATAGCCTTCCTCAATATTCACATTTTTCAATTTGAAACAGTGGTTTCTGAGATTAACGCGTTCAAACAAACAAATAAACTAACTCTTCAGCTTTATATATTAGTATAGATATAGATTAGATGGTGTTTCACATTAAGACAAATTGAAGATTTTACAAGTATAGTAATGTGTTAATGATCATTTCAGGTGGTAAACAGTGGTGGCACCGCCATCGTTAACTGCACTTGGGGTGGCTGGCCAGCGCCACGCCTGGAGTGGCTCCACAATGGTATACCAGTCAGCACAGGTATCGCCGGTGGCAGAGTCAGGGTTCAAAACAGCGGGGAACAACTTGTAATCACATCTGTACACCGGACTGATAAGGGGGTATATCAATGTATAGCAAGGAACGAACGTGATTCAGCCCAGGGGAGCGCTGAAGTTAGATTGGGAGGTAAGTCTTTGATATATATAAATTGAGTTATCAACGGTAGAAGCCCAATGTTTGGTACGTCTTTAGAAAATATAAATGCATTTAAAATGTATTGTACTACTATGTTATATATAACAAGGGCATAGACTGGGCGATAACTGGGCAGAGGTTTTTAATTCCATCACTTATATACCTATATTTGTATACTTTGTAAAATCTGTAGTACGTTTTTTATTTGTGTCTGTCATTCAACATTTTTGACGACCGTTTACGACTTTATCAACATAGTAAGAGATAGTTTGGGACATTGGACATTACATATCTTATTACTTACATCTTAAATTTGATTGCTGTTGATGATGGATAGATTACATAGTAGTATTTATCTATTTCTGGTAGGTTAAGAAAAATAAACATGAACTGCCAATTACAAAACACAATATTATTATGTATGTTGTACATAATTATATGTAGTTTAAATATTGATTCTTACAGACACAGCACCAGAACTACAATACACTTTTATCGAACAAGTATTAAGGCCTGGACAAGTCGTAACCCTAAAGTGTTCTGCAGCCGGCTCCCCTCCTCCACATTTTAGCTGGATGCTCGATGGACAACCACTTAATACCATGGCCAGAGGGCACCGGTAAACTATTAAAAAAAGCAATAAAAAACAATTAATATTGTTTAATAAATATAAATTAAAGTTTCAACATATACGGATAAATTCATACATTGTGTGTTAAAAATTGAATAACAAATTCATATAAAAAAAGAGTATCTTCGAAATTAGATTGTTAGTTCTTAAAAGCTCCACTAGATGGCGTTTACATCAATTTCAACTATCTTTAATAAATTTGTAACATTTTCAAACAAGTAAAGATTGGTTTGAACTTGAATGAGGAATCACATTAAATTTACGAATCTCTTACAGATATAGTGTAGAACAATTTGCGACGAAGAACAATGACGTGGTGAGTTACCTCAACATCTCTGCTGTAAGATCCGAAGACGGAGGTCTCTATACTTGCAAAGCGGCGAATTCATTGGGAGAAGTCTCGCATACATCTAGACTCAATATTTACGGTAATTTGATTTGACTATATTGGAATAGTGCTTAGTAAAACATAAACATTAAACATCTTTCTTTCATTCTTCATGCTCTATGCTCAGGACAACCTGATAATTTCAACCCTCTCAGCTTGTATTTATGCTTTACACCTAGTCTTGCCATAAATACTGTAACAAAGAAAAACACTTTTTTTCTATTGAAAATAACGTTTATTATTTTTACAGGGGTTAGTTTAAAACTCAAATATATAGCAAGTTAAATAAATAAAACTTATTAAAAATAATTTCAATTGGCGGCAATACAGTCCTTTACTAATACTGCTTTAACCACCTTTTTCGTACGAACACTACGTCGATGGTCAGATCTTTTTCTGTCACACACAGAGGAGGTCTCATTGTATCTATTAATAGTGCGGTACACCAATATTTTATTTATACCAAGCGTATGGAGAGTATTAAATATTACATTTGGCTTCAAATCTTCTTGGCAGAATGCAAGCGATTCTGTTCCCTTTTCACACCACATTTTTATATCAAATATTATTGTAAAATTTATTAGCGCAAAGATGAGGTAATCCATTGAACAATAATATAATAATTACAGGTTCCAAATTCAAATATATTATTTTGACCTTTTTTAATTGTAACAGTATTTATGGCCAGACTTAATATTTTAACCTTAAACGCATTTTTTAAGATGTTTTATTTTTTGTACAATTTACTTGTCGTTGTCTTCACACTGTCTTTGTAATTTTAACATGTTGAGTCTATCTAAAACTTACACAATTTTGTTTTTTTGCCTATTTAAAGTTATGTCGTGCAAGTAATTGTGATAAAAACATCGACAGCCCTTAAATCAGTAAATAAAATAATATGTTGGTCTAAGACAATGTATTTCAAACACTAACTAAATATTTCAGGACCACCATATGTACGCTCCATAGGCCCTATTAGAGCAGTAGCTGGTCGTGAGTTGGTGCTGTATTGTCCATATTCTGGCTACCCGATTAGGTAAGGGATAGTATATTTTATTTCTTCTCAATTCTCTTTATTCGTTTTTAAAATATTTATAATCAAATACTTTTTGTAGTTGACGTGAGTATTACATATTTAAATAATACATTTTAACGGTTTAAATATATAAGTAAAACTAATTTGAAAATTATTTTAACTACGACCTCTTTAAAATCGTTAAAGTGTTTTATATAAATATTTATAATCGATTTTTAATATACAGTGCCATGATGTACAATAAATAATATGTGAAAAATATTAAAGTTTTCAAACGTTAAACTTTGTAATTTTATCTTCAATGATTTTCTTAAACTGAAAAGCATAAGATATCAAACTTTACTTAATACGTAAGTATTAATTTTTAAATTACTTTGCGCGAGAGGTGCACGTATCAATAAATTGAAAAACTCGACGATGACTTGTAGGTTACGATAGCTTAATTGGTTAAAGCAACAGCACGGAACGCTGTGGATGTCGGTTCATGTCCAGTCCGTATTTTTTTTTTAATTATAATCGACTTTTAATTTATATAGATGCCATCCTGTGAAATATATTACGTTTTACAAGTATTTTTTAACCTTTCAAAAAGTCTTTGTAAATAAATGTATTTATTTCTCTCATTATAGTTCAGTGAAATGGGAACGCGATGGGAATCAAGTAGACTGGGACAACAGCGTTACGGGCGCACTCAGGGTATCCCGAGTGGAGGCTTCTCACGGAGGAGCATACACTTGCACAGTGACAGGACCACATGGAGAGATCGCCAGAAGAGAGCTTCAGCTCGTTGTCAGCAGTCAGTCCATGTTTGTTGATCGTAGAAATTTAGGATGAATAAGTTTGCTTATATTCTATAATATTTTGTAGATTGTAAAAAAATACATAGAATTGTGGTTAACTTAACTGAAGTAACTCTTTAAAGTCAACAAAACAAAAAATGTGGACACCGAAAATCTAGAGTCAGATTAACAATCCATTTTATTTTTCCTTAGCAGTGTATAAATGAAAAAGAATTTATATGACTTTTAATCATTTCCGCCAGATAAAATCATCTTACTAGTGTTTTTATATTGTTTTAAAATTTATAAAAAAATATAAATATGTAACGTGCGTCGTGGTGATTAAAGTAACTTTAATATATAAGTTCTAAGGTCGCAGGTTGCTGTCGAAAAGCACTTAATGCAAGTGTGTAAAGCTATACTTTTATTTCAGATCCCCCAGAAATCGAACCGTTCTCATTCTCAGCGAATCTTCAAGAAGGGAAACGCGCCCAAGTTAGCTGCAGCGTTATCTCTGGGGATATGCCCGTCCACTTCATGTGGCTTAAGGACAATGGACCTATACCATCTTCTCTTCAGGTATTTTTTTTTTGTTTTTGGTTGTACACTGATAGATATTACTATTATTGGCGTTATCTTCGTTGACAATCTTAAAATAAAAGAATAATCCTTCAAAGAAAAAGTTTAAGGTACCTTGAAAAGTGAAAGATGGTAGTTGAAAAGCCCTTATTATATAGGTGGAAGAGCGTGGAGCAGATTTTTTCAGCAATCTTGTATTCAAAGAGGTGTCAGCCCGCCACAGTGGACTGTACACATGTGTCGCATCGAACAACGCGGCCAAAGTTAACTATACTGCTGAGCTGGTGGTCAAAGGTAACCACAACCCAGCACTCCGCACCAGCACTTAGCCCCATCTGCACCACCTCGCACGTCATCTGCCAAGCACCAAGTCACGCTTCGAATAGATCTCGTTGGGGTTCTATTGGTTTAGACGAAATTAGATATTTACACATCTTCATTTGTTTTTAGTCATGACTTATGTATAGATTCGCTTAAAACGTTCTTATAACTAAGCTTTTTTTTGTTCTGCACATCTTGGATTACAGATGGCTAGATGGAGCGGGTAATTAAATCAATTTAATTCAAAGCTCTTTTAATTCGCGAACGATTATATTAGGTTATATAAACAACGTTGTAACGGACACACAATATTTTTTCGACAAAAAAAAATATTTTTTCGGTACCTGGAGAGTTAAATAATCATTTTAATTGTTTAATCTTATTATGCTACCCGGAGGTAAGAATTAGTCAATGTAGACACTTAAGTTCCAGATCTACTATTGCATAAAAATTTAATATGTCTTTATTTCGCATGCTGCAGTGTCTCCCAAATGGGTGACAGAGCCAAAGGACGAGGCAGTATTAGCTGGAGAATCTGTTGCTATGCACTGTGAGACCATGGGTTCTCCAAATCCTCTGGTCACTTGGTTAAAGCAGAGGGGTAAATATTTTTATGTTTATTTCACTAATATAACTTATTTTTTAAATATTTTTTGATGTATAGAATTTAGACCAAGGCGATATGTAAGTATCTATGACGCATTTAAACTCTATAGAGATGATTTCTATTTCAGGGAATAAACGTTGATTATTATACGATTGTACTTCTATTTTATACTTTATGCGTAAGTCTTGCATTAAAAAAACTATAATTAGTTATATTTCAATAAATCACTTAAACGGTTTAAAACGCGATTAACATTAGTTACACTTATTTGAACACATACAATCACCACGTGACCAAGGATGCTGCAAATCACTCGCAACCTCAGGCCGTTAAAATTTATTTTCAAATAGTTTTAAACTAATATATACCACGTTTCAAACCGTTAAAGTCTTTTTAATTTTTCATAAAATTTCTAAAGCTGTATCTTTATTAACTATCACTACAATAAAGACAATGTCTAAAATCTTTTGTATTTCTGTAATAGCTGGCTCGGCGTCCGACTACACCCCGCTTGTAAACCTGGGCGGGCGTTTTCAGTTCCACTCAAATGGCACTTTGTGGGTGGAGGCGACCCTCCCATACGACGAAGGTTACTATATGTGCCGGGCAGAAAATGGCGTCGGAACTCCACTATCGAAGACTATTTTTTTAGCAGTTAATGGTACTCAATAATATTGTAAACAGCTTACATATTAATAAAAGTACTTAAATGGCGATGACGGTTCTTCTAGGCATAATTTAATTTGATGTTAAAATTTAAGTTTAGTATATTGGTTTATGAATTTGTTGATTTAAGCATGTCACTGTTTTTCGGGCTGTTCGGCCGACGTAATTGAAAAGAGGTTCTCGACGTTTTGTTTCCGCATCATCATTATTATTAATTAATTCTTCGAACAATCGAGGTGCTAACAACATCTCCTGATGATGCCGTCCGCCCGTGATGACGAAACGTCGGGAACCTCGAACAGACAGAAGTCGAAGAAAATAATGATATGCTGAACGGTGGTCGATTAATTAAGTGCTGATTTTATACAAAGCTTTCGTTTACATTTACATTTAAGACTGTCAATTTTTAGATTTAAAAACAAACAGTTTGTATTGAATCTTCTGGTCTCCAATATGAGAAATTTTCGATTTTGGTACAAAGAACATTCAACGAGTGCATCAAAGGTGCCATTAACTTTTAAACCTAGTTCATGTAACTTTTCGTAATTATTCTAGAACCAGCTCGTTTTGAAGTGACGTCACACAATGTATCAGCTAGACGGGACTCCGCTGCGACCCTTGCCTGTGAGGCACGTGGAGATGCTCCGTTACGACTCACCTGGTCTCGAGCCGCACGAGCCTTGGATTTATCCACGTATAGGTAAGGAAACATACGCTACGCTTAAATGTCACACAATGTCAACCAGTGTAACATTTTTCTTTTGGAAGTAATCATGAGAAAGATAAAAATGATCACGACATAGTGTCAACCAGCTGTTCCGGCAAACGCTGTTTTGTTGCTTGCAAGATTACCTTACAAATATTTGGTAATAACGCATTAGTTTCAACCAAATAGGATTACCATCAAAACGACCTTTGCGAGTAATCTTAAAGATAGACATAACTGTCGCGGACATTTTTTAGTTCGTTTAAAGATAAATAAGTCTTTTTGACTTTCTTTGGTTTCTTGGACCGTTTTCGTAGCACACGGAAGCCCTCGAAGATGAATTAGTTTGTCCGTTTTTTTACACATTTCTCGCTGTTTATTAGCTCTTATTAGTCATATCGTGATGTTTTATAAAGCCTTCCTCGATAAAAACTCTAAGAAACACAAAAAGAATTATTGAAATTTCTAACCACTAGTTCCTGGCAGCACGTTTAATCAAACTATTAAGCTGTCTATATTAGTATATATAAAATATAGATTAAATGTTATCTAATATTATACATATCACAAGGGGTTATCTTATTCTAGAATAAGCGTGTCCGAAGCAAAAACAGACTCGGGTCTACGCTCTCAGCTGTACATCAGTCGCACAGAACGTCAAGATTCCGGGGTCTATAAATGTCAAGCCGTCAACGCCTATGGACACAGCGACCATTATATTTATTTATCCGTCCAAGGTAATATAAGTCCTTGAAATAACATATTATACGTAGCCAAACGCCTTCGTTTGTCATTTAATTTATTTAGGCTTCGGTCTGTGGATTTCCGAATACCCAAATCCAAAATAGGTCGACAGCGTATCGTCTTAAGGTATAATTGAATTGAAGGTGAATGAACCCCATGCTTCTGTCCTCCTCTAACATTAAAAAATATATAAATCTCAATTTCATCGTCTGAGAAATTTTTTTTTCTGAATTTATATAGTTAAAAAACGTTTTCGTAATTATTAAAGTAATTGTTAATTATAACATCCAATTACACAAACAAACATTTTAAATGTAAGTTTTCTAAAGGTTAGAGCGAGCAAAGTATAAGATGTATACAAAGTTTGACACTACACCCTAAGATCTGTGTCCATTACTATATTATAAAGAAAAATAATTTTTATGCCACCAGAAAAACCAGAAACACCCCAATCTCTGTCTGTGACGGAGATACTGTCACGTGCGGTCCGTCTGTCCTGGAGTCAGGGCTTTGATGGGAATTCACCTCTGGAGGCCTACACGATACAATACTGCGCCCTCTCTGCGCAGGGGGCTATCCGCGTCTCACACTGGGATTCTGCCACAACATTAAATGTTTCAGTCCACGGATCTTCACACCCTCATGTTATGTATGTTATATGCATTTAAATAAAAAATCTTTTAACTGTTTATAACGCGAATTGAATAGGTTAAACTTATTTGGAAAAGTATTCTAACTACTGCCCGACGTTTCGCGTGCTGTGCAGCAGCCGTGTTCACGGGGAGACTCTCTCTCGTCTCTCTAATGTCAAAGTGAAAACTGCTACGCTAAGCCCATCTGTAGCGTATTATTATATTTATTTAAATGTTATATGGAGTATACAAATCTTACAACTACATAAAAAGGAGAGATTTAATCGGTTTTCTGTTTTTAAATTATCCCCGGTTTAAAAAGTTACGAAATTCAAAGTTAAATAGGATGTATTGAGATAGAAATACATAAAAGAAAGTCGTAATTTTTATGGTATAAAAAATAATAAAACTATGTTACAGACTTACAAAGAAGGGGGATATTCACTATGAATCACTGGTCAGTAACTTGAGGCCTCATACAGCTTACATGATTCGTATCGCCGCCATTAATCAAATCGACAGAAGTGCTTATACCGAACCCGTGGTTGTCAAGACGCAAGAAGAAGGTAAGAAAGGAGGAAATATATTTATTATCTATATCTTAGTCTAAAAGAACATAAAAGGTTATACAAAAGAATGGCATGCTATTTAAAAACTTGTTGTTGGTTTAAGCAGTTCCTAATCATATTTCTCTATTTTATTGATTTTAGCCCCATCGGAAGCACCAAGTAATGTGCAAGTAAGCGCTGGAGGTCCTGGCGAACTGCAGGTAAGCTGGCGAGCACCACCACGAGAAGCTTGGCACGGGGAACTCCTAGGATACTCCGTGACCTGTACAGAACTTGGGCATGACGGTGGTCAAACCAATTCATCAAGGTCAGTTTTTAATGGGTCTTGGTACATAATTGTATTATATTGATCGTTTTATTTATTTTTTTTAACTTTTATTTAAAATTCTATGTTATGTATAGCAGCTTCGCATCTTGGAATCTGTTTTTACTAAAACGATAGTATTAAATAAAAAAAATAACTGGGTTAGATTATATATAGTTGAAAAATATACTTTCCAGGACTCTAACAGTTAACGGCTGGTCGGCGACAGAGCTGAGTCTGTCATCGTTAAAGAAATTTACACGGTATGAAGTACGCGTACGTGCTTTCAATGGAGTAGCAGCTGGTCCTAGTTCTGTGCCAGTCACTGCTACAACACTAGAAGGAGGTATACACAATCATAGAATCCGCGTAGAATAGTTCTTTTAGGCACCAACAAAAAAAAAATGCAAACCCTATCTTCTGCAAAAACCCCCTCTAAGGAAAAAAAAAAAAAAACCCCAAGGGGGGGGTGGCGTTCCCCTCCTCCCTTAAAAATTTATCTTAAAAGATAGAGATATATTGTTGCGGACATTTTTTTTAGATGCTTTAAAGATGAATCATTCTTTCATTCATATTTTTTGGGTATCTAGAATCGTTTGCGCAGCGTACTCATTGAAGACCCACAAAGAACAATAATTTTCCCCGTATATAACAGCTTAAATATATAGTTCCAGAATCGCATCCAACTCGAGTGCTGTGTTCAGCTCTGTCTTCGTCCAGCATGAAGGTTTCTTGGAGCCCGCCTCCTGCCGACCAGCGAGGCGGGATCATACAAGGATATAAAGTCATCTATGCACCACTCACTACCAATCATGGTAAAATTGTCTTTTAATTACCTAATAAAATGAAAACTACTTTAAAACCAATGCTTTAAAAATCAAAAATTTTGGTTGACTTCACATTTTTATGTTATTCTATACAGTGTTAAAATTTTTTTGATTGTTATAAATTTAAAAATGATCTCAGATTCATTCGATTTAAAACACACAGAAAACAAATTCACGACGTGTTGCTGGTGTAGCCAATGGAGCGAGAATATCCACCATTAATTATATTACTCGAAAAATAAATATTAACTATCATCATACACTATTCTTAAGCTCATGGCTTAAATGAATATATAATCTGAGCGTTAAGTCCTTTTATTTACAGCTGACGTAGCGGAAATAAAGCGTGTGACTACAACAGATACGTATCTTCACACTCTTCACAAATACACCAATTATTCTATTCAAGTCCTCGCCTTTACAAGCGCGGGAGATGGCAAGAGGAGCCCCCCCGTATACTGTATGACAGAAGAAGATGGTAATTTTTTTTCCAAAGTCTTTATTCGTCAGCATTTATTTCCTATGGTCTATAGCCTCTTGATTGTCTTTAAATAATTTATTAGTTATAATGCGCCACTTACAAAATATTTATCATAGAATTTTATACGCTTTCTTTGAGACGGAAAAGGGAAGAAAAGAATCCCCCACTGCTTAGATATTGCTAAACTGTCAAACAATTAGATATTTACCGTTTAAAACAATAATAATTATTGACAACCTAGTGAAAAATTTACCTTAACAAAAATATTTACTGTGTTTTCTTGATTTACGCTATATATTCCTCGATATTGTCCAGTACCATCTTCACCAGAAAAGATAAAAGCGCTCGCGTACTCTAGTGATTCGGTGCTGGTGAGTTGGCTGCCTCCGCAACACCCCAATGGCATCATATCACACTACACTGTTTACTACAGAGAAGCTGGAAGGTATAACCAGCGGCTAAAATATCCTCATACAATATTTCGTTTGAAGTTTCAGTTTTATAATTGTGGTGGTAGTTATTACATAATTATGTGAATCTCATTATGTAACAGAAGTTTTGTTCAGTATACTTTATTGATAAATTGAGGGAAAATAATATTTTGTTAAATTCATAAATTCAAAATGATCTCTGCTTCCAGGCTGGGCAAACATTCCAGTTTCACAGTATCAGCTGAGAAGAATCAGGAAATAGAGTTAATGTTTCAAGTGCGAAACTTGATGGAGAATCAGTTGTATGAATTTTGGGTTTCGGCGACCACTGGATCGGGAGAAGGGGAATCAACTCTAGTAGTAGGACAGGGACCAAGTGCTAGAAGTAAGTAACATCTCTCTATAACAGATACTAAACCTTTCTGACTGAAATCCGATTTAAATTCAAGGTCCCCAGTCTCGCTGTTGTTTTTATATCCCTCACACATTGTATAATTAATGTAAATAAGCTGCATGTATTGTTTTAAATACCACAAGAAATCTTTACATCAGTTCCAGCTAAAATAGCATCATTTGGCGGAGTACGTTCCGTTCGATTGGGTCACAGTACCGTTCTCGCCTGTTTATGCGTAGGGGTGCCCACCCCTCGCTCGAGGTGGGCGCATCATCTGGATCCTGTCACTCATCATCACTATTATCAGGTCACGAGAGCTGGACATCTGCATATCAGAGGTAAAGAATTGATTGATGATAATTCAGATGTTGACTTTCTTATCGTATGTGAAAACCTCTTTATTTCATATATTGGAATGTGTCATCTTATCTTCTTAACATGCTATTCCGTGATCCAAAACGTAGATCTCGAGTGGGTCTATGTTACAAATTCCTGATGATGCGGTCTATTTTTTTTAATGTTTGTTTATCGTCTTTGAATAACGTTACAGAAGTCAACGAGCACTCATCTGGTAATTTTACATGCACCGCACACAACAGCATAGGCGAAGATTCCATTGTTTACGTGGTAGTGGTGGTCCTACCCCCTGGTGCACCCGCCTTATCTCTTCAGTACACCACGGCTACGAGTATTAAGCTCCACTGGCGATTACCAACAGACACCACACCAGTGTTGGGTTAGTTTCTGTACAAGCTTCTAGGTATAAGGTAAATCCAATTTGATGTTTAATTATCAGACGATACGATAATCAAAATCCTCTTTCAGGTTATGTTCTCCACTACAAGCAAGCGTCAGAACCGGAATGGAACAGCGTAGAACTATCACCAGAACTAACATCGTACACCATGGACATGCTGAAGTGTGGAACAACATACAACGCCAAGATCCAAGCCCAGAACAAGATTTCCTTGGGACCGCCAAGCGAAGTACTCACTGCTACGACGAGAGGGGGGTCGTAAGTTATTTAAATGAAGGCCTTTTTAATGCATATATAAACTATAAGTGGTATACTTGCAGTGAACAGATGCGTTCAAAATCATGAAGTTTTTTGATGGTAATGTCACTTTCAATATTGTTTTGTATACTAATATTAGGTGTTTGTGCTGTTATAGGACAAAAATTATTTTTTACAATTTTTGTATTCTTATTTGTATTTGTTTGTATTATTACCTAGTGAATGTTCGAGAATTAAAGCAATGCAAATTCCATCAACGTATATTGTAAACCTAATCTCCTACATTCAGTTATAATCAATGTATTTTCTTTTGTTACTGATTAGTTAATGTTTTTAGGCCCCAAAGCACCAAAACCAGAAGAACACGTCCACATGAACTCAACAGCAGTTAAAGTCAACTTTTACGCGTGGCGTGACGGCGGCTGTCCTATATTAGGATTCCGAGTCGCATATCGACGGGCAGGCGATGAACATTGGATTAAAGTAATGTACATTTAGTTCTTATTTGACATTTTGAATATAGTTTTAGAAATTAAAATATTTTAAGGGAAAAAGCAAAAAAAAAGACTAAAATCATTTATTCATGGGTAACTATGTTGTCAAAATAATTAAGCTCACGATTATTTTTGCCTTCGTATTTATATAATGGAGCCGAGTGTCTCGTGCCGACATTGCTTTAGTAGCATTATGTTCGGCTTGGCAATAGATTACTATTTTTCTTTAACAGGTTGGTGAAACTTTAAGCGCTGCCAGTCACGTCTTAGGAGATTTGACTCCAGGGACCTGGTACGAGGTGATGGTCGAAGCCTGGAGTGACGCTGGAGTAGAGCGTGTCACATTGCTCGCTGATACACATACCTTAGCTGGAGGTCAGAGTTATTTCTTTATCATGGATAAGTTTTATGTACCCCCTGCTTATCTGTCCTCGTCTATATTTAAAAAAACGTCTTCATAGTAATACCATAATATTACACTTTTCTTGTGTGAAAAAAAGTGCAAATTTATCTACCATGCCTTTAATACGGCAATTATTCTTTAAAAATAGTTTTAAAATCTTTATCATCGTATCGTTTATATCTATATCATCTTATGTTAGCAATGCAATGTTCTTCCAGGTCGCATCCCGCCATTACAAACAGCCTCTCCACCAGTGGGTAGCGCAAGATCAGCAGGACTACGAACAGTTCTAGTCTCTTGCGCTGCCAGTGCTGTAGTTATTGTAGCAGCGTTAGCAGCGTTGCTTTGCCTTTTACATGGACGGAGGAAGTAAGTTATTTCTCAAACAGGTGTTGATACATTAAAAAAAATAAATAGTTCATACTTTTTAAAATTTATAATGACGCCGCCAGAGGCAGAGTAGCCTAACTGAAATTTTATGGCTTAAGTTATATTGTTATAGTCTAAAATTTTTAATCTACAAGAGCACAGTGACCCCATATTGTCAACATAATTCTTACACAAATAATAGTACAAATTCATTTTCGCCTAAGTTATTTTTATTGTTATTTTCCATATTTATTTTCCTTCTATTGAAAACAATGTTTTTTTTTATTAAGCCACTCTGCCTCTAGTAGCCCCATATGCACCCTTTTACTATTACTAATTAAGGAATTAACTGTAAATTTAACTAAACTAAATAAATATTTGTGAATGTCATATACAAACATAATTTAGTCAAGACTAAATTTCTGAAAAGTAAAACCCTAGTGACAATTTAACTGTTCACAGACTTTTCTGTTTCTCAAGCGATCATTACTTAAGAGACAACAGAAAGCTGAGTGAGAGCAACGAAGCGGAAAGAGAAAAACTCAGAGAGGGCCAAAAGCTGTATTCGTCTTCCTCTATCAATGGGAATGAAAAGTCAAACGACGACTCTTCGGGTAAGAACCAGTAAATAAACAGACCTCAATATACTCTTTATAATAAATAATAATGATAATATATTGTCAGTCATCTCTTGAGCGAAATGAGATAAAATTATTTTGAAGATTCAGGCACATTTTGTAAATGTTTGATAGAACAAATATGTTATGCACAAATGAAAATGCACAATAAAACACTTTAACGGTTTAAAACGCGATATATATTAGTTAAACTTATTTTAAAAATTACTTTTTCTACGGCCCGCCGTTTCGAATGCTTTGCCGCAGACGTGGTCACGGGCAGGCGTGGCGGTAGTTGAAGTAATTTTTTAATAAGTTGAACTAATATATATCGTGTTTCAAACTGTTTAAGTGCTTTATTTCAATGTGTAGGTACTACTCGCGTAAACTACAGACAGTATTAATATGGACAAAAACAATTAATTTGTGGTTGTTGTTATGTCTATATTTGACCTGAGATTATCTTGATTAAGTTATTTTTACAGCAGAATTATACGAAATAAGCCCATACGCTACGTTCGGCGGTGCTGCGGCCCATTCTTTGCAGTTCCGAACGCTAGCGAGAAGGGATGACGATGCGCCGGCGCCACATCGCCGACGGAGAGCGTGCGATCATTACAGATATGGTGAGCTCGTTTCAGAGTATTTTTGGCACATGGATGCAAAACTGTTATACTAAAAAATATTTTGTAATAATTATTGTATTTCTTCTACTAGATGAATCAAGTCTTTCAAAGTGCTCAACGGTAGAGGCAAGGCATAGGCTGCGAGCACCCCCCGCGCCTCCCGGGTGGAGAGAGCGGTCTGACTCTGATGATTACAGTGACAGTGCTGCCAATACTACCACTAAAGGTAATCACTATGATCAATCCTTTAGTCCACTTCTGCTTGGTTTCCTGTGAGTGCAATTACTTCACCAAGAAGATATATTTAACACTGATGACATTATTATTTTCTAGAATTATCATAAATATTACTATTAACAAAAAAAATGTAACGTTACAAGGATCGGGCGGTTCTGGTGGAGGCAGCGCTTACGGCAGCGGGCGGCGCACTGCCAGCAGGTAGAGCAGGTACCTCCTTCCCCCTCCACCTGCACTCCTTCTCCTCTCCCAAAGAAATCAAAAAAAATCCCTAACACTTTTAGCTTTATAAGACTTATCGAACTTAGAAATAGTAGCCATCAGTTACGAGGTTAAATATTATTTTTGAACATTGGTAGACAGCACATCCCATTAAATGAAGTAAAATTACTACCATACGTCCTTCAGACCTTCTTTTCATTGTCATAACTGTGCGACAGAGATTAATTTATCAAGATTATTTTTCCTCTCCCTCGCACAGTTGAACTGGTAAATGGTGTTAACTCTACATTAATGTGACTAGTGTTTCTTGTCCGTCAGCGGAGGCCCGGCCGGGAGCGACGGCCTCTCGGGGTGCTTCGCCCCAATACCCCCTGATATATCTTCATTAATTGATAAGTAAGTTACTTTACGAAACAATGTATTAAATTTTATGAAACATTCAAGTGGCCTTATAGGTTATAAGTAAAGAATTTAAGTTTAAAAAAGTGAGAGCCCGTTTCCCCCTCGTAGAGCATAGGGCGAACACATTTCTGTGTCCGTGTCATTGATTCGTACTTTTAACGGGCAAGTAGTTAATCAGGCTTCTGTGCCCTGCCTGACCGAATCATTTTTTTTTGTTTCCCTTGGATTCGAACCCAGGACCTCTCGCGCTTAACGCAATGCTAGGCAATACGTTGAACCATTTGACTACAGAGGCGGACAAAGAATTTAAGTTTAAGTACAACATCAAAAATTGAATTTAATTTGATTTCATCATTTTTTAATTTCATCTTTACATGTAAAGATGATCTTATTTTTATATACATCTGTAGGTATATATGTGTATTTGTAGTAGAATGCTTTATTCGTCTCATAAGTTGTTATTTTAGTTTAAAATGTACTAGTTCTTAACGCATATTTATTAGTTTTTACTCTAGAAGCAGTACCAGGGGCCACTGAAAATCAGTCTTGCAACACAAGCGTGTTCCTTACCTTAGGCTGAGTGGATCATATTATAACAGATGCCATTGTTAAATTTTATTGATATAATTTGTCTAAGTATAGCTTAATTAATTTAGATTGTTTTTTGTATGCCACTTTAAATAAATGATTTCTATTATGTATTATTTCATTCTCTTCCAGGTACCAACAACGCAAGGAACAAGAGAGGCGAGAGTGTACAATACACGTGTAACATGCCACTGTCCACTACTATAATCTAGTTTTTTATACTACGTTAAGGACATATACTCACAAAGGACCTCCGCTATTCGACCTGCCAGACATACTATCGCGTTTTGCTCAAACATGCTTAATTTTATTGTCCTAAGGAATTAAAAGACTGGCTTTCTACCTATTTGGTGTTACGAAAACAAAAATAGATTTGTCTTTGGCTACAAACACTCGGAAAGGCACTAATAATGAAAACATTTATTAACGGTTTAAAATGCTATATTAGCTAAGTACTCAATACTTTCCAGGCGGCGTGTCGGATGCTAAGTAGAAGCCCTTATTTTGTAGTCTTACAAATCAATTAAGATATTTCGCGTTTTATATTGTTAAAAAGTTTTACATTTACCGTGTTCTAAACATTACGTTTTTATTTAACTTCATTGATTATGAATCTAATATATTATGTTTAAAGCAAAATTTTGGATAACAATGATCAGATTACGTATTTCTCGTGGGAGTGCGATGTAGCCATTAAATTTTTTTTTAATGCCGCTTTTTTGGTTATTGGGCGTTTAAAGGTATTTTTTCTTTTTCATATTCATTGATTACTGATAGATATATTCTAAGCATTCTGACCTGTGTTCAATTTTACGAACATTTTTCTACTCGCTTACAACTCAACGCGTCAACATTAAGTAGTCAATTGCAAGGAAACAATGGAATTATACTTAGTATAACGGCTTATGAAAATCAATTCTTATACTTCTCAAAGCTTAAAGGAGCCAATAAACATACTTTTGGCGTATAGTTGTTATAAAATAATGTGATTTATTTAACCCTGTTGTAAATCTAAATAGATTTAAACTTCGTGTAAATATTAAATTTAATTAGGCGTAATTTTGATGGCAAGAAAAAGACAAAAAAGTGTAGAATAGAATTAAAACACGCATCGTAAAACAGTCGAACCTGATGTTTCAGAAAAACGTTTTATTTTTATGGTTTAAAGAATTATTTCTAAATTAACGCGACAAAAATAAGAATATAAACTATAGTAACTTGTAGACCTCAAATAACGTTTTTACAAATTGCTTCTACAAATGACTTCACTGATCAGCGAAATGCATCTCCTGGTTTTGTGTCTGCGCCATGAGAATCGAAATCTCTTACACATAATTTTTATTTATACCGTTATCACGGATACATTTTCCATGCAGGACATTTGCCATAAAGTAAAACAATATAAAAAACTGGTCGCAAGCCTACACTTGACCTATTTAAACACGGCCTAGCCCCAGAAGCTGCGACACTCAAGTGAAAATGACCTTTTGAATTTCAAATGCACGCTCCGGTGCTTTTTTTCTTGTTTTAACTGCAGTCTATTTATATTGTTATTCACATGGAGTTCTGTTCTATGAATTATATATCGCTTGTTACGTAGAGATTAAAAATTAACTTCTTAGGGACGTACTTGTTGTCACAAATATACATGTATAAAAAAGTGAAATAAGATCCCATTTCTCAGATAGGGTCATAGACAGACACATCACAGTTAAAGTTGCAAAAAGTATAAATATAGATAGAATTTTTGTATTATTTATTTGTTATGAACATTTCTGAAACTATCAGGTTTGCGTCAGCATTAAGTTTGCAGTTTCATCTACTTATATTTTTTACATTAGTAGACAACTCTTATGTATTAAAAATGATACAAGTTTTTATGATTAAGCAGAGGGCGTCGCTTTTATGAAACATCCTATGCTGTAAAAAGGCTGTATTTTACATATTTGATAAAAAAAAAACTCTATTCAGTTCTTTCTTTTGTTTTGTTTATAATAATAAATTCATTGCATTAACGATTTGAATTATAATTCCATAAGATTATATTTGTTATTTTTTTCGTAGAAGCGATGCTCAAATCAACTGAAATATTATGCCAATGAACATTAATGTTGTAGAGTATTGTTAGTTTTTAAGTACGGCTGTTCCAAACTGCAAAAGATACATATCATTATAATAGACTGCTAAATTAAGAGATTCGTAATTCTTTTTACCGTATTGTTGGTTAATTAGTTGTTAGCATATTATACACTATTGTATAAAATTCTTTCTATATACATGTTGTGTAATTAAATTATTAATAGAGGAGAACGGGAATAAATGTGTGTTGTGGTGGTGTGTTATTTCTCTTTTCCCCGCTTATCATCTGTGGGGATTCTCCCATGAGATCTATAATCTTAAAAATAAATGAATGTTTAATTACGAAAAAGAATTTTTTTTTGGGGTTATAATTTTTTAGGCTTCTTCGTGCGAAACTTCGATCTTTTTATACCGATTTTCGTGATTATTTTTTGCTAGAAGGTTTTATGACGTAGGTTAGGTTAGCGAAATAACACACTATAGACACTTTACACGTATAATCCAGCAGAGTGACTCCTTATCAAATACAGGACAGAATACCCCACAATCAACGTTACAAACCGTTATTTTATTTATTTATTATAACTTTATTATTTATAACCCATACTACACATACAAAAAGAGAAAACATCTTACGTACTAACTTATAAATAATAGGCGGCCTTATCGCTAGGCAGCGTCTCTTCCAGGCAACCTGAAGTACAGGAGAAAAGAAAAGGACTTATTAAGTGGAAGAGGGGGAGTAGAGTGGGGATAGTGGTGTGTAGCAGAAAGAGGAAGAATATTAGATTATAAGATCAATAAGAGAAATGACTTTTGATCATATCATCTTTAAGGATACAAGTATTAAGTGAATAGCAGTCTGACAAATACTCCCGCCTATCCTAATAATTCCACCGGAAACTAAGCTAGCTGTTTATTCATAATATCGAAACAATTAGAAATAAAATACATTTGCACTGTTTTAAATAATTCAAGATATAAACTCAATTCTTTAACTAACGTTAATTACTTAAATAAATATATTTAGCTAAATTCTAATTAATTAAAATGATGTGGAAACGGAAACAGGTACTGCCTATTTATTTTACTAACATAGGGACCGGATGTATAACTTTTTGGTATTTGTGGAGTAGCCAGAGTGGTCAAGGAAACAGAAGTAGTCGCTAACAGTAGATATTTCTATAAGGAAATCTGGATGTGATGATTACATAGTAGAAATATAGAAACAACCTTTTATAAATTGTTTGAACCACTAGTGCGTTCGTAAGTTCTTTCATTGGGAAGTACCCAATGACCAAGTACTAAGTGATTCCTTATTAGAATTTTAAATTACTAAGTACACACAACTGGCTTACTAGAAGATAACTTTAGAAAGATGTTAATAATATACACAGTTATTGTTTTACTTGGCAAAGAGTATGTACTCTGTCCCAAGTATATATATATATTTTTTTTTAACTTATTTGTATTAAAAATATGTTTTACTTTATGCGAAGTACATTTATTTTTCTTTCTATTTTACTATTTGAAGTCGCTTATTTTACGTTAAATGAATGAAAAGTTCAAAATAGAGTAGAAGAACTAGTTAACTGCTATGCTAAATCTTAAACATTTCTACAGCCCTATGTACTCCAAAATAAAGTATTTTGCTGTGATAAATAGAGGGTGAGAAATAATGCTTCACGAAATGGAGAAAGATAAAAATCATTAAATGTTTAACTAACATTCCGCTACACTTAAAAGAATTTTAGAGTTGGTTTGCTATAAATGTGGACCGTTTTCAGTAGTGCTCTATTAATGTTGTTAGAAATACCTAAACATTTTAGTAGATTATGATTCTATTAATTTACAATCATAATTTAATCGAGAAAAATAAATTTAGTTTTAACATTAATGATGTTTACTCAAAGATGTTATTTTTATATATATGAATAATCATTGTAAAGTGAGGTATTAAATACTTTATTATTACGAAATAATAGCCAGTTTATCTATAGTTTGATCTAATATGCACGAGAGCTTTTTTAACACCCGTTAAAAAAAAGCGTTCAGATAGAACATAATATGCATACCCAAGTACATTTAAGTGTGTTGTGAAAATGTGATCAAGCAGTGTTGCATTTTCAACGCATAGTATTGGGAATAGGCAGTATGAAACTTTTTATTATTAATCATACGAGCATTAAAAAAGGGTTCTTTGATGCCCCACTATTGCCTACAATTCGTGAAATTTATTCATAATATGTATTTAAGAATTTACTGGGATAGCCTCAAATCTTCGAAGAAACAAGTGCTTCAACAAAGAACTTCTACTGTATAAACTCAAATATAAATAGTGTATATTTGGTTTATACAAGTATTTTAAACCAAATATCTTGGAACGTTTTAATAGTATGGCGTTATCAAGTAATGTTTTTTTTAGATTCTCATATAATTTTTTTTTTTTACTTTAGATCTAAAATAATTTCAATTATTTCGGTATAGCTTTGGATAGTTAGTTATTTCAAAGTTTTGTAACTGCTTTTCACCCGGAACACATACGAACAATAAACATGATCGGTAAAATAAATGTTGATTATGAAAGAATACGAATAATTTATTAAAATATTATTTTGTTGCGCTATTACAAAATATGTTCACAGTTTCTTACCGCAATAGCAGTATCTAATATCTATCAATAAACTTTATTTGAATAAAGTGACTTATATAGCAATAGTATAATTTAAATAAAGCAACTTACAGCGCACTGTCAATTGTCAAATATATCTGTCTGACTACCTGTCGGTCTGACCACCGACTAATACTAGACGAAATAAAGTATGTTGTAATCTGTCACTGTCTGTTTCCAACTAAATACTATGCACTCTATGTCACGCATAAAGTTTTGACTTTTGACTTTGACGTCTAGCTTCAAGTTTCAGGCAGTCGGTAAAATTGCTTTTATGGGGATGGTTTGTTGCTTCCCAATTAAAACCCTGAGAACATAATTATAAGCCTAAACGAGTGTTCGCATGTTGTATATAATAGACTACAAGTAAACATAGCTAGTGAGTTCATTCTAAGTGGATCGGCCACCCGCATTGCTGCATAAAAGTGACTTTACCTATTGTTTTGGTTGTGTGTCTTGTATATTGATTTATCTTAAGCTACTGACCTAGCTTTTCAATCTAACGAGAATTCATGTAATAAAATATTAACAATTTCTCCCTAATTGACTGTTATTGCAATGCTTCGGATCTAATGTGATTACTATTGGACAAGCAATTTAAATGGACAATGCACTTGCAGTCATTAAGACAAAATTAATCGTAATATAATGGTGTTTAATTCACAATGATGACGCCTATTGAGGAGAAGAAAGATGATAAAGTGAGTACTTCGTAATTTTTTAAAGGTCATTTTCATATACTATCAATAGTAGGTATCAGTTTTCAATAGATATGTTTGATTTAAGTGTAGTTAAAAAATGAAATCAATCAACTACTTCAAAATTGTAGACACGAAAATAAAGTAGATTTTTTAAATAATACAAAGTATAATACACTATTAAATATCAACTAAATCAGACCTCTAGTCTTTTCTTTCCTGTTTTGAGTCTGGCTTGTAATTATAGAATATAGTTAAAAAGTGTTTGCGTTTGGGAGATAATTTAAAAAGCCATTATGGGATGTAAGTAGGTAGTTGTTTTAACTTTTTAACATAACATCAATTATTAAATGGGGATTAAGGAGAATTTGAATTTTTTACAGTAAAAATTAATTGTAACTTTAAATAAATATAAGGTTAAAACTCGGAAAGCTGTATTTATTTTTAATGGTGTGTAAAATTTAAAACAATTGTCAGCAAAAATTGTAATGTAAGTGTTGCATACCTACTGATCTGGGTAAAAATTATACGACTATGTTTTAGTAGTCATTTTGTAGTGATTAAGTAGTTTTTTTGACAACAGTCTCATCTAGTCTTTTACAATTTTATGTTTTGAGTTACTCTTATCCACTCAGGACCGGCCATGCTAAGTTTAAGGCTAGGAAGACAGCCTTCCTAGCTTTAAACTTATCTATTTTTAGTTATATAAATTATTTAAGAGAAATGTTAGATATTGAAATATACAAAACTGTTTATCTTTGGACCTGTCTTACCTCCTTATAGACTTTTTACCTTTACTTGCATTACTTTAATTCTATAAAATGTGATATATAATATGTGGATGGTGGATTTAATTCAATAAATGTAACCTCAATACTAACTACTAGTTAATTAATGAGCTCCTAAGGTTTCCATTTAAACCCTTCACCAGAGTGTCAGTCACCTTTGACTCTAGTTAAGCAAATTAGTCATTATACATACATTCGCTATCTGCACGCACTGAATTAGATCTCTCTACAGGTATTTAAATTATATCTCTCAACACACTATAATCTAGATTTTTGTTTTTTACTAAAAAATACAAAGGTAATATTTTCAAGTTTGTTTGATGATATTTGTATAATCTATAATTAATACATGAACACATAATGATATATGTCATTTACGGCTGCTGCAAAGCATTTGTAACATCATAGGAAACAATGAGTAAATAATATATTTTTCATTCCTTCCTCTTTATCCAGGCCCCGATACAGGTTCAAGTATAGGTACTTTTGTTAGCTGTTATAGGATATTCCATTATTGAATTAAAACAACGAGCATGGAACATATTATATATAAAATACTTCTTCGTCTTCTAATAGATCCGCACCGGCATGGTGCAGGTGTCGGACGGCAAGTCTCGTCCGATGCCGGCGCGTCTGGCACTCACGATGGAGGCGGTGACCGTCCAGCGAGAGATCCTGGTACCACCCCAGCCTCCACGGGACTCCCGCGTGCCTCATGCGAGGGTAAGTTTGTTTAGTAAGTAAAGAGGTCGTATACATTTGAATACTTTTACAGTTCTGAGCATCGGTCTGCAACCGTCCGTCACGATTTCGAGTCACTAAAGCGTGGTCGGTTGTTGACACATACTTAATATGTGGGACTGTTGACCTAAATAACAAAAAAATGGAGTTTCTTATAATATACATCACGTTATAAAAAAAATTGTGTCGATCAAATGAATTTTATTAAATCGTTGATAAATAGTTTGTATTAAATACATTGTATTGAAATCAATTTTTCATTTCGACAAATGCTTGCATTGAGATATCAGACCTAACACACAATTCTTTCGTACTACTTACTATTTTTGTATCGTACTATATTGTTCTGTATAGCTGTTGTACTGCGACAAATTGTCTTCGACAAAAGGATTTTGACCTCGATCGACAATTCTTTTTCAAATGTCACCCGAGTTTTTCGATTGAGTGCATTACAATAAAAGTACAGCGCTTGAATCTCGCTCATTAACGTCATGTCAAGCTGACGATGACAAGCCGTTTTGAATGTTCTACGATACAAATATTTAGGGCCTATGCTTATCGCATTGAGTTAACTAGAAATCCACAAGGCGCTGGGTTTAAAAAAAAGCGATGAATTATTCCGATCAGCAGGACATTAAGTCACTTAAACTACGTTTCTCTAAATAAAATCGATCAGTGATATGGGTACAGAAATGTATTTTCCTCATGCCCATGGGTAGGATTTTACTTTTTCCACCTTATGAAGACTTATACGATGGATTTCATCACTCGGGTGTATTTTTGGGTTAAACAGTAAGTTGTTAAGGTATGCAAGTCTACATTTCCATTGAACTGTGAAGCCAGTTGGACGTGAAAGAGTTGGTTCCATATCATGAAATTCAATTCCAGTTTTTTGACATTCAAAAACATTTCTTGGAATTACTGAACAATTACAAAAATTACTGAACTCTCTAGATAACAAGCTATAAGTTATACGAAGCCATAGTATAATAAATTTTATTCAAAAGCCATTTGCATTTATAACCGTAAAATATTTAAAAGCCGGCATGTGCACGTCTTTCCAAGTTAAGTTGCTCCTTTTATGTTTATTCAAACTCTGTTCAGAATAAAAATATATGCAATAAAATGTGTCTAACGCTCTCAATTTATTTTACTTTTATTATTTTACACTCGATTCAGTACAATGCCTGTAAATAGTATCTTCTATTATTGCTGATACATAAAAATTGTCTTTTATCTAATTATTTATAACTTTTTCGGTACCACATATAAATAGATTGATTATTATAAACAAACGAATACACTTTCTATCGTTATATAGTATAAAACCTAGTTGTTGCTGTCAGTCCGTCCCTAATACCTATCTTAAGAAATACGCAACAGATTTTGAATTGTGTTTTTTATAGATACAATGACTTATAAGGAAGGTTTATTCGTTTTATACTTAAGACAACTAGATAACTGATAAATTGCAAATTTTCTAATACGATGTAAATCAACACATTTCTTTGCGGTTACATTGAAAACACTGGCTGAACCCCACGAAATAAATCATAATAATACACTACAGTATTGAACACCTTAACAAGGCCTACAAAAAGTTCGCGATGGGATATGTCTGTCTCTTAGAACCACACTAACTAGTTTGTATCCTTTTGCTTCTTATTGAAAAACATAGCTTATTTAAGAAATGACATTTGCTTACAAAAATGTCAAGTTACAAAAATTATACTGTATTTAGTTTCAGCAGCACGGGTGGGTCACTAGTATAAGTTAGGTTATACTGAAGATACTAGTATCTTCAGTATAACCGTGTACTTTCAGATTTGTTGGGGGTTTAAAGTATTTTAGCTTTTCAAGCAACGCGAACTGCAAACACTGCGACGAGTTAATCAGGTCGCTTGCGGAGATAAAATCTAATTAACAATTTAGAACGTGCTACGGGCCAATATAAATATTTTATCATCCCACCGTTGTTGGAACATTCGTTGGTTAGTCCAATTTTTTGAAGAATTCTTCTTAATTAGGTAAATAGTTTGAACCCAGGTAATTACCGTTGTACTATAGATCGTCTAAGCAGTTTAAGTTTGTATTATAAATATTATACTTTGTGATAATAATATCAATGCCCCTTTTTTCCTTATGCGGCCTTAGCATGTCTAAATTTTGGTTTCAATACATCTTTGTTAATATATGTTATATATATAATTATATGTGCTTTTTATATATTGTACTAGCTGTGTCAGCGACATCGTCCGGGTAGAATAGTTATTCTTGGCGTTATTGCAAACCTCCCTCTCATCTTTATAATTTATAGCTGTTACCCAAGACGTTCACTTCTCGTCGTTTGCAAGTAAATCTTAAAGTATAGACTTATACTGTCGCGGACTTGTTTTAGATTCTTTAAAGAAACATTCTATAGTATATAACTTTGACTATCTTGAAGCAGCTTGACGTTTTATTACCTAAAGCCTTTCTCCATAAATGCTCTAACTAACACAAAATAATTTTTCAATTCGAACTAGTGGTTATTACCGGAGATTAGCACCTTCAAACAAACTCTTCAGCTTCATATATCACTATAGATTTTAAAAGTTATATCGCTGCTTTCAATCGAACCTTCGACCATAACGTACCGTACGGTTGCAGCATTAACACCATGTATATCGTTGCAACATATCTAACATTATTATTATATATCACTAATAACCACAAACTTATCACCATTTCATATACTAAACAATATTTTTTGCTAGTGGGATTGAATAACACGAGAAACACCGGGGAGTTCACGTAGTTTATAAAAGACACATTGTAAGCGCATGTAGGGTTGGAAATGCTTCGTAAAGCGTAGTCATCAATGATGCATTACGACCGAGTTTGCGTATTTACTTGTTTCATAAATCTATAGGTTCTTGCCTTAACCATGATAAAATATGAAAGTAAAAAAAATGCTTTTGTTTCAGATACAGAAATAATACTAAATAAGTAGATGTGTGTTAGTAGGGACCGTTTGCGTCTTCTAACAGTCTCTTAGAATCACGACATACAGACAGACAAACATATTGACGAATCTAAATAATTGTTGGAATTCCGTCTAGGTAACGAACCACAGATGAAAAAGCCGTCAAGTTTAATCGCCTTCCGTGGATTTCCGAATAATCAAAGCCAAAATATGTTGACAGCAACTTGTTGTGATGTTGTATAGCTGGACTTTTTTAGCAACCCTCTGGTTTTATCAACCCCATGCTTCTCTGTCCGCCTCTTTAAGAGAAATAGTGAAGTTTGGATTCTTTTGTTTCTAAAATCACATAAATATTAAGATACTTTACATGGAAAGCACAATATAGATATAGAGATATAATACTAGATTCCCAATAGTTATACATTACTATGTAATTGGTTGAATATCTAAAAAAAAATATATATTTATTCAAACACGGTCAGGTTAAACACATATATTATAAACGTGTGCATAATATGAAATTGTCGTCTTTCCTTTATGTTACAAGGGCGCAACGGAATAACATTACACATTCTTCTAAAGGCACAGACGCAAAGCGGTGACCCAACCTACTTTTAATCCCAAAGGAACGATACACTTTGAAATAAATTGGCATTATACACCTGAATGTGTCATAAAAATATAAATTGTTAAGTTTTGCTATTAAAATAACAAATCTTTGTTAAAATATCATCATGACCTTCTTATTCTTCGGATGCAGATGCGTCTATATCTATAAACTAACTATATATAAGACTGCAAAGTATGTTTGTTTGTTTGAACGCGCTAATCTCAGGAACTACGGGTTCCTATTGAAAAACTATTTTTGTGTTGGTTAGATTATTTATCGAGGAAGGCTATAGGCATTATATAAAAAAATTGCACTGAGACTTATTAGTCTTCTATTGAAGCGAAAATACAGTGGGAAATGTGAACAAAACGGGGGGAATTTTTCATCTCTGTGGATTTCAGTTGCGTACGCTGCGAAAACGGTTTAAGATACATAACAAATGTGTATGAAAGAATGATTTCCCTTAAACTGATCTAAAAAAAAGTCTGCGACGCTATATGTCTATCTTTTAAGCTTGAGCGACGAGAAGGGACGCGACCGACGTTGGGTAACAGCTTAAGTTTATAAAGATGATGGGGTTTGCAAAAACTAGCATTGAGATGCCCAAAATAGTGATTCTCGCGGACGAAGTCGCTGGCACAGCTAGTATAATATAATATATAATACAAACGTTCTTCGCAACTTTACCTGTTTATTCTTAATTTTAAAAATCACGCACATCGTAAAAGATTTGGGCCGTTCATAGCTAGCTAACCTTAAAAGACGATAGATATATAGGTATATTTAAATAAAATACTTGACGTTTAAAAACGCGAAATGTATAGTAATTGTTTACAATTTATTTTATTAATCTATTATTTAGTTCGATAGCGCTAACAGAGCTGATTTGACTTTGACATTAGAGACGCCCTCCATCTTCATTCACCCTGTGACTAAGGCTGCTGCAAAGCATCTAAAACATTAGTTGTAGTTAAAATAAATTGTAAATAGGTTAACTAATGCATTTCGCGTTTTAAACCGTTAAAAGAGGTAACTGCGTTCTATTCGCGTAAACTACAAACAATACTTAGACATATTTTTTGTGTACTTATATGAGTAACGTAAAGGTAGAGTGGTTTTATATATCGTGCCGCCGTCAAATAAATATTATCAAAGCAGGTGAAAATGAAGCAAATTTATATTCGTTTTTATAAAGCAATTCATTACCCGAATTTTATACGAATCATGACCATTTAGTTGAAAGTTAGGCGTTTTGTTTTTATTGAATTATAAATCGTTCCAATTAAAAAATGAGTACGCAATTAAAAGTAGCAAAAGCGAATTACAGTTAATGCGCCTTTGTTAAGCTCAACCGTTTAAGTAGTTACAGTAGTTAAACTAAGCCTTTCAAGTCGAGTTCTTTAAAAGTTCACGGAGACTTCATCTGGCCTTTGTTTGGACTTAAAAGTATATTTTAAGTTTAAAAACAGTGTGCTATTACTGTATTTAAATTCTAGAATGTTTGCGTCGAAGTAGTGACCTATATAATCAATAAAAAAGGTAATATTTTTGACATGATGGAACTATATGAATTAAAAATCTATTGAGTTAAAAAAAAAAAACATGTGGGGACTTGAACCGGAACTCGTCACCAATTGAGCTACCGTGTCCCACACGTCATCGTCGTTCTTTTCGACCTATCGATACATGCACCTCTCGCGTAATGTAATTTCAACTTCAACACTTACGAGTAGGACACAGTAGCTCAATTGGTCACGAGTTTCGGTTCAAGTCCCGCTCATTTCGTAAAATTTTTCAGTCACAATAGATTTCTATATACCTGATCCAATTGCATGATGGATTATGTATTAATGCTCGCTTATTAGTTGGTCATGGCAAAGTCGTGCCAATCTACCATTCAAAGTCATTGCACTCGTCTGGTTAAGTTCGGAAAGTAATAGAGGACAAAATATTGTTTTATATATCTTTGCTTGCTTGGCTTTGGAATCATTTTTGAAGACAAATTAATTTAATTTCATAAAGTTAGTACCGCTATTTGCTATTTTATTTTTTTATAACGTAGGTACGTAAACGCGTAATATTTTAAGCCACGACAATTGTTACTACGTCATTGTAGTAACAATTTTCGTGGCTTAAAATCTACAATAACACTAAGTTCAGTCCTAGTTTTTAGTCTATATGAGGAGCGGGTAAAATGATGGCAAAATAATGTGAGCGTTCTCTAACGGCTTCGTTGTAAGTTTCTCCGGAACGAGAACAATGATTCTTCGCGTGTGACGTTTTGACGGCCATTGTCTGCACTCAGAGTGCATTGCGATGTTACGCCTAGGCGCTAGCCAAGTGTAATGAACAAATGATTGTCTCGTCGGTCTGGTGATAGCAATGGGTTGAACATCTTTAAGACTTTAAACACTAGCTGCGTCAGCGACTTCGTACGCGTAGAATAGTAATTTTGGGCATCCAAATTTGTTTTTGCAAACCCCCTTTTCATCTTTATAAATTTAAAATATTACCCATGACATCGGATGCGTCTGGTTGTCTGTTGTTTTTTTAGATCATTTAAAGATGAATCAGTCTTCCATACATATTTTTAGGTATCTTGAACCGTTTTTGCAGCGTACTCATCGGAAACCACAAAGATGAATGATTTTTCCGTTTTTTTTTCACATTTCCCGCTGTTTCTTAGCTCCTATTAGTCACAGCGCGATGTTTTATTGCCTATAGCCTTCCTCAATAAATGCTCTAACCAACACAAAAATATTTTTCATTTTGAACTAGTAGTTCCTGAGATTAGCGCGTTCAAACATACAAACAAACTCTTCAGCTTTATACATTAGTTTAGAGTATAGATGATAGACAAAACGTTTTGGTCATTAAATGATTGCGTTTCGGCGTCCTTCTGTCAATTATCGAATTTAAAACAAACATAGGTCGACAGCAAATTTTATAAGATGTTATGGAACTAGCGTAGGAGTGAACCCCGAGCTTGTGTGTCCTCTTCTATCATAAAAAAAAATGTAGAAGACGAACTACTTTCTCTGCATAATTCTCATTTCATTCAGCAATGACCCTGTAGATAGTTAGTTTACGCTGTTGGCCAATACATTGATCTGTTCGGAAGCGCAGACTTAGCACTACACAGCTTTTCCATTTACAAGCCTCCATCGGTTAGAAGACAAGTTAAATAAAACACACTGATTTCATTCATCAATATTAGACTGTACGTTTACGAAGCCTTTACAAATGACAATCTTATTTAATTAGATAATATTTTCGCTCTTTCCAGGAACGCATGGTCCAAATAACCCGTCAAAAGGTTGGCGGCTTAGGTCTAAGCATTAAAGGTGGATCGGAGCACAAGCTTCCCATCCTGATCTCCAAGATATACAAGGACCAGGCGGCTGATCAGACGGGGCAGCTGTTTGTTGGCGACGCTGTTATAAAAGGTACTTAGGTGTCGAAAATAATATTTTGGCGTTGCGAGTTGAGCTAGTGCACTGTTATGGTGCTTATGTTGTTGTTTAGTTAAAAAAATCCTCTATTATATACAAAGCCACGTCGAAATTGAAGCATCCATTTAAGAGATAAGGTGAAAAAACAGTCAGACAAAATGGCTTTAACTATTATATAGATAAGCAATATCAAAAAAAATATACCAAAATGTATTGTTTTTTTGTCAAAATGTGAACTTAAAAATTAATCTAAATGTATACAGCTATTTCCTAATAGATAAACATCGCATGACTGTGTAGTCGTAACAGTAAAAAGCAGACAGCAATTTGTCCATCCATTAACTAAAGATAAGGAGAATTTTGAAGGCGTAAATCCCTTTTGAAAGTCAAGCTAGATCGCTCCCGTTGCGTCAAGATAGTGCCGTTTGGAAACACGCGAATCGCAAGCTCGAAATAGCGGCCTAAGTTAAGCTTTGACCTAAAATTTTGAATAATGCCTCGCTGCGTATATCCGACAATAGACAAGCCGGGTCTTTTTGACTCAAACACTCGGTTCTAATTGTCTAAGGATTTAGCAGTTTTGCGGATATTTCAGGTATTTGAAAATTGAACACTTTCTATTCTTTATCTATTTCTTTTCTCGTTGGCCTAATGGTAGCAATTGAGGGCTAATAATCGTAATCGGTCGTGGATTTGATCCCCATCGGGTCCAACATGTTGGACTTCTGAATACTTTATTATTTTTTACATGTTATTGCACATGAAGGCACTATAGAATTTAAAAATCGAAAATAAATTGAACCGGCATCGTCAGCGTTTTGTGCTGTTGCTCTACAAATTGAGCTACCGAGTCTATTGGTATATGTGGAGATTTTTAAATTATGTTGGACTTCGTATGAAAATCTGGACATTAAATGGGAGGTAGGAATATATCCGTCCGGGTCACAAACCACCGTCCACAGATGAAAAGCCGTGAGGCTTAATCGCGTTTCGGTTTCAGTCTGTAGATTTCCGAATATCCAAAGCCAAAATAGGTCGATAGCGCATCTTGTTTAGATGCTATAGGTATATCACTTACCATCAAGTGAACATCCTGCTCTATCATTTAAAAATATATTTAACACGCGTGTTTTGAACTTGCGTTGCCCCAACTAACTGAGCTGAAAATATGTACCTTTCGCGCTATTTGGTGCAATACCAAAATAAATAAAAATATAAACAAACTTAAAATCTATTTAGATTTTTAAAAATCTGAGTTACTGCTTCTAACCAATTGAGCTACAGTGTCCTATCTATATAATTAAACTACTAATTATAGTTTAGCGTTATATTACATAAATATTATCTGTCTATTAAGACACTTGTTCAAGAAAAGTTTAAACATTATTTGCTCGCATAGTTATCTAAGCAGTTTAATAAACTATGCGTAAACTTAGAATTGTTAGAAACCTGAGATTCTTTGGGAAGCGTGTAGGGTATGTTGGCCGTTAGTTTTAATGCTGTGTTGTTGCTTTCTTATTTTTTACTTTTATCAATCAAATGCGTATGGGTTACGAAAAGCTAGAGTTTATATTTCTTATTCATTCAACCAAAGCCGGTCATTCTACGGATAAAGATTATCCCTTTTAATATTCGTTCCAGACAGTTCATCATCATCAACGTCTTATTATAGTCATTTTCAATTCGTTTTAGTTTATGATTGTAAAAATCGCCTTTAAATGTGTTTTCATTTAACTTATTACTGTTAATTAACGTTAAATAAATACTACACAAATAGTAGAACACATTGTTTCACTGGAGTACTCTGCGATTGTAAAAAATGTAGGACAATGTTTGTTTATTAATTTTTCATTTCTAGTTAACGGTGAATACATAACGGCGTGCAAGCACGACGACGCTGTGAACATACTTCGCAACGCTGGAGACATCGTCGTCCTCACGGTTAAGCACTACAGAGCTGCCACGCCCTTTCTGCAGAAACAAGGTTACTATGATATATATATATTATTTATATAAATGAATTCAGGTTTCTTAAGTAACGTGCTTCTTCACAAATAATGTTACTAGCACATATAGTGTATTTTTTCTACTTGACAAAAAACCACAACAAATATGGCCGATTGGCCATCATTCGATTGGAAATCATTGTAGTTTTTACTTCAAGTTCATTAGTTTAATATAATGTAAAGTATTTTAGTGTAGATGAATGTAAACGTTGTAAGAAAATCTCGAAGTCATGTAAAGTGTGTGTTTGTTAACCAAAAATGTCAAGTAAAAAAAAATACATTATACCAATTTTTAAAACTGTATCGTTTCTCAGTTTTACTTCGCCACTTTAAATGAAATACTAAATGAATTTTTTTTATATTAAAGGTATATTTGTTGTATTTGCAAGCAAATTATACATTTATTTTTATTCTTTGTATTTTCCAGCCGAGGGAGCATCAGATACAGACAGCAGTACAGGTGACGATCACCCCTCCCTCCACAACAAAGTAGACGACAATTGCAACACTGAAAAGACTGAAACCAATGGAGGCTGGCAGGTGACTCAAACGTCATTTTATAGGAACTCATAAAAAAATAGACTGTTGGAAAAGTTTAATATTTTTTCATGTCACACTATTGCAAATGATGGCACTATATAGATAAAAAAATCGACTTGCAAGACTTGCACGAGAGGTGCATGTAACAATAAGTTGAAAAAAATCGACGATGAGGTATGGGACTCGGTAGCTCAATTGGTTAGAGCAACGCGCGCAACGCTGACGATGTCGGTTCAAGTATTGCCCGAGTCGATTTTTTTTCAAATTAATTACGATTTTTAAAGTCTCTTTCCCACAATGTTCTAAACAGAACAAGACCAACATTTTTTAAGGGTGTATTAACTGTTCAATCTGTGTCTTATTAACAACTTTCGGTGAAGAGTTTTTTTAGACTATATTTCTCCTCATCTACTACTATTTCAATGATATATATAATCACTTTTTAGAGCGCATGGGGTGATTCGCAGGAGGCTCTGTCGCGTCCTTCATCAGTTGCATCAGACCGGCTTCCAGAGGGCACTAAGGAGTGGGTAGATGTTATCTCAGGTATACAATTATTTCTTTAATATTAATTAATATTTATATGAAAGAATGACTTATCTTAAAATGAACTAAAGCAATGTTTGCAAAAAGAGATATGATGCCCAAAATAACTAATCTACGCGGACGAAGTCGCTGACACAGCTAGTTGTTTGTAAAAATGATTGCAATGACAAGCCTAATATAGCGCTATATTGTGTATATCTTACAAATTCTTTATGACTTTTTTTCTATTTCAGTACCTCTAATGATGGGTTACGTAACTAGATATGTGCTTGGGACTGATAAACTCAGACCGGGCGCTTTCGAGGTGAGTTGCTACCCAACCCACCCTACTTTACCCTACCATACCCTACCCTACCCTACTCTACCCTACCCTACCCTACTATTGGCATCCGTCGTAAAAGGTATTTATTTCATCGCGCATGCATGGTGGGTTAACCCACCCTACTTTACCCTACCATACCCTACCCTACCCTACTCTACCCTACCCTACCCTACTATTGGCATCCGTCGTAAAAGGTATTTATTTCATCGCGCATGCGTTATTTTTTATGAATTTCAGGTACGCGGTGCGCGGACGCATGTGACGACTGGAATCATCCACGTGGACGAGCCAGCAGCCTTATCACATTGGCTGAAAAGCATCTCAGACAATATTATGGGTCTTACGAATTTACAGGTGCACAAACATCTTCTCTCCTAAAGTTAATCTTTGGTGTTACAATTATGTTCACGCGACTATCTAAAGTGCCTAGACTTTAGAAGGATACTAAGTATGGAATACGTTAAAACTATATAAAAATAAATCTTTAGATAAAGTGGAAAAAAACTTCGTCCCTCTTTTTGTCATTCACATTTTTTAAATTAGTTTTAGTGGCATTTCACTGAATATACTGTAAATGTATTTTCAGATGAAGTTGTTTAACCGCCACTTAGCGGGAGGGGAACGTATCGAGTACATGGGCTGGGTGCAAGAGGGCGAGGTGTGCGGGGGGCAACCATGGCAGACGTACCGTCCTAAGTTCCTAATACTCAAAGGAACCGATGTAATGCTTTTTGATACGCCGCCGGTATGTACTGATAAGATTGCTGATTTATTTTAAAAGAATTATAATATTTTAGTAAGACATATTTTTATAAGTACGTTTCGGTTGGTTTAGAGCAGAAATTATTTTCACGTTTATTTATACTCTTTGTACATAGTAATCGTGTACCTTTTTCCATTTTGTAGTCAGTCAATTTATTGATACCCCGGCGTTCAAACCCAATAAAATGCTTAAAGATGACTTACCTTTGAGCCGTAGTAGCTGGTCGTTCTACCTACCTATAAACACTAAGTATTGTCTGCAGTTTACGCGAATACTTTTAACGGGTTAAAACTGCGATGTATATAAGTTATTTTTTTTATATTAACTACGATCCGACGAGTGCAATCGAAAGGTTTAAATAAAACAAATATATAATTATTTAAATCTTTCAACACGAATGAATTGTTTAAGCCGCGTGGTTCTTTGTTTACATAGTAACATGCTTGTGAAAAAAGGATTACAATTTTCATCATGGAAAAATATTTTTGCAGGCAAACATAACAGAACTAGCCAAGTGCCCTGAGACCCTCAAGGTATATCAGACGATGTTCCGCACGGTGAAGGAGAGCGAGACGGTAGATTGGCGGCAGCACTGCTTTCTGGTGCAGAGTTCGGCACCTGGACCATCACCAGCAGGGCCCAGATACTTCAGCACGGAGACCCGGCAAGAGCTGCTGCGTGTCGAAGCAGCCTGGACGGCCAATATTGTTAACTCTGTTATACGGCTCGGGGTGAGTTGATTGCTTTTGTTTCGTAATGTCCATTACAGAGCACAAATCATTAGAAGTTTAACTGTACATAACATTCAAAGTACACGGTGATGACTACGTTTTTTACTTGAGAAATGCAGAAATTGTGTGTATAACTAGAATTCTTAGGAAGTGCGTTTTAACACATTTTAAAGGATTTCTTTATTTGTCATGTATAGTGGAAAGAAATGCTAACTTTCGTAAATATTGTTTAATATCTATTTGAAAGAGGCTTACCAACTAAATACATAATGAAAGCTTAAACAAAGAAACAACTTAAGACAAACTTATGTGACTGTTACGATCACTAATAGAAATGCATATTAATATTACGGTATAAGCATTGAGAACTAGTCTATAGTCATTCGGCGTAAGCGCAGCTTCGAGTCGCTAAACTGAACGGAACGGCGCACGCGAGCGTCGATGTGCGGATATGGACGCACGCATCCGCGAAACGCTTCGTTGCTTAATCTGAAAATTATTAGTTTCAAAAATAGTTCTACTAAGTGCTGTTATCAGTATTAATATTAATAAATACATGTAATCTATGGTTTAAAGTTGAAACGTAACTGCAGATGGAACACTTATACGCAAAAAGAAAACTTACTTATATGCTTCGGTAATTTCTAACGCGATTATAGTGGTCTTGCGTATTTGAGTTGGTTCAAAGAGGGCGTCGTCGCCAAAGTGGGCCCCGTCTCGGAGGTGTGTAATCTGTTCACCAAGTTTTATATTTAGCAAGTAAAATACGACGTCTAAGGAAATAGGAGGTCAATGAAGCTTACTTCTCTGCCATTTATATCCAGGACAGTTACTGAGCCCGATGCTATTATATATAGACAGTCTATTGGTTCGCCCTGTGAAACGACAACCTAAAACACATTTTAATTTTAAGCCATTTTTGCTAAAAAATATTCGATTGGGTTTTAGTATGGTTTGGTTTTATATTTTTGACACTCAGAGGAAAAGGAAAATTAATAAAAAAATCATTATGAAACTATGCAAGTAAATCAACAACAATCAGAGCCTGAAAGCCTTCCTGTTGTGGTTGGAAATAACCACAACGCTCTATGTAAGATGTTAGATGAGGTCCCCCGTCTACAATGAGCATATAAAAATATCCTTATAATATAAATTAAAATACTATTTAGGGCAATTATCAGGTGTCAAAAATAATTGTAAACAAAGTTTACAACCTCAATCAGATTGAAATCTTATTTTGCTTATCGATTGCATGCGTTGAATTAGGGTAAATAATTTAAAGTAGAAATAACCTCTCCAGGCATAAACATGACCTCCACCAAGCTAAACACAATGGTGTTGACAAACGCGACCGGCATATCCTGGAACATGGGTATCTTGGAGACGAGAGCCTTGCAGCAGTGCATGTTAATGTCTTGTTTGATCTGCTCATTAATCGTGTTCAAGATATATTCCTCGTTAAAGTACGACCCGTTGAATTTATAGTTGACGAAAAGGAGTATCTTCCTGCGCAAGAGCATAGGCAGTTTCTTCAACTCCATGTAGTCTTTCACGTCTTTCAGTTTTCCGTTGAAAGTAAACTCATCCGTGTAACCGTATACAAACAAGCGAAAGACGGTGGCGAAAGAAAATATTATGAACATTAGACCGGCGAGGCTGATCAGCGATGTGAGGACGAGATCTGAAAATCAAGAATCCAAATGTCAAAATTAATGTATTACTATAAACCTACAACACTTTTCACGGTTGAAAACGGGAAATATAATGTTAAAAAATAATTTATTAAAATAGTCCGTAGTTAACGCGAGTAGTAGACGTTTAAATGAAACACTTTTCACGGTTTAAAACGGAAAATATTAACATATTTCTTTACCTTTGACGCAAAATTTATGTTTGGTTTATTTAAACTACGTCCCGACGTATGCAACCAAAACGTCGGGTCATAGTCGAGATAACAAAATATATGTTCAAAATATGTTTTATAGATTCATATTGTAGATTTAGATTGTTGCTTACCCCTGTTAGTATACAGTGGCAGTCCGTACTATTTATATTATTTAAGTCTTATATTCTCTACAAAGCTTACTAACAGTATTGGATCACAATAAATTGAGTAAGGCTTTCACGGCCATCGATCAGCATATCATTGTCTTTCGGGCTGTTCGGCCGATGTGAGCGAGAAGAGGTTCTCGACGTTTCGCCATCACGTGTGGCCGGCATCATCAGGAGATGTTGATTCCTGATGATGCTCTTCTCGCTCACATCGGCCGAACAGCCCGAAAGACAATGATATGCTGAGTATTGGATCACAACTGTAAGACTCACCGGATAGAATAAATTCGTCAACTGGTCTGTAATAACCCGCACCGATGCACAAACCGACCACCCAATACAAGTTAGTAGTGTACCTCTGGAAGTCGTTGGTTATGTTGAAGCTTTTGGAACGCTGGCTCCACACATAAGTCTGATGGCTCGCTTGGTAGCAGAAGACGGGTACCTAAAAGGTACTGTTAAACTTCTTTTTTTTTATATTGCACATGCTGGCATTAGATAAATTATAAACCTGTTTAGATTGTAAAAATTGAATGATCGATCAATACTAGATCAATTTGCTTATTTATTTATTTTGTACACAAAAACCAATACACAATTTTAAAAACATATCTTTTAACCGTTATTAAATAATTTGACCTAAAATTAACACATTGCTTAGTTGGTCGTTGGTTAGAGCAGCAGTATGAAATGGTGTATATGGCAGTTCATGTCCCGCCATTGTCATCAGATATTTTTTAGTCTAAAAACTTTTATTTTTATACGGCTTAATATGTTAATCAAACCTACTGTAGGCGTATTTTAATAGCACCAAATTTCCGTTCGGTTCAAAATTAAAATACGGCTTAATGAGGAGGTTATGCCATAAAAATGAAGAAAGTAGAAATAAGCATGAATCACCTGATAGTGAATATATGTCAACCAGTGGAAGAAGAGCAAAATTCTCACGACCACGCCTGTCGCCGCCGTCGTGATATAAGACAATTCCAACTGCTCATACGCGTTCCTCCATTTCTCCTTCAACGTCACCAGTCTGGGAAGCTTCAGAATTAACCAGGCAGTGTGCGTGCAAGGTCCGTAGGGTTCGTACATCTGTAGGGGGAGAGCGGCTATGGCGTCCGCTACGAAACTCCCCCTGGCGTATCGCTTGGCTATAGCACCTAGATTGAGAACCACTGCCTTTTTGTCTTCGTCATTATAACCGGTGATAAACTTAGTGCATAGATCCAATGCTGCAAAGGCGTCGGAGAACAGGATCAATGCATCGCTGGGATCCGAACCTGTACATGATGATAGAATTAATAACAATATACAAAAATTAATTTAATGTCTTATAATATGTCGACAATATAACAAGAACATGTGTCTTGAAAAGTAGAAACAAATGTGGATATTTGGATTGGATCCTCACCAACATGTTTGTAATCAATTTATAATTTTCCTGAAGTTACACTTTGTATGGAAATCTGGATATTAAATGGTGGACAATAATAATTATCCAACAAACACGTTAGTGTGAAACGCCAGAAAGATAGTCCAAATTAGCTTTTTGAAGCCCTGATATTAAGAAAAACAATTACAATTAAAAAAAGACTTGAAACGGCATATAGAAAAGAACGCTGAAAGTCACCATCAAGCCGAGACAATCCCAATAAAACTTGATGGGGCTGTAGGGGTGCCATACGAAAGCGTACGCTTGTGTCAGCTGCTTCTCCTTCTCCAATGCCAAGTTCTTCCTACTGCGAATGTAGAAGGTCGTGCCATGATGCCATTCACACGGGAGCATAAGTTGATGCAACTTGCAAATCATCTTGGCAAAGACACCAGCCGTGGGCGGAAGGTCCATGCATCGAGGCCTAGCAGGCAGCATGCATTCGTGATGAATCGTCTTCATTTCTTAAAAAGGCAACATACGACGAAATATCCTTAATATTATTTGTAAATTTAGTAATATGAGAGACAATAAGGATATTTTATATTATATTTATATTACTTACAAATTAACACACCTTTTGACACACTACGGCATTCATTAAGAATTGACAGTTCTGCTTTTTTATGATTAAAAATACTCACAAAGAAGTTAGTAATAAATTAATAATAAAAAAATAGTTAAGAGCGTAATGCCGTGGATGAGCACGGAACGCTGTGGGTGCCGCTTCAAGTCCTGCCCGTGCTGTATCTTTCTTTTCAATTCATAATCGATTTTTAATTAATATAGTGCTATCATGTGAAAAATATTAGTTTTCAAGTTAGCAATAGCTCGTTCACAGATAAAAAAAGCCAATTGGAATCTCTTAGGAATTAACCAAGTCAATGTGTTCACTTTGCAGAAGAAGACGTTCACAGTGGTACACATGGGCAGAGCTGCGGGGCTGACGTTGGACTGGTCTAGTGGATTTTCGTTAAGCGAGGGCACGCCCGGCGCACCACCGGTTTGGACTTATAGGTATTATTTTAATTTCGTTATTAAGAGAAAAAATAGCTCGACATCGCATCTTGTTTAGATGTTATATGGTATTTCACCTTCCGTATTCACGTCTCGTAATAAATTTTATCTAGAATTATATTTATATTATTTTAGGTATTTTTTATAATTATAAAAATGAACACTAAGGAGATATTTGGATAATTACAATAAAACACTTTTTGCACATATAAGTAAAGATACAAGGGATTACTAATCAATCAAAAGAATCTATACTAATATTATAAAGCTTGAAGAGTCTGTTCTTTCGGCCAATACTACGGGAACTACTGGTTCAAATAGAAGCGAAGGAATAATGGGAATGTGGAAAAACGGCAAAAATAGTAAAACTTGTATTATCGTGTGTTATTTACTTAGTTTGTTGGACTTTTGCGTTTTCAGGTTTTCACAGCTTCGAGGCTCAAGTGACGATGGAAAGTCCAAATTGAAATTGCATTTTCAAGATACTGAGACTAAAGTTATCGAAACGAAGGTAAGTGAACATGCTTACTTCTTACTTTAAAAACTGTATTGTTCGTCTTGCGCATCTTTAATGTATTCCTACTATTATTGTATCTTTTTTCTCTTAGTGTCGAGGTATACCGAAGGAACGGTGCCATCGCGTATAGCTGCGCGCATTGTCATATATATTATGTGGAAATTAATTTTAAAACTAAAGTAGCATCATCAATAAACCTTATTATATTTAATAATACAATAAAGCAAAGCATGTTGGTGGTGTTTCGCTCTTCATTAAGGGAACCTCTTGTTTGTAAGAAAATAAGTGTATTGCCGTTTTCCTTCATAAGGCATGGGGCGAACACATTTCTATCACAGTTCGGTTCGTCACTGATCAGTTTTATTAACAGGCAAGCAGTTTATCAGACTTCTGTGCCCTGCCCGACCGATTTTAACTCAGGACCTCTCGCGTTTCGCGCAATGTTAGGCAACAAATATAAGAAAATGTTTATCCGAAATGTCACGTATATACTACCAGGGCATACTAGATCCTATACTAAATATTTTTCATTTCCAGGAGCTGGAATGTCAAATATTGCAAAGTCTGCTTTTCTGTATGCACGCGTTTCTCACGGCGAAGGTGGCTTCAGTTGATCCAGCTTTTCTCGCCTCCATCCAGCACTCCAGCTAAAGGTCTCCTTATAATATATGATGAAACAGAGTAATTATTGCAGTGTATTGCCGAAAAAGAGTTAATAGAGCGGTGTCTTTTCCCACAGATAAGAACAGGGACGCAGTACGTTTTGAAACTAAATTTATCTATACCGATATATAAAGCTGCAGAGGTTCTTTGTTTGCACATTAACTCATTTCGGTGTTAACACTTAAGCTAATGAAATAAATACACTTAAAATAAAGCACTTTTTATAGCAAAACAAGAATCTCCAACTTACATTGATCTTATTCTACTAATCGAAACAAATTTAATTTATATAAATAATGTTTAAAGTTATTTTCAAGTCTTCCCGCTTCAGTGAATCGAATTTTAAACGACGTTTTGCTTGCTCATTGGGACATTTGTAATTTTAAGGTTGTTGATGTTTTATTATTAAAAAAATTAGTAAATTGTTAAATGAATGCATGGAAGACGAGTATTAAATCCACAAATAATTGGTTGCTTTTGCAAAATCCTTTTAACTTATATACGATTTTTATTGTATGAACGGTAAACTTTTGTGTCGTTGTTGGAGCCTATGTAACATGCATGAACGAGACAGCAATAAGTATAACAATATACATTCTACTCGCTTTAACATCGAATATTTTTCTTTTTAATTAGATTAGCAAATCTTATTCTAGATAGATATATACAATTAGTGAATTTTATAGATTAATATATGTTATGCCAGTCGCATAATATTTCTGTCATCACTCCCTACGAGTAAAACTTCGTATCCTTTAGACATTATAACCAATTATAGATTTTTCTTATTAGTTCTGACAAGTATTAAAAGTGTTTAATGTACATACTCGCTCATTCTACTTAACATATATAAAGAAAGGTCTGATGGCATAAATATGTAAGATTTTCAAAGTGCACTAGGCTTTAGACAACGATTTTTATAGAGGCTAATATTTAGTTGTATAAGGACAATGATATCATATTGGCTTACCAAATTGTTTAGCAACCACGCCTATTTTTGAACGAACAAAAGTATTTTACTCATTTAAGAAATGCATTTAATGTAGACTAACTGTTGCGCTTGCGTCATATCATTATAATTAGGTAAATATATATTTTAAAATCACGATCTGTTAATGAAATTTTCATATTTTATCGGCTAGAATTATTTATGTAGATGAATGAGTTATTGAAGAGGCTAAGTAGTTTTTATTAGATTTTATATTGAAAGCTATATATTTCGAAACGTTACACCATTTTGCCATAATCTCGCTCAATATTATTGGTACAATAATTTGGTTTGTGCAATACATTGAATCGTGCGGGGGCGATATTGACGGTCGTAATATATTGCACAATCACGAGCACAGACGATCAATTGGCTTGGCAACAGGTTGTGCAAACAGTCCCCGCCAAAACTTCATTCGGTGAAGATGTTGAGTGAAACAGAATTGTGTGCAAATAATTTTTTTACCACAACTATTATATATATAGGTATTTTTCCAACAACACATCGCACTTCTCCGCCTTTCTGGTACAATAAGTATAGTCTTTGCACTTCGCAATACCAAAGAGCGGGAAGGCCGCGCACCTTTCAATGTCACTTTTATTGTACAATCAGTTGAATGTCAATTGAAGAATTCGTATACAATTATTATGTCAATTAAAATAGAACTCGTGTCCCTTCCATAACACAAAAAATGGTCAATTTACAATTCAAATATGTATTCACTTATTTCATTTGTTATACATTTTTTTTGGCATGCTTTCACCTAACAAGTGAATGAAGTTGTAAATATGTTGTAAATCGGAACACCCGTATTTAGTCAATTTAGAGTAAACGCTCAAAGACTGAATTAGGCGTGTGTTTTTATTTTTAGAGAGAAACTAGGTCATTGCGATTCATTGTAATTTTATTTACAATAGTGCCTGTCTCGTTGTTAATTTCTGAAGAATTAAAGGTGAATCTCATCTCAATTGATAGTCTCAATGTATATGAAACTAGTGTCAATAACTCTGACTTTTATTGTACTCTTTCCATTAGGTGAACCGCCTAGTGCTTATGAGCGCGATCGTCTAACAATTTCCAATAAAACACTTTAACGGTTTAAAATGCGATATATATTAGTTAAACTTATTTAAAATTCATTTTAACTACGGCCTGATGTTTCGGATGCTAGCACCATCTGTTCCATTGAACTTCGTATTTGGCGTAACAGTTTTTACTTTGACGTTAGAGTCATCCTCCATCTTTAGTCTCGCCGTGACCATGGCTGCTGCAAAGCATCCGCAAGCATCAAATAAGTTTAACTAATATATATCGCGTTTTAAACCGTCAAAGTGTTTTATTTAAATGTGTACTACTCGCGTAAACTACAGACAGTATTCACCTGACTCTTGTTCCATATTTTTTGCCTTTTCATACATCAAACGACAAAGATACAATACAGACTTATGACAAAATATATGTAATAATTTTCAAAATGGCAATTCTAAGCTTTACTTTAAACATGTTTCTAAATATCACTTGCAGTATATTAACATACATTTCCCATTTATTATATGTATTAGAAAAATATTTAATGCTTTTAATTGTATGCAATACACTGTTGTGTATGTTATATCTCCCGTGTTGTGACCCCGTGTGATGTTCGACTCTTAGTGTATGCCCATATAAGCCCGTGTACATAATCCCAACCAAAAAGTAGAAATAAAAACTGAGCGTCCAAATGTCTATGAAATTTATCATTAAACATTATTGGGAATATGCGTGAAATATTTCATTTACGCGAGTATTACGCATTCAAATGAAAAACTTAAACGGCTTAAAACGAGAAATATTTCAATGGGACCCGTAACCACTGCTGCGGAAGCATTGGAAGACTTAGATGAACCTTATAAGCGAGTTAATTAGTTCGAGTAAAACCTTTTTAAGTGTTTGATTGAAATGTTTGAAACAACTACGACTCGACACTATAACGTTATAACGTCGGGCCGTAGTAATTTTCAAATAAGTTTAACTAATATATTTCGCGTTTTAAACCGTTACTGTTTTATTTAAGTGTATGAATTAGTAGAGTTTATGAAATCGTTGGAACTGATGTTTGAAAAATAAAAAAATGTTAATCTAAAATATTAATAAAACCTTTATATAATTTCACGCATATTCCCAAAATATAAAGCAAAATATGTCTATTAATCAATTTGTGCGACAATATTGTGTGTTGTAGGCTAACATGGGTATGGAAGACCAATGTAACATTCTAACTCGGCTCTGAGATTGACAATTTCTTATTGAAAGAAAATTGTGAATCTTATGATAGGTGCGTTTGTCTTTTCTGTACAATAGATGCTAATAGCTTACATTTTTTACAACCTTATCTTATATATCTTTTAAGGGAAATGTCCACTCTTCAAAACACACCAAGCGAAATACAAAGATTTTTATGAAGAGCAGAAAAGCGGAATTTCACAAACAATTTTGACTAACTCTTTTTGTTCAAAGTTTACTTGTGGTCTTGCGTGGACGTTTTCTTATACAAAAATATTACCTACATCACTTATGTACATTAGTGCAAACGTGGAAGTATTTGCCAGTGTTTTAATCCGACTTATATGAAATCTCTAAATAAAAATTATTTCTACTTTAAAGACTGTGTTGAAGATACCATTTTAATTTTCGATTTGGATTTAAAGATTACTTTGTGATGCTCATTTTTTTCTGCAAATCGCCTGCAATTAAAAGTTTGGCTAGACTCTATCACTCGTTGCACAGACCGACGCTAAAATTCATGTCAATTCATTCAAATAATACGTGTCAAAAAATGTGACGAAATTTTTGAAAAACACTCGAAGTGTCTAGACGTAGATGCCGAGAAAGAACATTCAATAAAGAAGATTTTATAAGATTGCCTCAACCTGTTAAAAGAGTAATGTATACACGTGTCATCTACAGAAATACATTGTAAAAAATCAAAACGACATATCTGTTAAACTAATAAACTAAATGAAAAACAAACTGAACGAATTTACCTTAATATGTGTAATTATTAAACTTTCAATTTTAGCCTCGGTCTAAAAAACGGCTGAGCCGTTCTTGGTGATGTTCATAATTATGATTTTGTATGTAATTTGGTCTGCGTGTGAAATGTATACTTGTAACCAAATTAGGGTTACGTAGTGGTTGATTACTAGTTATTTATAACTTGTTGATAATAAACTGTATCCGATAATAAATATGAAAATTTGATGACTGTCCTTTCATTCTATATTTACCTCGATTAGTGAAACACCCGTATATGAGACCGCTAGAGGCAGAGTAGCCTAACTGCAATTCTATGAGTTATTTATATTTTCATAGTCTAAAAATGTTAACAGTGCACAGTGACCGAAAATTTGTAACATAATTCTTACACAAATAATAATACAAATTTATTTTCTCGTAAGTTAATTGCACATTTTTATTTTGCTCGTTATTAAAAATCATGCGTTTTTTGTTATTAGGCCACTCTGTCTCTAGCACCCACATATTATATGTTTTTACTTAAGAAACTTCATTCTGAGTCCATCTACAAGTTCTGAGATAATGACTGTGGGTGTAAATAAAACCATAACCTATATGTACCGTTTAATCGAAGCGTGAAGAACAGAGATAGCTACACAATGTGAACTAATTAGCGGCCGCCTAACACCGAACACATTTACCACATAAACAACCTAACAGCTAAAGTAATTCTAACACAAGAAGGAACACAATAGATTATAAAATCTATTCATTATAAACTAAACCGTTAAGACTACGCTGGTCTGCGATGGCATTTACGACTCGAACTAGGCATTTTACATTAAAAGCAAATGAAGAAAATTATGAATAAAGTAAGTACTGTCTTGTACGTTTAAACGAGTAGTACACATTTAAATAAAACACTAGAGGACACCGTGAGTCAGTTCCGCAAAGACCCAGTCAGTTTCGCCAAATACTAACTAAGATGGAACGAATGGCGCTAGCGTAGCAATTTTTAGTTTGACATCAGGGACGCCCTCTATCTTCAGCCCCCCCGTGACAACGGCCTTTGCAAAGCGTTACGTCATAGTTAAAATAAACTGTTAATAAGTTAATTAATATCTTTCGCGATTTAAACCGTTAACAGTTTTTATTTAAACAACTGAAGTAATACAAAAAAGTAGAAACTGGTAAGCATACAATCTCATATTGAATTTAAATTAAACATCCACATTTTAAATTAAACAACTTAAACATCATAATCGCAGACTAGCATCTTCAAAGTTTATCTTTTTTATAGGACATGCGTAGCGAAAATTTATTACATTACAGAAACAAGAGGCTGCATCAAAATTCAATGACGGTAGTCTACGGTTTATTCACTGAACCGAGTTAACAAGGAAAATGTGTATCCGGCCTATGTTGAGTTGGTTTACTGGTAATTTTGGAAAATACTGTACTAACTCGAATGGGTGAATAGACTGAAGATGTTGATGATGTCAGACCTCGTAACTGTCGATCAATATATAAGGAATCGGGCATTGATCTTCGGAATATAAAAATCTCATACATCTTTATAATACAAGTAACAATTAATATGTCTCATAGAATTTATAATTTTCGAAACAATTAGTTTACAATTTATTGTCTTGAAGTAGGAACGAAATCTACATTACATTTTACACGAAGGACGTTTTTCGTTTATCTACAAATGAAGATTAAGATTTTTCCAATACAAGGAAACACATTTTTAAGTGTATGACGCATCGTCTATGTATTATATAAATAGTACGGTATTGTGCGTGTCTATTACATCTACAGATTGAAATTTTTATTTAAGACCAAATAATGCGCAAATATATAATTAAAATGACTTCAAATGTTGATATGTGCTCTATAGTAGGAAAACAAAAAAAAATATATCAAAATATTAAAACCTATGCACTAACAACTTGATAAGTAAATATGAAATATAACTAAGTTCCATCATTATTTGGTCTTAAAAATTGTGACTTAAACTACACTAAATTTTACAAGCCTAGACGATGAAAAAATACAAAATTTGATACAATATAACGTACGCGAAGATAGTGAATCTTCTTATTGTCTGAAAGTTTATTGTCACATCTAATTTACTATTTGTAAAAATAAGGTAGGATATAACTGATAAAATAGAGCTATCGTTTATATACCATTCAATTGACTATTAAAATCGTATGGGTTCAGAAAGACAGAAGTGGCTTTTTGGAGTTGAAAGCGCATCTGAACGCATTTTAACTTCAGCCGAATAAATGTTGGCGGGAAACATTGGTAGCCAATCGTTTCAGGATCGAATTAATTGCAATACACTTCAATATTATCATCAGATTTTGGGCTAATCTTACTGCTACGTGATATTATTAACATTTGTAGGTGTCTGATTTTTTAAGCACCGATGAAAGAATAATTTGAGCTTATAATAAACTAGGCTCCCTTACCAATAGAATAAGCTATCTGTCAATTAAATTTTGTAAGACATAGTTACATTTACTCTCGCGTATAGGGACATAGCTTTTGAATTGTAAAATAAACCACATATTTGACAATTGCGGGCCACAGAATATTGTGTAGACGCCCTTTGAAAGTATTATTTTTTGCATACATTAGGAGAGGGATGACTTGACATTACTGTTATTTCAAAACTTTATAAATATATATTTTTTTATTATTTTCTATTTACAGGCAATTGGTATGCCATGCCTGGGTACTTTTCAATTTTCATAGCTTTCAAGAATTGTAAAAGATATGTGTATATTTTGATAAGTACTTACAACAATCAACATTTATAAAGACACTGCGTCTGCTACATAGCAAATACACATCTATAACACAACCGTTAGCCTATTTATATACAGGATAGATTTTTTTATTAAAGAAACATTCTTGATTCAAAAAATCCTACTGTATAATGGAGCATTCCCACCTAACTATATGGATTTAAAATATCTGTTTTTAAATTTGCGAATAAAACGGAAAACACCTTTGAGAACAGTTAAAAATTCTTATCTGTGTGTTCAATATGATAATTAATACATGATTTAAACATATATATATATATTTGGTTTGGTAAGTTCATTTTTATCTCGACCCCAAACAGGAAATACAATTATAAGGGATAAAATCTATATATCTATCTATTTAGAATTTTTGATATATCAAAATATTTATTGTCACTAATTACGTTAAGATTACACCTACTTACATTAAGAGCTTATAAAAACGTCAGAGTCAAACCGGCTGACCTTAGGAAATGACCTGAACACATCTACGTAAATGTAACAGCAATCACCTACATATACATAGATATACGACATTACTATATGTATATAAATATACACATACACATTGCTTTGTGTGTATGTATATTCGTGTCTGGCCCAATGCCGAACACTTACCATGTTTACGATAAAGCCAAATACCAATGCATTTCGTATTATTTATAATATTTTATTTACTGTCTGCTATCCTGTCTTATAGAAGCGTCTAAGGGGGTACAAATTTATTATAAGTACAAAAAATATCCCACACATTGGCATAATATAATACATAATTATTGGTAAAGAAATTATACAGCGAACGATTTTGATAGTAAAATTATAAATTGGATAGATTTAGTAAACGCAATTTTAATAAAACAATTTCGCTATTCACTAGTCTTATACTTAATACTAAGTATATAAAGCGATACTTAAATAATCTAAAACATAGATCGCGTACCTAATAAAGCCTCAATCTATAATAATTTGGTTATAGTTAGGGTACAAAGAAACACAACGTGCAGTGAAAATATAGATACAAAAATCTAGAACTATAGGCTAGCATAAGAAATAACAGAAAACAATTCTATTTAAGCCCGACGAAGTACTTAGGCTTGTAGATATTTTTTAATGAATCGAATAATTATTCACAAATTAAAAAAAAGTGTAGAGCTAATTAATTAATTAAAGCTTTCAAAATAATACAACGGTTATGCCTCTTTCTACTTCAGTCACTACCACAACTACTCCCTGTGTTACTAAAGGAAAATCTACTAAACTATCTCCGTAGATTCATTTTAATAATTGAGTAAAAACGTCTGTATCAAGTACAATATAAAAAGTTCAACTCTTTAACCCTAGTAGAAAGCTCGAGTTCATAGATACATATAAGGACTTTTTAGAAGTCGACAACCTTTGGCGTACACACGGCAACTCTTACTATTAACCGAATTTCTTACTCTGTGTACAAATTTTTACCTCTGCACATATGCTTATAACTCCTGACTGTGCCAAAAATATATATTTCTTTTCATAGTTATAATATCTTGTCTCCATAACTATTTTACGAAACAATATGACGAGATCTAATTTTTAATCTGTACACACATACATATGAAATCAATAACACCGTGTACAGTCAGGTGAAAAAATCGTCTATAGAAAATTATTGTCATAGTTTTGTTGCCGTCTGTACAGTGTAAGAATACATCGCATTACCTATACAGTAGCTTTGAGCATAGTCGTACATTAACCTACAGAGTAGAAAAATAAAGGAGTCATGATTTTTATACAACCGGCTGTTATAGGAGGACACACTAGTACCTACAGGCTACGCTACTCCTTAAATCTATTAAAGCTATGTTACTATGTCGCTATACGAGCGCGATACGTTTTAAAGCAATAAGTATAGGACTAAGATCCGAATATAATAAATTATTGTCTCAAAAACACAAACATACTAGGGACATTCTACATTTATGTACAGACGTATAAAAACAATATGCCCGTCATAGAATTCGCAAGTTTACGAAACGTGTTAACTTATTGAAATGTAGACCCTAAAAGGTCTCTCTTATTATCGATCTCCCTTTTCGAGTACATCTATAATATCACTTCCATCTAATTCATCTAACACCGAACATCAAAAAACCAATAAAACACAGAGAGGTTACAGGCTAAAGCTATAAGAGCCTACATCTTAATCGTAAGCGAGTTACAAAATGTATACTATAACGTTACGTAACCCGATATAAATATCGAGAGAAACAATACAAAGTTATGTAAAAAAAGTATTTGACACAGTAAACCTTTTCGTAATTAAGGATTCATAGTATCACAGTATCGAAGTTTAGATCGTAGCAACACTGGGCAAAGGTAAAGATGTGAAACAGTATGTAAGTTTTCACAAGTATGAATAACGCGTAGTACCTGGCCTTGCCGCTAGAGGCGCACGCCGAATTTATTTCTATATAAAGCTGAAAACTGACACATCTTTACAATACAGCTTGGAGTTTCTTAATGGGCATTATGTATTTATCGAATTGTGTAACAACACGTTGGAATGTGATTTAAATATTACGCCTTATTTAAAAAAAAAATCAATAGAAAATTTTATGAATATATAGTTAACTCTATCCTTTATTTACTCTTGTGAAAACACTAAGATATTTAGGGACCATTTAACAAATAGGCTGTGTCTAAAGTGTATTTTGCCCAGCGTCGTCACAGCCCTGCATCCCACGATAAACGTGTGAGCCGATAAAATATCCTGCCGTTACATAATTAAAATTTATTATTGTCATATACTATATTTACCTATTATTGTCGCTAATCGTATATTTATTGTCACAAATTCATTAAATTGTAAATAACTGTAACAAACATTATTGTCGTTTAAAATTGTCACAAACATTCTTAATTTCATCATATCATGGTGTTTCGGGCTGTTCGGCCGAAAAGGTTATCTACGTTTCATCATCACGAACGGACGGCATCGTCAGGAGATGTTAGCTCTTGGATTGCTTGAAGAATTAAGTTAATTCTCATGTCGGCCGAACAGCCGGAAAAACAATGATGTGCTGAACGATGGCCGTGGAAAGCCTTACGCAATTTATTCTTAATTTCAATATTGTCGTGTCCGTATTATTTGTAGAGGTCATTAATCGAGTTGCCTTTTCGACTCGTGAGATGATCGAAAGCTCACATATCCGGTTCGGACGGGGCCCGATCGTCGTTGTACATGTTGATCTGCTTGTGAATCCAAGGTATGTACTTGGGGACATACGCGTAGACCCCGGGTAAACGGGGATGAGCGCACTTGATACCCCAAGACACGATTCCACCAACGTACCATCTTGACTCGTCATCTGGGTCTTTGCAGAGTAGCGGTCCACCGGAATCACCCTGTACATGATCCATTCAAGTAAGTTTTATAAACAGTTCAAACGCCGGGGAAACAATAAATATCGAACTGGCAGGGCATTGAAGTCTGGTCAAGTACATGTACATAAAATCGATCAAGAGATTTCGCGCTGTGTAAAACTACCAATACGACAAGTCAATTACAATATCTGTGTTGTAATATACCTTTTAAATTAAGTTATCTACAAACAATATTTGAAATTGTGGATAAAGATTAGTAATTTAATGTGTAGTGGCATATGTTTTGTAGTAGTTCGTGAGTAGTTTTGTACAACTAATATTTTTGTTACTCAGTATCAAGTATCGGTCTAGTAGTATCTAGTAACTTGTTATGAGACCGTTTTAGGTGGAAAACACATCTACTCTTATTACAAAACAAAAACCAAATCTCAAACCTGGTTTATTTGAGATCCTTCTTACAAAACGAAGTTTAACGTTTGTACTGGACTAACCATGGTGCTAACTTAGATTTATTTAGACGATTGTTTAAGAGTTAAACCAAGACTCCGCAGTTCTGGTTTAAGTATTTTTTTGTAATAAGGCCGATGGAGTCAGATGTTATATGGCTGATGTATCATCAGCTGAACTCCATTGTCTGTCTTCTATCATAAAAAAAAACAGTTCAGTACGTAAATAAATTATAAAGTCCCTGTAAAAATAACTAACACTTATGTGTACAGAGAAAACAGACATATTGCTGTAGAGCTCCGTAAAAATCAGGTCAAGTACTGATAAGTCAAGCTTAAATTGGAAAACTGGAATTCCTCAATGCTCCGCAGATACGCAATAAATGCAGCTTAGTTTAAAACGAGTGCAATAACTAGCAGGGCTGAAGCAATATCTTTCATGTTTGCGTCCACTCGGGCGAATCTAAGCGCTGTCTTGCGGCTTCTCATACCCATGCCTATCCTTATAGCTAAGATTTTTAAGCTGCAATAACTTTTATGATAGAGGTAGATAGACAAGCATGTAGTTTACTTGATAGGTTATATACCCCAGCCATATAACGTGTAAATCAAATGCGCTGTCGGCCTGTTTAGATATTCGAAAATCGATAGACTGTAACCGAAACGCTACTAAACTTTCTGTGGACGGTGCTTTGTGATTCGAGCGGAATTTCGATATTCCTACCACCTATTTTGCCTTTAGTTTGTAAGAACATACAATAGTATGGTTTGTGTTAACACGTAAAAAATCCGCTACATTGTCGTTTAATACACGTTACCTAGATTCGAATCATGTAGCCTGTTAAAATAGACACTGAAATGTGTCAGATTCGTTCACTAAGTGTAAAAGGGGGTTTAATAAAGTACTCTCTGTTATTTACGCGATAAGTTCACAATTAAATGTAATAAAACACCATTAACGGTTTAAAGAAAAATTAACGGATTAAAAGAGTTCTTAAGCCGGTTTAAGAACTTTTATACATGTCGGTGTTATATTTGAATGTTGTCTTGTCGCGTTAACTACAGACTTAGTTGATTTTTTATTTCATGTGATAAATAAGGAGTGTGAAAGTGCATTTAAAGTTCATTTTGACTGTAAGAAAACTATTCATACCCCTATATATAGTCCCTACATTGACAAGAACTACTCTATAAGTTAAAGTATGTTGTGTACTTACGTGTGTGTTTTTCTTAGTTGAAAAAAAACTCAACAAACGGTAAGTTATAGATTAGTTCTTGTCTAACTATCAATTCTATAAGACAGCTTAGGGAAGTAACAAAACAACACACAAGTATCTTCCAATTCTCTCGATTTGGGATTATTAAATTGTCGGGCATTTGGAAATTTTCATTACACATTCTCTTAGAGATTTTATTAAATAAATAAAAGTTTATGAAGGAAAAAATTAAATAAAGTTAGGCGGGGCCCTTTGTAATATCAAACGGGGCGAATTTATTGGATTTCATCTTCGCTATGTGTATCTATTTGAAGAACTAACAATCCGAATCATATCTTATTTTATGTAATACCGCTTATTATTTCGTTCCGAAATATTTTCTTCGCTAAACATCGCTGAGCAACTTAATATTAAAAGATAAAATGGAACTACAATAAGAGTACGGTCTTAATATTTGTTATTTCTACTTGTTGGTGCACACTTTAAGTATTCCAAAATGTTCTGACGCGTGAATACTAGAGTATTAGAACGGAATAAGGATATCTGGAATATCATTGACATACAAGGAAAAGTTTGACAGCTTCCTTGGGTTTATTTGTTTAGAAAAACAGGAAACAATCCGTAACATCATAATATTTTATCATAGGAAATAGTAAGTAAAAGAAAGTTCTGATGTTTACGAAGATAGCTTTATGAGATATATTATGTAACGTTTGAATACTTTGCACACACATGATAGCACTATATAATTTAAAGATCGAAAATAAATTATATAGTTATGTAACTAATTTATATGATGAATTAAGTAATTTAATCAAAAAAATTGTTTATAACTAAAAAAAACAGGGTTTAATGAAATCTTAAAAACCACAATGAAGAGTTTAGTATGTTCGTTTTGTATCTAGGATTACAAATCTAAAGAGAAAAAATGGTATATTTAACTATCATCAAATAGCTGGTATCAAATATCATGTTAAAGTAATTGATAAGAAACTTTAAACTTTTTTTAATAGTTTACTACCTCTTTCAATATTAATTTTACTATGTTTAGTAATTTGTTAAGTACTTAGCATGTAAATAAACACACACCTGGCAAGCATCTTTCCCCCCCTCAGGATACCCGGCGCAGATCATACCCTCAGTCACGTTCAGATCGCGATGCTCCAGCCACTGGTTGCAAAGATCACGATTCAGAACTGGCACTTCCACTTCGTTTACAGCTGGCTCGTATTCAGACACTATACAGAATGAATTAAATAAATATACAAATCTAGCGCATATAATGTTCAAAATAGATTTTTGACAGTAACGAAAATTGTGTACCTCAAACCGAAAAGGCAGAATGTCTTATAATAAACAAAAGCAGCAAAGGCCTAATTGAAGACTACTTCTGATAAAAACGAACTATTTACATACTGTTTTGTTGATTTTGTTTATTTTTTTCAAACAGTGAAAAATTACGTTGATCCGTGACAACGAAAAACATTGTGCATGGTATGCCATGAATTGAAAATCGAATTTGCTCGATTTTCCTCGTCCCGGTAATTAAGTTCGACGCCACCAAGGTAATATGAAAACGAGTTTTCATGCGTTATTCTTTACTAACAATATTTTGTGAAAAACAAAATAGAATAGGAAGCTTTTGTTTCGAATACTTAGCGCAATTATGAAAAAAAGTTTATGAGAATTTAGACCCACCATATTGCCGCAATATGGTTTAGTGGGCTTATAAATAAAATATGTTGTTACATGTATGTTTCACGGAAAGTAATACTATAAATAATTATTTGTAGTAAATAATTTTATTTTATATCTGTGAGAAAATGTAAAATTGTGGGCACCAAAGTAGGGATTTATAACATTAACAGTCGTTTTTTAAACACGTGTGAGTTTCAAAGAGTTAATTGCGATATTTTGGTAAAACAATTAACCTTTTCTCAAAAAAATATTATTATTTAAGTACTGAAGGCGATAGATCAATAAGGAAAACTTAAAGGCTGATTCCACTCAATTTTAATATACAGGTAGGTAAATTCTTAGACCATTCAAAGTTTAAAATCAATAAGACCTGCTGGTGGCATAAATTAAGAAGTCCGCGGCTGCATCTAGACAGTTTAATGTGCAATAAAATAGTAAGTTTTCAACTCGTTACGGCAGCCTCAGTCAACCGACTAACTGTGGCACAAATGGCGCGTAAACACATTACGGGACTGAGAAGAAGTATCGCTGCCAACTTCTTCAATAATTATTATTTCATCTATTTATGAAATATTTTAACTATAGCATAATAGTACATTACTGTCGCGGCCAGCAAGAGAGGCATTGATGAAATGATACGATAAGTCCGTCAATGCCTAGTTACAGCCAAGGCTTGTATAGTTCTATTCTGAAATAATGCGCGAGCCAGTTCGAAATTTAAATTAAACCTTTCATAAGTTACCTCTTTGGCCGCGGTTGCGGAGTGGACGTTCCATTTTTAAATTACACGACAAATGTGATTCCAAATAGTAATTTATTTGGCCGTTAAGCGTAACGGATATGGATTTTCAAACAACCGACCGCTGCTCGACCAGTATAGCAAGATCGATTTATCTCGAAGAAAGTTGTCAAAATAAACCTCAAAAATTTCCAAGCATGGTTGAAAAAAATCTCTTTAGTTCTGTTATCGCAATATCAACTCTGAGAAGTGGAGTAGAAACCTCAACTAATTTACGTAATTAATAAAAACCATCGTAAAATACGTACTGTCTTTGTCCGTCCGTTTGCCCCAACCGATGACTGTGCATAGAGTACCCGGCATCAGCACTCTTCGAGCTGGTGGAAGACACACGGGTGACAAGTGCTCGTGGTAGCGAACTCGCACGGCCAGCTGAGTAAGGTAACGTCAAATACAGTCTGTAGTTTACACAAGTACGCAATTACGACTTTAATAAAACAGTTTACGGTATAAAATATGAAATTGTTACAAACGTGAATAAGTAAAAATTATTCACAAATTATTTTATATACGGATTCTTTGGAGCCGTCGTGGTCACGGGGAGACGTCGGGACGTAGTTAAATAATTACAACCTAATTACGCCGTTAAAGTATTCTATTTAAATGTAATATGAAGTCGTTATCGAGTTTCCTTCAATGTCACTAAATGGAATGACGGCCCAAGTTGCTGTGTACATTATCTAGTCTTGTTTGATCAGAAATTTGTATAAATATAATGTAGATATTTCTAAAAAGATCAATGCTATTTTTCTGTTAAGAATCCGAAAAACTATAACAAACAATTGTTTGTAAACTAGTGTATGTGTTCGCGATTGAAACGGTTAAATGGTGTTTTATATTATGTATTATTATTAACTCATATAGACTACAGATAACTATTTTATCCTATATATTTGATACCTGAAACAGGGCGATATCATTGTCGTGAGCGACCCCAACGTTGTACAGAGGATGCGGTACTACGCGACGCACTTTCACCTTTTGTCCATAATATGCGTGGCTTCTTCGTCTGGTGATGCCGAGCTGTATCGTCCAGCCTTCCACATCTGAGTGGCTGCAAATATTAATAGAATTAAAGAAAATGTATTTTCATTATTTAAGTATGATTTACAACTTTAACATACACATGTGAACATATTATAATATGTATTTAAATTTCAACTTTTAACTTTACAATGACACAAATGGGATTCGAACCATGTCCTCTGCAGCTTTACGCGATCTACAATTATTGAATTCTTTAACACGTGCACCTATTGATCTGTTGAATATTTAGCACTTACGAATTGAGTGTTAATATCTATTTATCGAGGATATGTAAAATTATAGTGAGATATTAATGCATATGTATGTGTAACGGATACGATAGAAGACGTGGTATTTTCTTATATTTTAATGAACATCAAGAAAGGAGTAGCCTTCCATCTTAATTGCAGGATAAATATCATGCTATGCAATCACTAGAATCATATTCAACATTCTATTATAGGCAAAACACATAAGCGAGGTAAGTTTTTTCTAAACCCATGATTGTCAAGAGACTAAAGACAAGAAAGAGCTAGAATAGTCTCATTTTAAAAATTGCGTCTCTCTAGTACTCGTTTTTTATCTTAATAATATTACAATAGTTTGCTTATTTGTACATATTATATGAATTTTAAAATTTCTTTAATGAAAATATTGTTTGCATAACCTCCGATATAGTACAAGATACGATTAAAACAATGTAGACTGAAAACAAAAACGAGAGAAAACGTTTCGACAATAATTCCAAACAACGGACTTGAGACTGCTTTAAAAGCTGCAGAATTACAATTATTTTAGGATGTTTCATTATTGAAGTGACATTTTTATACTAGCTAGTAAATTATTATTAGATTTTAATTTTGTTACCCTTTGAAGATACAAAAGTATTTTTTTCGTTTAATTTTTAACATAAAGAACTAAAATCTTCGTTACATGTAACTTAAGCGAATAGTACACATTAAAAACATAATTGTGGTTTAGAACGTAAATTATTATTATTAAATTTTAAATTTACTTATTTTAAATTTATTTTAACTACTTGATGTTTCAGATGCTTCATTGAGGGACTTGATATGACCTAGTAAACTGATATATTTCGCCCTTTAAGGGTCTCAGCACACATATCGGATCGGAAAGGGATCGTAACCGTAACGCCTTTCGCCTTGCTGTCAACCAGGCGTCAACGTACCGTACGCACGTAACGAAAGCGTATCAGCAGCGCCTGTACATCAACTCGGCTACGGCTAGGCGACACCGCGCTTACGCCTCGTCGCCCGAAAGATATTGGGTACACAATATGAATAAAGCAAGGAGGACGCAAGCGCGGGGACGGAGAGACGTAAGCGCGGGGACGATGAGCCGTAAGCGCGGAGACGATGAGCCGTAAGCGCGGGAATTGCAAGTTCGGAGCCTGTTCCGAGGCGAGGCGATTACGTTATGATTCCGATTAGTGTGCGTTGCAGTAGGGAGTTTAATACAAACCATTCTGAACGGCTCGAGGCGTTACGGTTACGATCCCTTTCCGATCCCATATGTGTGCTGAGACCTTAAATGGTTAAATTTGTTTTATTTACTTTTTCGCTACCATATTCCTAACCAACTTAGTCACCTTGAACTTATTCAACTCAACAACAGATCAATAGTGATCGCTTAGTAGTTTTGCTGCCAGTGTCACGAAATCAACATACATGATTTTTAACTATCGATTCGAACAAAGTTATAGATCGATGCTAAAAAAGATATCTTAAGGAATAGGTAAAACTCACTTTCCCACACAATGCGAAGCTGTTAGCACCCACTGATCTGCAACAAGAACTCCTGCGCAGTAAAAAACCTCTTCAGGACCTCCCAAGATGGCGGCTAGGAAAGGCCAGTCTCCAGGGGAGGCTTCGACACCTCCCACTATTCGTTTTGTTGCTGGGGCTATAGTACGTCGTTTACCGCATTCTGTGGGGAATAAGTGGATTAAGACTTGGATAAACAGAAAAAATGGCGAACACTTTCGATTTTCCTAACAAATGATATGTTGTTTGACTTGTATGGCTAGTTATGCGTTTTTATATTTGGAAACATTCTTTAAAAACATTTAAATAAAAATTGTCTATATTTACAAAAGCGGGGTACACTAATAATATAATAATAATAAATAGGAAATATGTACAGGTACATTAAGTAACTAAGTTTTGCACATTTTAGCTTTGTATATATGCCTAATATTAGTATAGATATACTACATTGTAAATGTAATTGTATTTATACTAATATTATAAAGCTGAAAAGTTTGTTTGAACGCGCTAATCTCAGAAACTACTACTTGTAATTGTAATTTTTTGTCTTAATCAGAAAATTTATCGAGGAAGGCTTTAGGCTATAAAATATACCGCACGCTGCGACCAATAGGAGCGAAAGTGGAAAATGTGGATAAAACGGGAAAAATAGTTAATCTGTGAGGGTTTTCATTGCGTGCGCTGCGAAAACGCTTCAAGATAACCTAAAAAAGTATAGGAATGAATTATTCCTCTTTAAATGATCTAAAAATGTCTACGACAGTATATCCCTATCTTATAAAATTACCTTACAAGAACCGTTTTTATGGTAATCAAATTTCCTCGAAATACTGCATATGACAAAAGGAACGCTTGCCAAGTAGCGCTTATATTGTTTATTTTTCAGTTTAAAATAGATTTTACTTTTATCTTTACACTAGCTCGCGGCCCTGTCCCGGCTTCGCACGGTTATATAGACATATATAGGTTTACAGATATTTAAATTATAAGCATGCTAATTAAACGACCATGAATCACTAAATTAGAAAAAATTGTATTGCGCGTCCTCTCTGTTAACGACCGTGGTCTATCTCGCTGGTTCAGGAGGCGCTACGAGCGTTCAGTGTTAGTGTCCCGTGCACGCGTTCGCGGATTCCTAGCTCTATTTTCTTCAAGTCGCTGCGACGATCTTGCATTTTGTTCTGCAAGACGAACTTGAATGTTCGACGATAGATTCTCTGGCTCGCGATTGGGACGCGTACACTCTGATACTTTCCAGACGATCATTTTAGGAAGAAGACCCTCTAATACGACGAACTTTTGCTAATCTCGCTTGGAAACTATTCTTAGATAGCTGCGACCTTCTTCTTCTAGGCATATTGCTATGAATGATATTTATTTTAAATCAGAGAAATGAAGAATACAGTAATAATAATACAAATGAAAATATCCAAGTTCAAAGCGATAGTTCTGAAAAGAACTTTGACAAATATTATGCAAAGTGTGATTCCTAATACTAATACTAAGTAGCTATGGAAAGAAATTTTTAAGTGAAGCATAAAAATGGTAAAAAAAACCTCGAACTATTCAATGTCGTTCGCGCCCACTGCGCGCTGCCTCTCTATCGTCGAATTAGTTACTCGATGCGCGGCGTGGCGGCCGCCGCCGGCATGTATTTTTATTTTAATTTCATGATATCTTTTGAATGGCATGTCCGATTTCATTAATTAAAAAAGCAAACATTAGTTTTTGAGACAGTCTTGAATATTAAATTTATAAATGGTATGGATAACACGGTCTGATTTTGATCGGCATGTCTATCAATTTGTCAATTGTAAATAAGTAGTTATAGTTACGTAACTACAATAGTTAGACATATGCTCTTGCGATGTTTTTTGTAGATATTGATATTTTCTATAATATTGTCGAACATTTTTTTGTCCTATCATAAATACAAAAATACAAATCTTTCCTCCTTATAATATTGATATAGATTTAAGGCTTCCCCAAAATTGCAATATTATTGGCAGTGCTATTTAAAACGTGTTGAAACACTCTCTCTCGCTATAGCGATATATAGTATCCAACGTAATCATTATGGAATTTACGAAAATGTTAGCAAAGCTCAGCGTAATTATCTCAAAGGGATCACGAATTACAGCGATCTCCCAAAAGCGGCCCGTGTTTGCATCACCTTGACGTCCGGCGGTTTCTAAATTGAAATTTAAGCAAAACTCCTTTCGGGACAGGGTAAATAATACCTTCGGAGTTCAAAGCATAAGCGGTTAACGATTTTACGTTACGTTTGTAAATATAAATCAAATTGTTACGTGAAGTTTCTTGAACTTATTCTTGTTTAATTTGTCAATAATACTTCTTTCCAAGTAATAGATACAGATGGTAGTAATAAACATGTCGGTTCAAAACATTCATTAATTTATTGTTGCTATAACCCGACGATTCGAAGTCCTTCAGCATTTCCTTCTTCACGCAACAAAAAGCATTACATTTGTTAAATTATTGTAACTGACGTTTTCATGGTGTGTTTTATATACATAACATAGAGAAAAATAGAAGTAATAATAAAGCGGTCATTAATTTTTCACGCTTAAAATTATAGCGTTTCGCTTCAGCCTTTCGCGTGGGCCGCAAGTTTTTCAACATGACGCACAACCATTACAGAAGATAATTAAAGTTTTTTGCAGACCTCGCACCGGGATAACAATTAAGAAAAACAGATTACAGCAGAGGGTCTTTGTCTCAACCTCTGCGGTATTAGATAATCTTATTATAATTTAAAAAACATTTCTCATTACGTATATTATATGGGAGGGGGGAACCAAACAGTGAGTTTGTTTTAAATTTGTCACGTCGACTAATAATATTGAATGTTGCAATTATATACACACTTATACGCTTTAGTATTCATAGCTAATGTTGCAGCGCCGTATGAATGTATGACAAAGGATTGTGCTACGCAACAATATTAAAAGGTTTTTTAAGTTACTCAATATCTTGTGAAATTTTTAACAAACAGTTAGTTCAACAAGTAACACTGAAATTGAAATGCCAAAAATTCATATTAACAGATTACAGTTTTCAAAAAATGGTGTAGCAATAAATTTTATAATTTTCTCATTGGTGTTGAAATAAAACACGTTAAATGATATAAAAGGGGAATTATATGAGTTAACTTATTTTTTATTTAATTTAACTACGATCCGATGTTTCGGATGCTTAGCTCCCTTGATCGATTGCTGAGTTAATTTAAGATACGTTAACTAATATATTTCGCGTTTTAAAGCATTGAAAGTGTTTTATTTAAATGTGTACAACTCGTATAAACTACAGACGATCCTTAATATGCCTGTGCAATCGTTTATTTGTTTAACGTTACGTCCTGAGAGCACTAAGAAAATCACGACGATTTTTCAGAGAAAAGCCTTAGGTAAGCTCTAGTTTTTCCCACTGAAGCAAGAATAGCCTGATGTATAGCTGCTATAAAATATAAGATAACAAAGCTGTGGCCTCCTCGGGTGGACAATGAAAGATTACTTCAGCACAATGCTCACCTTACACATCTTAACGAGTGTGTGTGTTTCATATGTATGTGTGTGTGACAAGTCACGTAAGATAATCTCAAAGGAGAAAAAAAATCCTTTTTGCCCCTTAAAAACCCTAAAAAATTGTAAAAATCTAATCTAAGGGTCTCTCGAATTTTTTTAAACCAATTTTTTTCTAAATTATTATAACCAACGTGAATTAAAAATCAATTTTAAATTGAAAAAAAAATTATGACTCGGGTAGGACTTGAACCGGCATCCCAGCGTTCCGTACTGTTGCTCTAACATATTGAGCTACCGATTTTTATTATATTGTGCTCACGTGCATAACATGTGAATAAAATAAAAGTTTTCATAACTAACGTGTATTAATAGGCTTTCATGGCACTAATTATCAATTTTGCAAATATATTTTTTTGTGTCGTCTTAGGTAATGGGTCCGCTGTCGCAACGGTATGTGAGTTACAATATTGGATTTTCAGTAATTTATTCGAGCTGTCAAAACGGCCCTCGCGGGAATTTAATAAAAATCGACATTAATTCACATTCTCATCTCACGACTCGAGATTAGTTTGAAAACTTATGGAAAAGTTATTCTCTTTTTGAATGGTATTCAAATTACTTCGAGATCGAACTTATTTGGAGATTAAGGGATCATAAATTTTTATCGTTATCGTTGATACCAGAAATTGAATTGTGATAGTTTTATATCGCGTCTTATAAGCGATTAAAACTTAGTAGTTAGACTTAGACTAGACTAAATCTATAAAAACAAATGAAGATAAACTGTTACAGGTGCAAATCTTGACAACTGCGTAAGTATTTTGGTTTATATAACATCATAGATCGACCGCGAATCATTAATATAATTAATCGAGTAAACCTCACGTTTGTAATTATAGTGTTTTTTTATAATAGATGTAAGACAGTTACATCTATTATAAAAAAATATATAAAAACAGTCTAATTTCAAGTGTCCTTGAGTTTGCACAAATGTCGGGAAATAAATCAGGTCCAATCATATCCGACACGCTTCTTAAAAACGTCTCGGGAACATTTTTATTTTTACTCGTAAACGACGCAAACGAAGGGCCGACTCGACGACTATCGTTGCTTGTAATAGCCCCTTACAGGTGTCCCGACCGAATGTCGAGCTTATTACAGGCCTAATAAAGACGCATTTTATTTGCGGTTTTTATCTTCAACATTTACAGTGCGATACTAAAAAGGCTGTAAATTTTTGTAATGCTTAATTATGTTTGTATTATAATTTAAAACGTAGAGTCAATGTACAACGCGAACATGTAGTTAGTTTTCATTTGTCTGCATAATTCAAGAAAAATCAAAAAGAGAAAATGTCATTTGATAAGATATATTCATCTTGAGCTAGATTAAGGACATGAAAATACTAACACAATACTGTCTATAGTTTACGCGAGTAGTACACATTTAAATAAAACACTTTAACGGTTTAAAACGCCATATATTAGTTAAACTTACTTATAAGGAAACTTAAGGAAAATTTTGTGATTTTTTGGATCTTTTTGACGGGCTCGTCATGAGTTCGATTCCCAACGGATCTGACATTTCCTTATCAATGTATAATACATCTCATCATCATCACCTTACTAAAACACTTAGGACTTTCTAATGGATGGTGGGAATAAAAAAATTCCGTCCGGGTCACGAACCACATATGGAAAAGCCGTAAAATTTAATCGCGTACACTTAATCCACAGACTAAGATTCCACCATAAATAAAATATATATAAGTACCGGCATCCATGTGGAATATTCCAGTGATTTTCTTTTCACATAACTTTAAATTAGATAGCAACACGAAAATACTTTCCCCTGCGGAACTCCGGACAGAGAAAGAATGCGAATCTGTTAAAACATGTGTAAGCGACGAGTCGGATTTTAACATAATTCGGACTGAATAAAATTCCAAGTTTGTTTTAATAAAATCCCACAAACAGGTCTACAGAAGCGGTCACTTTAGGGTTGGTAAAACTGATTTTAAAAGTGCGTACATTTAATAACGTAAAGAGGACACAGTAGTTAGTCTGGGGCATGGGGAACACATTTTTGTGTCCGTGACACTGATCTGTTTTATTTGCAGGTGATCAGACTTCAGTGCCTTGCCCAACCGATACAGGTAATTCTTTCATCGGGATTCATACCTTGATTCTGTCAAGAATAGTTGTGACAATATAGATTGATAATATAATTCCAATTTTAAACAGAAACATTCATGTCATCATTATATTTAGAACAAATTCTTTTGTTTATATTATATAACTGCAAATAACACCCATGCGTAAATAAATAGGATTTTGGACAGCCCTATTCAAGAGAAACTTTTTGCTATATTTGAATTACACAAGTTTGGCTTTGAGCTTTGCTTGTCTAAAAGTTAAGCCGTATTCATAGGGTTTCTTATGCAGCTTGGTTCGGATTTAAACATTTTTAATGTTGCGATACAATTTGGACAAAATTATAATTATAAAATGAAGTAACAAAGCAGAGGTTGAAAATGTTCATATAACGCTCGGAAATTAAAACTCAGTAGTACAATTCAACATTTTAAAAACAATGTCAGAGTTGATGAACAAATTAATAACAATAGTTTTTAACGCGCCAAAGTATTTTTTTTCACTAAACAAATTTTATTGTGAGAGGCAGTTCGAAATTTAAATTAAACCTTTGATAAGTTACCTCTTTAGTCTCCATGCTGCGGAGTATATCGTTTGATTTTTTAATTACAGGACAAATATAATTTTACATAATAATTTATTAGACCATTAAACCTAACAGATATAGATATTAGACACAACTATTGCCGGCCGCTGCTCGACCCTTACAGCAAGTTCGATTTATTTCGAAGAAGCTTGTCAAAATAATGCTGAAATTTTACGTAAAAATTTCACAAAACATTACGTAAAACGTATGTGAACCAGACGAATAGTAGACACATAAAACAGATTAAATAAAAGCGAATAAAAATACATTTGCATGGCGGGCGTAATAGCATCAGAAATGGGATGCGGGCAGCGTTGCGTGTGATTGGGCTCCCGCACTTTTAATGCCACTTTGACGAGCCAGACTTGTGACGTCATCCACACTAATAACCTCATCCCGTGCTGTCCTCGGGGATCGAAATATCATAGTCATGCCCGGTCAACGGCGGACGTCACTTTGTGATTTTCATATTGGAAAATGTATTAAGATAAAATTCATCGTTTTATACGCCAAAAGGTTAACGATGTTTATTTAATTGTTACCGTAGTTACACCAATTAAACTTAAACTGTTTACTTTTAGTAAAATATTAAATACTACGTTCTTCGCTCGTGTCCAGTTCGAATTTAGTTTGAGGTGAGTGCGACTTTTGTCATTCGATTCCAATCGAAACTTGTAAAAGTATAAACTAGTACACGTTTTTTTAAATATCTACTTCTATCTCTTTTTATAGTGTATATGAAGTAGGTATATAATTCAATAGCATTTATGACAGTGGTAGAACGAAGTTAGGTATGATGTTGCTAGCATCTGAAAATGTCTACCTCACTAAACAAAGATTCGACTATCTACCCACGAACATTCAGTTGATGATTTTTAATTCTGATTCTAAATCAAGTTACCTAAATGACTTAGGTATTCCATAACATTCTTTGAGAAAAACAAAACAAAATTAATTATACTCACCATAATTATTACAAATGAGATGTATTCTTTTGGAATCGTGTCTGCAGTCCTTCAGCTCGCGCAGCAGGCCACCCTCGCTTCTCTGAAAGGCGCGATAGGATTGCGCTACGCCGTGGAATAAGGAGCCTTGGCCACCGAAGAGAGCGCTGGATGTGAGAGCGTGAGTTCTCCCAGCCCTGGGTGCTCCACCAACTATTTTGCTCTTGTTGACAACCCTGAAGAAAACTTCTTAATTGAATTGGTTGGCGTCGTTTCCCTCGTTGGACTAGAGATTAGTGAACTGGACTGCAGACCATGCAGTTCAAATCGTGGAGCTGGTAAAACATTACATTGGCTATTTGTAATGATTCACAGTTTAGAAGTAAGAAGTGGCATCATTCCTATTTCTCGGGGGACTAGTGAAGCCGTTGGTCTTGTTTGTGTGGTACGAATTTAGTGACGATAGTCGTTAAAACCCATCTAAACAGTGTAGTAGGACTAAGCTCTGAAAATTCTCTTGTTTGCAGTAATCGAAAAAAAATCAAGTAGTATCTATCTATTTAACACAGGATATTATGTGTTCCTTTTATCGTATTCCCTTTGTGTTAAAAAGTACTTACGTATAACCCAGCATGGAGCAAATTTCAGCAGCTGTATCGTGATCTAAAGGTGCAGCGGCCAGACAAGCTGGAAACCAAGATTGGTTGGCAGCCCGGTATACTTGCACTTCGCCTGTACCCACGTCGCCGTTTGACTCACTCAGACGCACTGATTTACAAAAGAAGATGCATATAAATACAGCAATGAAATTCTTGCAAAACATGAAAATCGTCGGGCCGTAGTTAAAATAATTTTCAAAACAAGTTTAACAAAAATATATCGCGTTTTAAACCGTTAAAGTGTTTTATTTAAATGTATACTACTCGCGTAAACTTCAGGCTGTATTTGATGACGATAAAAGTCAATGATATGTAAGACTAAGTTTAAAATATATAGAACTAACAGCAATTCCGTTCGTCTTGGCCCCACGGACAGTCCACTTTTCCATCGCAAAGGTGCGTTTGTGAGATACAGCGCTGGTTTCCACAGTGGACATCGCCTGTTCGTTTGCAGACGCGGCAGTTAAGCTCGTCTGAACGATCCGCGCAGTCGACGTGGCCATCACAGCGCCAGTCGTGAGGGATGCACCGGTTCGTGTCGCATTGAAAACCGGATTGGCATACTGTATAAAGGATATATATTATGAATGAATGAAATATATAATAAGGACAGACAAACAAGGGGTTCCCGTAATGGAAGGTTTGAAAATCCACAGAATAAGACCAAAACGCGATTATACTTAAGGACTTTTTTGTCTGTGGACAATGTATCGTACAGAACAGAATTTCGAAATTCCTACCACATATGTAATGCCCAATCTTTCCAGACTAACATGTTTCAGAATAATTATACTGACACGGTGGGTAAATTGGTAACAGCAACCATGGAGCACTGTGATTGTAGGATAGTCACCGTCATCATTGCTTTTTCAATATAAGATATTTAAAATAAAGACACACAAGATAACTTGCTTTACATCACTATATAAATCTACATTATTTTTTATACCATCTAGATACATTTGTTTTACTCATAATTGTTTACTACAAATGCAAAATTCGCATATCATTGGATGTCGTATAATTAATTTGCATCATGTACGTACTGATCTCACTGAGGTGAAACACGAAATTAGGTAGTTACGTGTTCATTAACATGGTATGTGCTTGTTAATTTGGCATTTCACTTGCAGAAATGAATGGGATAGATTGTAAACAATCTAGCAAAAATTTGTACTAATTTTGGACTAGGTCTGGTTGGTTAAATGTTATGTTATGTACAAAGAGGAAGGCCCTAGGATTAGAAAGTAGACAAGGCAAAGGTATCAATAAAGCAAACAAAGAAATATTTCTGCAGCACACTGGGTATTATAAGGGCCCAGGATACTTCTTATAAGGGCATCGATATTCTATGTTATCAAACGTATATTATATGCACTAACTTAATACATGTATTGTAATATAACTAATTCAAACCATCGCATTGTGAGATGGCATTTTATGTAACGTACAATGTCCTGGTTTCTCAGCCCTCATCTTTGCCTCTTTGACCTCCTTGTTTCCTAGACAAACGTCTGTATCGGTGGACTCGGGAAAGATTTCGCATTGAAGATAATCTGGCATTGACAGACCAAAAACTTCCAAGAAGAAACCGCAACGACGCATGGTCTCTATGAAAGAAAAAATCGTATTATCAACCCATTAGTGGAATCTTAAAGTTAATGATAACCAATTAATGATAATTAAAAGGGCAATGCATTTTTTGTCGTTTACCTTGACAGAGGCTCCTACATGGCCGAACCATATGCCCCAATGGCCCACATTTAGGGACGAAAAGGGAGCAGAGAAACAGCGCTGTGAGTTCGTAGCATCGGACGTCCACCACTGCATCGTAGATTTCTAGGTCCTTAAGATGGACAAAAGGACGACTAATTAATTTAATTATATTACTATTCTAATCAACACAATAAAAATTTTCAACAGTGACTTGTGAACTAAAATTTTGAATTTTTTTTACCCCAAAACAAATGTTCTAATTAAGCTTTTTTAACTTATTGTTTTTTTATGATTTACTTTCATCTATAGCAATATATAAATCAAAGTTTAATTTTAGGTTGTAACATACAAGAAACAATTTTTGTAATACTTTCTGCTGACAAAAAATTTGTGCTTCTTGATTCATTTAGTTGAAGTCACTGTAATAACTGTATTTGTACAATTTTGTTCTTATGGAGTGCAGTTGGTGTCTTAAGTATCTTTAGAAATAAAACTTCAAAAGTACTTTTCCTCTCTTAATTAGTTCTGAACGGAATTTTGACATTCCTACCACCCATCTAATATCCAGGTTATCAGAGAAATTCCGACAAGCTTCAGAAATCGTAAATTCATTAGAAACATGTTGGATCTGGTGGGATTCAAATCCACCACTCGTTGATAACCATACATTATATCAACAAGCCTGTCAAACACAGTTTAGCCCCTTAATTCTATTGTATTGTTAGTTGATATATCGATGCTAATACACCATTAAACGGCTTAGAATCCAGTTAACTTCGTTATCTGCGAGAATGTTCTACAAGCTTCCTAGTACGTTGTCTTATGTCTTAACTAAGCACTACACTTGGACCATAAATATCCTATTGTACGCGACGTGGTGTCACAGAAAACGCTATTGTGAGGAGACAAAGATTGATTTGATCTGAGATCAACCCGCTTTCAAAATGGCGGAATTACATTACATTTAATTGGAAATACTAGTTAGGACAATGAAATGAACATTTTAAAACTTAATATATGAAAACGAAAAAAAGGTACTGCCTAATTTATAGTTTACTCGATTAATATACAAGTTGTAAACACGAAATATATTAGATACCTTTTTTTACAATTTATTTTTACTATGGCCCGATGTTTCGGATGCTTTGAAGGATGCGTTGAGTCCCACTGTAACTTATTAAGTGTCTTTTTTTGGTCAAGTTATAAAAAATAATTGCATTATATTAATAATAAGTAGTAATCAAGAATAAGTAAACCCTTCTGACGGAGAAAGGGATCCCATGTCAGTTGGCATTCATATATTCATGGGATATGACTTTATTTAGATGAAAAATGTAAAAATCTATTTTCAAACCAATAAATTTGATGACAGTTAACAATCAATATAATTTTTAAGTCTATCAATTAAGAAGGAAAACGTATCTCTAAATATAACATAAGTGCAGATCCACTCGTGACCACGGCTGCTGCAAAGCCTCGGAAATGTCGGAAGTTATCCGGCCCGATGTAAAAATTTGATTTGCTAAAAGTGTTTCATTTAAATGTATACTACTAAAGTAAATTACAGAAAATATCTCTCAAACAATAAATAAACATCAGATGATTGTATTTCGGCCTGTTCGGCCGAAGTGAGCGAGAAGAGGTTCTCCGTTTCGCCATCACGTGTGGACGGCATCATCAGATGTTAACCCCTCGATTGCTCGGAGATTTAATTTCTTCGAGCAATCGAGGTGTTAACATTTCCTGCTGAACGATGGCCGTGAAAGCCTTACACAATTTGATAAATAAACAGTTTGGATGTGAAACAATTTAGTGCTTGAACAAATGGAATACTAATGTAGCATTATTTGAGACTAGTTGAAATACCCACACAAAGCGTAATTGCTTAATAATCTATAGTTTGAGCCATATCGACGTTTAATGTATGCATAATTTTGAAATGGGTAGTTATCGCGCAATCTTCATGAAAGTGATCGTTTAATTTGATCGTTTACAATATGTAATTTTACATTGAACGGGGAAATCTCATTCTCGATTTGAGTCAGAATAAAAATTAGTTGCGTTAATTGGGTCGTTTCCTTAAAACTATTTATGCCGGCCCGTGTTTTTGCAACGCAGTTGAAGAAGGAAATGGAGGGAGAGGGGGGCGAACAACACGGGACAATCCACTAGCGTCCATTTTGACACCAACGTGCTTTAAACAACTATTCATAGATTAAAACTAATATTATGAAAAGCTGAAGCCGTTAAACCGAAAACGAGCCGTGACCTCCGTCGAGAATAAAGATAATGATTGACAAGTCGGCTAATCGGATTGGGGAAGAATGGCTTCAGCGCCAATTAATTTGTGGGCACTAATCTCCTGCCACCGTGCTGCGTCACGTCGATCGCGAAAGAACCACTTTGAGAGCACAATTAGAAGAAATCTATACTAATTTTAAAACTGAAGAGTTTGTTTGTTTGAACGCGCTAATCTCAGGAACTACTGGTTGAAAAATTATTTTTGTGTTTATAAGAGAGATTCTTCGAGAAAGGCTTTGTGCTATAACACAATCAGAATAGTTGCGATCAATATGACCGAGGAAACAGGAATTTTTTTTTCTTATCTTTGAATGTGGTCAAGATTATACATAAAAAAAACCGAATTATTAGTACACATTTAATAACGGTAAGAACAATAAATTGAAAAAAATTATTTCGACTCGGGCAAGACTTGAACCGGCATCGTCAGCGTTCCGTGCTGTTGCTCTACGAATTGAGCTACCGAGTCAAGCTCTGCCTGAGTCGAAAAATTGTTTTTTCAATTTATTTTAGATTTTTAAATTGTATAGTGCCTTCATGTAAACAATTATAAAGTTTTCAAAAGTTTATTACTTGTTCATATAAGTTCATACTTAGATTAAGCACAGAACTCATTTAGATCTCTATTCTTTTTACAGCGAAGCCAAGTATAATGTACTTTTGGACTTGGCTCCTCATTTTACATTTATATTTTTGATGCGATAATATAAACATTCAATAATTTGTTTAAACTAAGAGTGGAACCAACAACAGGCGTTGCCAAAGTCGCCAACATTACTAATAAAATATATCATAAATATTCCTTTCATAATTTCAGGTTTGTATTTATTTTTGAATTTACTCAAAGTTAATGTCGCTTTACGTATGGATTAGTCAAATACATTTGCAAAGGATTAAAAAGTACAGTGAAATAGAGAAGTGCAACGAAGGTTCTAGTTGAATTAACTGAGCGGGTGTAATGGAGCTTTTAATTAAGCTGCTTACATCTCCTTGAAAGCGCTTCATTATCGTAATTAGCCGTATTCTCAGAAACTACAGCGGCTGGGAACATATTAATAATAAAAAACTCAACTTTGCTAAGTATTGTTCTTACCTGAAAATTGAATTGAAATTTATTTAATATTTAACTCAGAACTATAAAACGTCAAAGGGGTGAATAATTACTATATAAATAATTAAAAAAAAACACTCTAACCGTTTAAAACATGACATATATTAGTTAAACTTGCTTGAAAATTACCAGCCAAATTACCTGCTGCAAAGCATCCGAAACGTCGGGCCGACTTAAAATAATTTTCAAACAAGTTTAACTAATATATATCGTGTTTTAAACCGTTAAAGTCTTTTATTGAAATGTGTACTACTCGCATAAACTACAGACAGTGTTGATATAAAGAATTGTTAACGGTTTTAACGTTGCGTCGGTCCAAGCCGAGGCCGATGCCCCCCTCGGGGCACCTTTGGTCTAACCGCAATCACGGCGAGCGCTGACGCGCTCGCCCAAAACGCCCGGTTAGTATATATAGTAAAGCGCCAATTTTTTCTCATAACAAAGATTCTATCAAACAAAGTGTAGTTTAAACTGAAAAATATCGGAGGGGGGGGGGGATTCCTTCGAAACTTGTATTTTATTAAATAGGTGGCTTAAAATTGTATCAGTATATACAACTGTCACAAACACATAGTATTTCATCTTTAAATTATCTATGAAATGTATATGTCTATCGTTTAAGATCATCTTGCAAGAACGACGGGTCGCGGACGACGTCGTGTTGTTAAATACACACCTGTTGAGCGTCCCTCTGACCAAAATGTCCGATGTAATTCGGGAACACGGTAAAGTTGTATGATATCCTGTGCTGGTGGCAAAAGCTCACGATTACAGGCAAACAGACACCTGGCGCTGGGTTTCTCGCTCCAGGAGGCTCTGTGGGTGCGGGCCAGGTCACCACCGTGGACCGGTTGACTACTTGCGATACATACTGTAGTAAAAAAAGTAAATTTAATGATCCAATGAACACAATGTTGTAGTATAATAATCTGTTAAAGGCTTAAATTGTAAGGAGTCTAAGATTCTACACTTAATATGTATCGATCACTTTGTGCGCTTTTGGAAAAATTAGAAGATTTGTTTTTATTCAAGATGGTAACTTTATAATCTTAAGTAGTCTTAAACCTAACCAATTCCTGAAAAGATATTTTATTATGGATTAAACAACTTCCCTATTAGTTTTTTACAAGCAAGCGCTAAGTTGAAGCATACCTTTAGTTAACTTCAAACAATCTGTAAATACAGACGACGGTTTGAGACATCATTTTTAACGGTTTAATACATGGATTTAATAAGTTAACTTATGCTTTGCAGCAGCCTAATTCACGGGGATGAATTAAAAATATGTTAACAAATATATTTAGAGTTTTAAACCGTTCAAAGTATGTATTTTTAAAATGTGTACCTTAATACGCAACTGTTAAGGTTTAAAGTACATGAGGATCGTGTATCAACAGGCTGAAAAAAATCGACGATGACGTGTAGGGCACGGTAGCTCGATTAGAGTAACAGCACGAAACGCTGTAGATTAAATCCTGCATGTATCGTCGATTGTATTTAATCCAAAATCGATTTTAAATTTATAAAACGTATCCTCGCTCAAACTACAAAAATTCTTAATGGGGATTATGGTAAAAATTTGTAAACATGATTTTAATTCTGCTTACTAAGCAATGCAATAAAAAAGTAAGAACGAGGTGATATTTAGTTGATTTATTTTCATAATGAAAAATCTTTATAGAACAAGCTAAGCTTCAGGTTTTATAACGGAGGTATTCCCTGGTCGTAATAAAATGAACCTTTTGTTAATATTAATTAACATATTTGCTACACGCCGACATTCTTCAAGCGGTCGATTCAGAGAGAAATTATTCCAAGTATTTCAAGCATTATGCGATATTAATTTATATGCTTTGCTTTGAGGTGCATAGTAATTATGCTTGGTATTAATGGAACTACTACACTAAACTACTACCGCGGTGATCAGATATTCAAGAGATTCACCAACATTGAAGGTTTGTAAGTTACCATTAACTGGTTGTAAAAATCACATACATAGTAATTTAGTAATTAAAAAAAGTAAAAATATATTTAAATAAGTATAGTCTTTTATTTACGCGAGTATTACACAATTAATTAAAACACTAAACGGTTTAAAACGCTAAATTTATTAATTAACTTATTTGTAACGAATTTTAATTACGGTTGGACGTTTCTGATACTTTGCAGAAGTTGTAGGCACAGGAGGACTACGGCTTAAGAGTAACTAAGTTAACTAAACAGTAAAAAGTGTTTTATTTAGGCCGAGTACTTTGGCTGTCCAGTTACTGTTATAGAAGAAAAGAGGGCACAGAAACCTCAATTTTTAATGGCAGATCCCCTTAGATATTTTTATTTTGTTTGTCATTAGAATTTGTAAAAAAATTACTTGTTAAGCTATCACTCACTCTCATGACTGATAGACCCTTTCAGTACGAATCCCTAGAAAGATATTTAACACTAAAATAATTACCCTTTGCCCCCTGCGTGGGCATTGGGCAGACATTTTCAAAGTTTCGCTAGCAGATATATATAGTAAGAATCATAGATCTCTGTTTATCATAATTATACTTAAAAAGGTTTAATTATTATATTTTATAGAATACAAAAACTGATAATAAGACCGTAAAAAATGTAACACAAGACGATAATGATTATTACTGTTACTAATTACAAAATAGCATTTTGTCGATATATTTAAGTAAGGAAATACGCGCGTCTGAAGTTACTCGAACATTCTATCGAAAACATAAAAGCCCAGAACAAAAGACGCGAGAGTAGCCCATTGACGTCTGAAACAAAGATTTTCGCGAAATAACATCTATATCGCGCCCTTTGTTGAGTGGAATTGAAAAACAAAACAGCATAATAATTGTACCCGCCCTATTGTTCGCGATCTTTGAGTTGAAGAAAGGAATTAGAAAAGGATATAATTATTTGACATAGCATTTTCTGACATACATAAGCAGTCATTTCAGGGATCTTCGAATACCAATTACGATGCAATAGATGGCGCTAGCGTAGCTGATTTGTTACTAGGGACACCCTTAATCTTCAGTTTTCCCGTGGCTCATAACTGTATATAGTAGTTTCTTAAGGAAAGGTTTTTATTTATTTACTATTTTATAGGGAACACTATGTACCTACTGTCTGGTGTTTACGCGTCGAAATTTTTTTTTCAATGGTAATTAAAAAGTATTTCGTAAATTGTGTTATTTTACATTATATTTATTATTCTGTTACCTAATCTATATATATGAATTTTATATATTTGAAACACTAAATAATATAAAATTTTGTGTTCAAGTTCTGCAGAAGCGACAAGCCGCAATAATTGTCAGCTGCTCAAGATTAAAACCTTTGTTATTTCTTCGAAACGTCTTGCTTGACGTAGCACTTTGCAACTCAAAGGCAAGCTTAAAAGCTTGTCAAGGTAGATTTAAACTACATTTCGTTCGTACGAAATCCCTTTTGTGTTTTATACAGAAGGAAAATGCCTATTGCAGGCCACATACGGACAAATAAACTTTTTTATAAGAGACAAGGACAGAACAGCATGTGGTTTACTTGATAGTAGGTGAAGCACTCCAGCCATGTTTTGGTTTTGAATAGTCCGAAAGGCTAAACGGAACAGTGACTTAGGGGAAAATAATTTCTTGTCTGTCTCAATGGTGTCCTTTGACTGGTAAATAAGGTTTGGGAAGTATACCGTTGTAATAGCGTCGATGGCTAGAATGTATAGTATTTTTTTTATGAAAAAGGTGAACAAGTATGGGATTCAAGGTACATGGTCATCTATAGAAGATGACCTATTTTCGTTTGATTGGAAATCCACAGACGGAAACCGAAACATGATAATCTTCATGGCTTTTTCATATTCGATATTCCTACCAATCATTCAACATCCAGGTTTTCAGACAAAGTCCAACATGTTTAAGAAAATTATAAATTGCAAGTTTGAAAAATTTTACGGGTGGGGTTCGAACCCAAGAGCCAGTTGCTTATTAGCCGTACATTGTGCAGTGCAGTATCGGGACCATATTTGGTTAAACTTACTTGTACAGCCGGATTAGCTCTGAAGTACGCAAAGAGGGCGCCAGTGATAGCCAAGAGTGCCACCGCATTCAAAGCCAGTTGCATCAAACGGAATTTGTGAGCTGATCCATCTGATGCACCGCCCCGCATGTCTCTTAACATCTGAAAGTCACAAGTCATTAGTCGTGTTCTACGCGTACACATTTAAATAAAACACTCCAACAGGTTTAAAACGTATGTCAAAATTTTTCAAAGTTTAAATAACTTATTTATGTGTTACTAATTTTTCCATGGGGGGGGGGAAAAACAACCGAAACGTCGGGCCGAAGTTAAACATTTTCAAATAAGTTACTAATTATCGCGTTTTAACCGTTAGTGTTTTATTTACATCTTTCTACTCGCGTAACTATAAACAGTATTTAAATATATAAAGGCCTTAATTATAAAGTAAACATACGGATGTCACGTTTGAAGGTATCATACGTGTGTAATAGTTTCAGTAAATTTTTATAGAGAAAAAGTCTTGAAACATTATGACATTATCCTCAATATAGTTTTCAATAAAACAGTTATTATTGAGTTACATATGTCTAAAGGTTTTCTCATATAGCTTATAGCTTTTCTTGCTATGGTTTAAAAAGTTGATTTAAGAAAAGGCTGCGGAGTTTAATCGCGTTTCAGTTTAGTCAGTGGATTTTCGAATATCCAAAGGCGAAATAGGCGGCAGCGCATCTTATCAATTCATCCGTGCTTGTCTGCCTTTGTCAATCATAAAAATATTTAAATTTATTCTTTTAATAGAACGAGTAAAATCTTTGAATTCATATTATTAGTACAGATCTTGCGCCACGTTTGCGCAGAAGCCCTCAAGACCACAGAAGAATCTAACGAGGTTAAACCGCTTACGTTTTAAATCCGAAAAAATCAACAAAAAGACCTCTCGTTTCGCAGTCTGCTGCGTTTGATGCAGGCCTTTGTGAAGGAAACTCGAGCTCGTATTACGCCACCTAGACGTTCAGTTAGCGCAATTAACAGGACGGCGTGCGACTAAAAAGCCGCTCTTTTTAGAACTTTGTTAAGAATGACATATGTATTTTAACTTGGCACTCAAAATTCATATATCGTTATCTGTGAATTCACTCGATTAGTTTTCAAATTAGGGTGAATCTTATTAGGTCTTTGCTTTCCACCAATAATTTTTTTAGTAGTGAAGAAAATTATGAAATGAAAACTGCCAAAAAATTGTCTACATATGAAGACCCGACAGCACTAGCTATCATTGCTAAGATAAAAGAAAAGTTTTTTTTTACAAACATTGTTTATGTTAAAAAGGAGGATGCCGGTTCAAGTTCTCCGTCATAATTTTTTTCAACTCATATATTTTTAGTTATAAGTGCCATAGTTCACTAACATATTGTGAAAAATGTACTGAAATTCTACGAATTTATCCCTCAACCTTCTTGCCAGGGAAAGTTTGAATTTTTCTCGACTAAAACGGGTACTCAAAGCGAAATCCTTTAAGAGAGACGCTTGTAGACTTGCCAAGTGTTACTTTTCTACTTTTGCACTTTACCTTGTATTTGCAGCTACTATAACATATACAAAAATAGTTACAACAAATATTATTATTTAAAAAGGAAAAATTTTTAGGTGTTAATATCAAAAATAACTTTAACGCGTAACTTTTAAGTTACATCAATTATTAAAGTATACATAAAGAAATACAGTCCCAAAAAGCATATCTTTTAAAGGGCTTTAAACAGTTAAATTGGTTTAAAAAGATTCACTTTCAAATTAATATTCAATATCTTTCAGGGGTCCCGTTGCGTGCGCTGCGTAAACGATTTCAAATATCCTAAAAAATATTTATTTTCGTTACAAACATATTCTAACATTACAGAACAATGTCCATTGCGATAGAATTATTTAGTACATACTGTCTATAGTTTACGCGAGTACACACAATTAAATAAAACACTTTAAGAGGTAACTAATATATCGTTTTAAACCGTTAAAGTGTTTTATTTAAATGTGTACTACTCGCGTAAACTATAGACAGTATGGAATTAACCAGTACGGGCTGGAAAATGCAAACAAAATTCAAAAATAACTAATATATCGCGTTTTAAACCGTTGAAGTGTTTTATTGAAATTATTTAGTACATATTTCATGGTTTACGTCGGAACAGGTGTAACTCTTGTTATTTTCCATTGCTCGAGATACACCTGCGCCCGTAAACAAGAGTTAAAAATGCAGTGGAGAGGCTCGGCTAGGACTCCGGTGCAATCTTTGAAAAGAAAGGCTGGAATGGCATGCGAACGTTTAGGCTTCAGTCGAGATAAGGCTTTTCTGACCTCCGCTAAACTGAGGCAGTCCATCTGAACCCGTGCACTGCTGTTTCCGTATGTACCTGCCGCTTCAATATCCAACCGAGGCTGCTGAGTGGCATAAGCGCTTTTAAAGTAACGCGCAAATTCGTCAGCGCACTCAACACCGGTCAGTAGTTTTCCATCGCTATTGGTTATAATTAGCCTATTTCCAGAACCTATTCTTTTGTATATGTTTCCAGAACATCGTAAGATTCTTGAAAAATTTACTTTGAATTTTATTAATATGACCCTCATATGCAGTCCTAATGTAATTTTTTACTATTTTCCGACATGAGGAAATTTCAATATAGTCACTCGATAATTTAGTAGTTTTATATTTTTTATGAAGACTAGCTTTTAACCTAATTTTATCAATTATTTCCTTTGTGAACCATTGTGGATACTGTTGATAGGATAAATTTTGTTTGACCCGTTTTTTAGGCACGCATTTGTCTAATAAATTATATAAAACACTATAAGTAAGATATAAGAGATAATAAAATATTTAAAAGAATAATACTTCTTTAAAAGATGTAAAACATGAACACGACAGTATATGTCTATATTGTAAGAAAAACTCGCAAGAACGAAGGGATGCATACGTACTCCCTCTTTTTGCTCTGGAAGTCTCATCTGCAACTAGCTAGCAAGGAAAAACTAAAATAGACTAAATAATTATTAACATTTAAATTAAATTAACAAATTAGAACAAATGCCTTCAACTTATAAAAAAACAATAGAAACATAATTATGTAAAAACTATATAACATTTTGTTGACTGATTGACTACTTATTAGTAGCATGCAGGTAGTGAAATAATAAGACGTCGACAACGACAACGCGATAATAGTAAACGACCCCCGTGACCACGGCTGCCACAAAGCAGCCGAAACGTCGGGCCGTAGTTATAATAATTTTCAAGGAGATTTAACTGATATATATCGCGTTTTAAACTGTTAAAATGTTTTATTAAATTGTGTCTACTCGCGTAAACCACAGACAGTATTTAATAGTAAGCGATATGACATCTTAATTAACTTGCATCCTAGCTCTGCCTTTGTCTATAATTCCCTGAATGCTACGAGATTTGAATAGTCTGGTTTATTCAGAATCTGTCGAAATCTATTCTAGCTATTCTGGTCAACGTCGCTTTGAATTTCTGTGGGAAAAATTCGGGGAAATGACATTTGTGTTCTTAGCAACGAACATATTGCAGTTATTTTCGCTTAGCAATATAATTTTAAGCTGAAAATGCGAAATAGAAATACCAAGGGTCTAATTTTAGGGTTAGGTCAAATAGTCTTATGACATCTAAACAAGATGTGCTGTCGAACTATTTTGGCTTTGGATATTTGTAAATCCACAGACTGAAACCAAAACGCGATTAAACTTGAGGGCTTTATATCTGTGGACGATGGTTCGTGAACTACCCACCCATAGTATCCGGATTTAAAAGCGAAGTCAGAAATTAATTTAAAAGATGTTGGAGCCAATAGCAAAAGTTAATTATTTTTGACAACATAACTCTAGTTAATTTCGTCTAGTGATTGGTGATAAGTAGCCTAAATGCTACTGTGGTTTGGATAATAACCATTACAAGATGCGTATACACTTATAATATGCACATATCTATACTAATATATAAAGCTGTAGGTTTGTTTGTTTCTTTGAACGCGCTTAGCTCAGGAACTACGAGATCGAATTGAAAAATTATGTTTGAGTTTGTTAAATCAATTATCGAGGAAGGTTGGAGGCTAGAAAACATCGCGCTGTGACTAATAGAAACGAAGATACAGAATAAAATGTGAACAAAACGTGGGAAACTTTTCATCTCTGTGGATTTCAGATGCGTACGCTGCGAAAACGGTTCAAGACACCCAGAAAATAAGTATGAAAGAATTATCTAAAAAAATGACCGCGACAGTATATGTCTATCTTTTAAGATTAACTTGCAAGAACGACGGGACGCGACCGATCTTGTGGGCAGCTTAAATTGTAGCAATTGAGTTTGCAAAAACAAATTTGCATGCCCAAAATAACTAATCAACGCGGACGAAGTCGCTGGCACAGGCTATTATATAATATGTACATATGTAAACTACTATAAAATTATCCGTTACTTGATTAAGAACATTCCAGGAATACTTAACATTACTTTATATTGCATTAATATACGTAAAATTGTGTCAATATTATTGCAATTATTACTAAATTAATTATTAAATTTAACATAGAACCTATATTTTTCTTGTTAACATATTTTTAATTCCCGTGACCACGGCTCCTGCAAAGCATCCAAAAGATCGGGTCATAGTTAGATTAAATTAAAAATAAGTTAACTAATTCACGTTTGAAACTTACAAACAATAACAATAAAAAAAACAGAAACAGTTAACATCATTAGTTACATTTTACTTGAATTAATTATAGAACGAATAGCATCGTCCATGTCTTGAAAGAAACATTCCAAGTCTCTAATTTTACTTGAAAATATATGCACACAAGTTTTCATCAGTGCTTAGAAAATCAGGAATATTTTTTTCTTACGTGTTTCAATTTCCCATCTAGTTCCTGAGTTCTTTTTGTTTGCCAAACAATGGAATGGACTAATTGAAAAGTGTTTTCTTGCTTTAGCGATAGTATATTTACCTATTTATTGCAATTAAGGGAAATAAGATAAAAAAAAGCTTGGCTATATACAAATGTAACCTATAGTAGTCGTATTTCAAACAGATCTAAGATATCAGAAGCGAAAAATTTAACTTAAATAACATTTTGAGTAAATGTTTATTAAATAATGTCTGTAGTTTACGCGACTAATATGAATTTAAATACAACACGATATATATTAGTTAAACTTAGTTGGAAATTATTGTAAATTCGTCTCCCTGTGACCACGGTTGATGCGATACTGTACCGGACCGTAGTTTAAATATATTTAACTATATCACGTTTTAAACCGTTAAAGTGTTATATTTATAAATAAAAATAGAAGAATGAAATTGTCAAAGGTTTTTAAATGCTCCACGATTCGAATCCAGGACTTCGTGATCTGTGTCGAGTGTACAGACCATTACATCAACGTATACATCCAAAATTACCAATAATCTATTAAGCTCAAATCATTTTATTTTATTTGGAAACGAAATAAACAGTAAATTGCAGAACAAAAAAATACTTAACGACGAATAGATCTCAAGTTTCACTTATTTATACATCGATGGAAATACAACAACAGGAACAAGAACTAAAAAGTAATAACACTGATTTAGACACAACGGTTTTAAAGAAAATGTGGCGATCAAGATTCAAGGTACCGACCAAGTTAAAATTGTTACATTACACGTTACATTGTGAGTACACAGCAGCATTGTCAACGTAGAACAATAGAGAACCGAGGGTAACAATCCGTTAACTATCTGTAAAATATTTTTAACATCCATTAAAGTGTCGTGAAACTCCCATTTAGCAGACTTCGCCACTTTTGTCTTCTTAATTGATAATGACATTAATACTTGATCGTTTCCCTTTCACAGCGAAACAATAGTTGTCTAATTTCTAATAGGCTTAGAATATGGGTGTAACAATATATTTTGCATTTAAATACGTCACGTCTGCCGTGGCGTGACCACGGCAGTTGCAAAGCGTCCGAAACGTCGGGCCATAGTTAAAATAATTTTCAAGTTAATAAAACTTATATATATCGCGTTTTAAACCGTTAGTGTTTTGTTTAAATGTGTACTACTCGCGTATACTACAGATAGCATTTAATATATCTTGCGTTTAAATTATACAGATAATAAGCAGAAGTTATATTATTTAATTTCTATTGGGGCACCGATAGATGAGCGGTCAGTCCACAATATTAGCTTACTATTTTACCAATTTCCCACAAGTAAATGATGTATATTTTTTATGGAAAACCAAACATAGGGTGCATTAGATGAAACAGGCCATAAGACACCGAAACACGATGCGCTGTCTACCTGTTTTGGCTTTAGAAGTTACATTTGGAAATCCACAGACTGATAATCAAATGCCATTAAATTTAACGGCTTTATCATCTGTGGTAACGATGATGGTGGTTCATTTAATATACAGATTTGTCAGACGTCCTACATGTTTCAGAATAACTATACGTTTATAATAGACATATTACGCCTGGTGGGGATCGAACTACCTTCTTATTAAGAGCTAACTAACCCACTATACATTTAAGAATATTATAATTTTGAAAAGAATTCGAATTAACAACCACCTGCGTATTGTTACTGTACCGAACATAATTCAAATTTTAGCACATTTTAGCTGAACCAGAAACATACCTAATATATTAATCATATTGTGTAATATTAAAACAAATTTAATTATCTTGACGATGCGAACTATTTATCCAAAAGAATATTAACCTTCGATTTTTATATCTTCACGCGAGTAGTACATATTTAAATAACTTTCACACCAGCACAGCTTCACTAACTTTACTGTGAACATGTGCTGCGAAGCATCCGAAATGTCGGGCGGTAGTTAAAAATAATTTTCAAATAAGTTTAACTCTTATATAACGCGTTTTAAAACCGTCAAAGTGTTTTATTTAAGTCATTACATCAATAAATATAGAGCTACAAGAATGTATTCACAGGCATTTCTAATGAATGGTTTTTATAAATGTGAGGGTAGAATGAATAAAAGCATATCCAATAGAAATTCCTGTTCTCATTAAAGCAAACGGAGTAAAAAACGGTCCTTAATTAACACGCGTTCCCTTAACGCTACACGTGTATAAAACCACTGATGCGATTCAAAATCAATTTGGTGTTAAAACAATTCAATTAATTCTTGTACAAGAGCCATCGAACAGTTCCCCCGATCCAGACTCCTGATAGAATAAATCCACGTTTTCAATTCGATTCTGTTTGCGACCGAGGCTGATCGAATGAACTGTATTCTACGGTTTTCAAGAATGATATTAGGTATGTTTTATTTAAAATAGCTCCTGAAAAATGCAACAAATATATATGACACAAATATTTCTAATATTTTAAAGTTGAAAGAATTATTTAAAATAGAAGGTAGTCAAGCTGGAATCGTTTCTAACTAAAATCTTTGTTAGTTCTTTATTATTTTGCTTTATTTGGCAAACAGATAAGTAAATACTCTGTAGTTTATGATACTAGTACACGTATAACGGGTTAAAACGCGAAATATTATAATTAAACAGTTAAAAGTGTCTTATTTAATTAGCTAGAAGAGTTCTAAGGGGAAGCGGCATTTTACTTTCCTACATGAACAACATGAAAAAAGATTTGAAGAAATATTTTTTCATTATCGCTACCGCCTTTGACTCGAACACCCGTGACCGGTCAGCGCCACGTGCGACTAAATACGGCACTATATTTTAATTGCGCTAGCACTCCGCTGCGTGTGACACTAAATTTCACTCGACGTTTATGAGCACTGCACTTTCAATGTTATTGTAAATGTTTTCATTTTATACTGATTCTTATTGCGATTACTCGGGCGTAGAAATATGCATTACACACGTGTAGTAAAGCACGTGCGTAATGCTTTGGGGAGATTGTGAAAAATTTGAGAATCGTTTATAATTTCGCTATATATTAAAATTGCATTTATTTTTCAGTAAGTATTTAGATTCGTCAAAAAATGTTTGTCCATGTCTTATAAACTTATACGTGTTTGTAAATTAAATAACCTAAGGAGCTATTCATACCAGTTGTCTGGCCTAATAAATAATTTGGCAAAAGATAAATGCCCCAAACGTACAATAACAATCATTTTACCAAATGAAATGTTGTCATACAAAAATTTGACAATCGTTAGTCGTCAAAAATATCCAAGAAACAATAGTTGGCAAGTGATAATAGGCCAAACCAATATTCGGCGAAAAGGCAGAGTTTCCGTTTTGACTTTTAAAACACCTGTATACTAACTTATAAAATGTTTAATTGCATAGTAAAGAATGGTTACAATAATTTCTTGTGATAAGAATGAAGTGTCGAAACCTCGAAAATTTAATTTATAAATTCAGTAGACAGAGCAAGAACGGAGGGGACAAAAGTAAAAACGCCTGTAGAACGCGAAATCCACCTGCGGAAAGTATAAATCCATTTACCTCACATCCGGGCACGCCCGCCTATTTCCAACGGACAGAGGAAAAGGTCTGATTCTCATTCGAAGGACATGTAACAAGTTTTTATTCTAATAATTCTATTTGATATCTAATGTTTCCAAAACGCTGCTTTCGAAGTTGTAAGCTAAAACTGTCTAAATACCAACAACTTAACAGGTGGCTCTAGCTGTTATCGCGGATTTGACTTTGACTTTAGGGACACCCCCCATTTTCACGTGGTCACGATGGGATCGGGGCTGCTGCAAAGCATCAAAAACGTCGGACCATAGTTAAAATAAATTGTAAATAAGTTAACTAATATATTTTGGGATTTAAACCGTAATAGTGTTTTTTTAAAATTACATAATGCCTAAATTGTGTAAAGCTAATACCTAAATACTGTCTATAGTTTACGCGAGTAGTACACATTTAAATAAAACACTTTAACGGTTTAAAACGGAAAAGGGGGAAAAGGTTGGGGGGGGGGGGGGGGGGGGGGGGGGGGGGGTGGGGGGGGGTGGGGGGGGGGGGGGGGGGAGGGGGGGCCTTTCTCCCCGTGACCACGTTTCAAATAAGTTTAACTAATATATCGCGTTTCAAACCGTTAAAGTGTTTTATGTAAAGCTATACCTGCTAAAGATATACCTTTATATTAAGACATTTAATAATCATACTTTCTTGTTCGTCGTGGATTTGAATTCGACCAGTATCATTAATTTTATCAATTTTATTTATTTTTAAGTTAGTAAACTTTCTTGCGGAACGACATGAAAGTTATAATGATTAAACAATTAAGGTTTATTTCATACTAATTAAGTTAATAAAAAAGTTATAATGTCGTTCACACAGGAATCGGACCCGACCCGCTCTGCATATATAAAACTTTCTGACGGCAAAAGTTGTTCGGCGAATTTAATGTACCGGACGGATTGTGCCAAAATACTTGCCTATAAAGTCGTCAAAGTTACGCTTTATTATAATTCGCTTTATTAATGTTGTTATTGAAAACTGGGACTCGTATATCGCCTTACAACATGATTTTCTTTCCATATTTTCATTAAAACCTACATATCTTAGCTTCAGGACAAGCTTTGTTTTAGCAATTTTAAAACATGCCTATATCTATAGTTCCAAGGATTTTCTAATAAGATTATTAACCGTGTGACCACGGCTGCTACAAAGCGTCTAAAACATCGACCCTTACTTAAATTGTAAATAAGTTAACTTATATATTTCGACTTTTAAACCGTTAATTGTTATTTAAATGTGTCCTTTTCAGTAAAGTACAGTCAGTACTTAAGATATGTATTTGATTGATACTTCTTCGCAGACTACTATAAGCTAAAGGCTTAATGAGTAGATAAATATTCTAAAGGTGTATTTATATTATAGCATAGTATGAAAGTAAATATAAATAAATGTATAATACGGCTATTAAGTAGTCGCCTCGTAGACCCCTTATTGAATATAATTTAGGTGATGTATTAAACAATGTCTAAATTATATTGAATTACAAATAATTTAACCGGTACTTAATTAAACAGAAGGTACATACTTTTTGATTTTGTTATATTAAATTAAGAAAAACTCACCCGATGATGCAGTGACATGTTGCTCCCATTCTGAAACCGGACTATTGTCTGGAGCGAGGCGGGAGTCGACATACTCTTCGTGATCGAAGAATTAGCATTCTCTTTCTCCTGTTGCTCCTTCAGCAAGAGTCCGCGCGCTATTTTCGCGTTGAGACTCTTATTCAGATGCTGCTGAGGCAAGAGTGGGGTCTCCATTGTTTTTGTCGTGTAAGAAGGTGACGAAGTTTGACTAAAAGAGTCTGAAGACACATTGGAATCCTGACGGACGCTGATGTTAGATCCTGAGCTTGGGGATCGTTTTATCTGCTGCTGAGGGAGGGGATTATCCGGCATTTTCTGTGGTGGTCTTCTTGGTATTGGGGGTTGGATCTGAGGCTGTATTTCTGGCAGAACTCGCGTTGTTGTTATGTGGTTATGTTGTTCTGGATTATGTGGTATTTGCTGTTGTAATTGGATTTGTGATTGCGTTGGAGGTTGTGTCTGTTGTGTTTGTGGGTTACGATTGCAATCCAGGCGTGGTACATTTGGCTGTCTTCTGTTACCATTGGGGTCTGTAGGTATCGGTCTGGGAGGTGTAGGGGGAGGTACTCTTCTGGGTGGTTGGGGAGAGGACCTGCGAGGTGGTGCAGGAGGAACTGGTAATGAAGCGACGGGAGCTGTTCTCTGTGGCACCGGTGGAGGCTGTGGTTGCACGGGCTGGACTTGTGGCGGTGGCGGTATCTAAAGAAATATAATAAATGAAATTAAATAATAATTAGTTAAAACCACTTAATGCCCGTCGATAATAAGAAACGGATAATGAAAAAACGGATGGCTAGTAACTTAATCCGAAAGAGAGAGAAACTTGATAAAATTGTTCGATTTTTATTTTTTCATAGTTAGCGTCTTTCACTTTGTAGAAAATATTTTGTACTTGGAAAATGACTTTTACGGGGGGATTTTATCTGATGGATAAAATATATTTTCTTTACTTTTTTTCGTTTTGAATAACGGAATATCAGATGAGACGTTTTTGATAGCAGAATATACTTAGGTATATTGATGAAAGAGAAATACATTAATAAGTCCTGAATATAATTCAAGGAAATTAATTTATCTGATAGTATGCAGTCGGATGCTGGTTCTACTGCAAGATAGTTACATTTTAAACAGAAAGATTAAGTGGTATTTGTGGATTGAGAATGAACTTACCTTCACCGGACGGGGTGGCGCAAGCCTCGAAGGCGGGCAATAGGGCAACGCATCCGAGGGACAATAGACAAAGCCAGATGGTCTCGGTTGGGGAGGGGCACACGCCGCGGTTGAGTGTCTCCGGGGGGTACCGGTGTTCGGTCGAAGTAGCTCCATCAGCTTTTCACCAGGGGTCGCTGCCAGGCTACCCGCTCTACCGTACCTGATGGTAATACATATTCTACTTAATACTAGAAAATAACACTATTAAGTTCATTGGCGACAGTTTTAATACTTTTAGTGCTAAAAAATGAAAACCCGTTTCCCCTCTTGGGGCATTGGGCAAAGACATTTCTGTGTCCGTCTTAAAGAACAGTAAGAACAGTACATTCTTATACAAGCAGTTAGTTGACCAGACTTCTGTGCTCTGCCCGACCTAAACATTATATTGTTCTCCGGGATTCGAATACAGGACCTCTCGCGCTTAACACAATGCTAGGTAACACGCTTAACCATTTGGTTACAGAGGTGGTCAATAGTAGTGCTAAATTATCCTAAATTCTAACAGATGCCTGGCTAAATATAACTTAGTATATTTTATAAAATATAATTAATTTATAAAATATATAATATCTACGCGCTAATCTCTGGAACTACAGGTTCGAATTAAAAAAAATCTTTTTATGTTGGTTAGAACATTTATCGAGTAAGGCTATGAAACATCGTTCTGTGACTAATACAAGCGAAGATACAGCGAGGAATGTGAAAGAAATTGGGATACTTATGCTGCAAAAATGGTTCAAGATTATCCAAAAAAAGGCGGGAAGAGACGCAGTCGACGTCGTGGGTAACAGCTTATGTTTATAAAGGTGATGGGGTTTGCAAAAACGAATTTGGATGCCCAAAATAATGATTCTCGCAAACGAAGTCGCTGGCACAGCTAGTAATTAATAAAATGCAAAGTTTAAATTTTAAGATCTAATAATAAAAATAATCTATCTCAAACGTGATGATGTCAAACCGGTACATATTTCCATACTGTGTTAGATATTTTTTGAAACAAAATACACTGAATATTGAGTATTTCAATTTCTTACTTTATGTCATTAATGAGAATTAAATTACATGAATGTTCTGTTTGCGTTGTTTCAAGAAAAACATTTCCACCTCGGGGTGTTCAATTAGGGCTCGGAGTGAGCGAAGAGGCGTATTCATTACCTTGACAGTTAATTACCACCCCTTGATTAGTCGTATCGCGATTTCTGTCCATCCATTGAATATGCTGTCATCTATTACCAGTCAATAGCTGGTGTGGCACGCTTTAAAGAATTAATCTATAGTCTATGCTAATATATAAAGCTGAAGGGTATGTTTGAACGCGCTAATCTCTGGAACAACTGGTTCGATTTGAACATTTCTTTTCGTGTTGATTAGAATATTAATCTAGAAAGGTTATAGGCTATAAAACATCGCCCTGTGACTAATATAAGCAAAGAAACAGCGAAATGTGGTAAAAACGGGGAAAATAATTCACGTCTGCGGGTTTTCGATGCATACACTACGAAACCTAATCAAGATACCCAAAAAATATATACGAAAGAAAGATTCCTCTTTTGATGAACTAAAAAAATGTCCACAACATCTATCTTCTAAGATTAACTTGCAAGAACGACGGAACGCGTCCGACGTTGTTGATAGACGATAGCTTCCATTTTCAAAGATGAAAGGAGGTTTGCAAAAACAAATTTGGATGCCCAAAATTACTACTATTCTACGCGTACGAAGTCGCTCACACAGCAAGTGTAGCTATACATAATTACATATAAAGATGAATTTGTAGGGTTGAAAGGGGCAATGTCAAGAACTGGTTAATCATGAAGGAAGTTTAGCTGTTCAACCAGTGCGTTCAAAAGTTCATTTTGACGTGGATCTGTAATGTATTAAAATATTCTTTTAAAACTAAAATTCGTTCTTTGCTTCTATTACACTACTTACTTGTATTCGTTTCTGTGCAATTTTTACGTCCAGACAGTTAGTTTCACACGAGAATTTCATATTGATGTGAATGAAAAGTAGGAAATATGTTCGTAGTCATATTTCTAATTTTCTTCAAAAAACAAGTCACACTTTTCGCCTGTTAAATAAATATTACAAACATTATTTGAGCGAAAGGAATGTCTGTGATTAATTATGTTGTAGATAATTAGTATGTACTCATAAGTACGAAAAACGTAATTTGGTCTTTAAAGAAAATGTTAGAGTATAATTTAAACATATTTTACTTGTCTGGCTCTGTCTGTTGTCTGTCGTTTTATACGCGACGTTTTAGACGAGGAATATTAAATTCAATTTATGTTTAAATTGTACATAGTTCATAGAATAAAAGCTTATTTAATTTGCAAGAAATATGCATCAAAGAATGATTAAAAAGTCAGCATTTAACAAGTTCGAATCGAAAGCTACATTTTTGAGGGAACTTTTACGTTTCTCTTTGTCAGAATAGTGCCAGAATAAGTGAAGCGTTTCAGAAACCGTTGAAAGTTTAAAGCTTTTCATTTTATCTATCTAGTTTTCAAATACTGTAGTCTGTAGACTTTTAATAAACAATATTTTGTTTTTTTTTATATATTCTTTGTGGATAAGAAAAAAACAACAGTTGAAATGGGCGCAACAAATAATTTAAAGATTAAAACTTAAAATTCAAACCTCGTTCTTTAAAGCCCTTAGCAACATACTAACTCTGTACGACGAGATATTTCCGGTTTCCCATCTGAAGGTTGAAAAAGATTATGTTATTAAAAAGTATCCTTTAATTTTTAATCCTTTTTTTCTAAACTTACGTCATGTATAAATTAAACTAAGAAGAAAGAACGAATAACCTATTCTATAAAAGGTTTAAATTCGTATAAAATATTCATTTAAATTTCTATATTAATATTACAGAGCCGAGGAGTTCGTATGTTAGAACGCGCTAATCTCAACTAAATCTCTACTTATCTCAACTATTAGTTCTAAATTTTTTTTTTTTTTTGAAAAATTATTCACCTTTGTCGGCTTCCGTTACCTGCACCGCCAAAAGGATCCAAAAAAACAAAAATATATCAAATAATGATTGTTCCTTATATTATTTAAAAAAATCTACGAAAGTATATTATGACTATATTTTAAGATTAACTCCACGAACGACGCAATGATTGATTTAAAAAAGAAATCTAAAAAGTATTTAACGGCTTAAAGCTAAAGCCTCACCGTGGTCACGGGGAGACTGCTGCAATGCATCCGAAACGTCAGGTCGTAATTAAAATAATTTTCAAATGAGCTTAAATTCGTACAATGCAGACAACGTCGCGGGCACAGCTAGTATTTAATAAAAGGTATATCTTTTTCTTAATAGTTCCAAGTATCAACTATTAATAAACTATTTTGCTATTAATAACGTCAGAGTAAGGCTTTCAATTATCGATTGTACTATGAACTGCACGATATAATTGGAAACATATTTTTCTGTCCGGTCTTTACAGCAGAGATTAAGTACACGAAATTTGATAAACAGTATTAGGATCAATATAAATTCAAAATCGAAAATAAATTTAAAAAAAACTTCGACTGCAACAGCACGAAACGCTGACGATACCGTATCGAGTCCTTCCCGAGTCATTTTTTTTTTTAAATTATATAGTGCCTTCATGTGCAATAACATGTAAAAATAATGAAGTTTTCAAATGTGTTAAGATCGTATTGAATAGCTGTCGAAATTCAAAAATAAACTTTTATGCAATAAACATACATATTTTATTACTTATGATAGTTAGAACCAAAACTTGTATTTCTATACTTGTGCCCGTTGTTTGAATATTTTTTATAAATGGTTTTTAAAAATAACATACTTCAAAAGAAGGAAGTCAGACTGAATTCTTTAGTGACCGTATTCTAGACGTTTTTAGCATAACTTTATCCCTATTTTTATGCTAAGACGACAAGTATGAAAAATGCAATTTGTTATTTAATTTTACTCGGTCTTTAACCGTAGCACGTCAAGTTTTCCGAGTTCTTATTAGTTTTAAATGGAAAATTGAAAATTCATTTCCATCTTTACCAGTCACGTTACTAAAAGAATCATGTAGTTGAGTTTCTCTTATGCCATTTAATAATCGATTATACGGTAAAATGAATCGGAGGAACAAAGCCGTTTTCCCTGGGAATCGAACTTATGGCCTTTGCGCTACGATGACGACCAAGTAATACTATATATTTCGTCATTGGTCGCTTTCAAAATCGAATATTAAAAGATAATAAGCCTGAAAACATAAAATTAATTATTATAGTTCTATTAGATTTAGTAAATGTTCTGCGAATAATGTGGAAAACCGAAAAATTAAAATAATTTAACCCGCAACCGCTGCCTCGGAGCCTGCGGTAGAATTAAACTTTCCCAATTAATCATGTCCTGCCACGTTTATATGTACTTCGCGTGTTTTTCCACTATATTTTGTTAAAGGCTTAAATGTTGTTAATGTAAGTTTTGTATCGCAAAATAAATAAATACTCGCTGACCCAACAAACGTTGTTTTATCATATAAAAGTTGGAAGAGACCCGTCTTTTCGTCTTTTCGCTACTACGTGCTGCTTACTGCGCAAGAAATGAACCGGTACACGCGGGGTTTACACGTAATAATTGGTCAGTCAGATCATACACAGGATTTTCTCTAAATAATCTTATACAGTCTAACCTTTCTAAAACAAGTTTGCCTACATTTTAAAATACAGGATATTTAATGTATGGTATGATTTTTTTTATTGAAGGTGAAATGTAAATAGCTGGGCTATTTACATTTCTATATATTTTATATAACAATATGTATGTTAATAAATTTACAAACTATTTATATTACCTTATCGTAGTATAGATAATATTAAGCCAATAAAAGCTTTGCAGGGTATAATTAGTCATCTATAATCCAAGCAAAAAGATATATCATAGTGTATAAGGGCGGACATAATATGCCTTCCGTAAGCCAACAAGCGTTCGAACGCACCTGGGTCGTCATGCGTCGTAAATTACGCAATTATAAATAATTTCTCCTTATATTTAGTACTATCTTCTCGCTAAAGTGAAATCCCGCCCCCTCGTGGGGCATGGGGCGAAGACATTTCTGTGTCCGTTACACTGATGAGTTTTACTTACAGGCAAGTAGCCGGTCAGACTTATGTGCCCTGCCCGACTAAAACAATATACAGTTTCTCCGGGATTCGAGCCTAGGACCTCTCACGATGAACGTAATGCTTGGCACCATATAGCTATAGAGGCGGTTGTCCTAAAAAGGAAGCTTTTAATATTATACTAAACATGAACAACCATGACACGACTGCGACTGTAACTAAGTTTTTAATAATAACGTATATACTTTAAATTTTCCGACAACTGGGAACAGCTCTCATTTCTCTTAAATCCAGTGACTGATAACAGTATAGCTATATTAATGATGGATTAAAATCGATTTTCGATTGAAAAAAAAGACTTATTCTAAAACTGAAATAACACCGGACGTAGGATTACCCGGTCATCGATATCTTTAGTCAAGTATGATTGCAGATCACAAAACTACTATTAGTAGACCAACGAACGGTATAATGCAATTAATATTATCACAAAAATGCACCTACTATTGTAAAACTGCTTCTTTAAATATATTCTTATTCAATGATCTTAACCACATGATAGCACTATCTAAATTAAATTTGCTCTATAGTAACAGCACGGAACACCGTGGATGCGGACGATTCAAGTCCTGCCCGTGTTGTAATTTTTTTCAATTTATAATCATTTCATTTAAATATTTACCAATGGAACTCTAAACTGCTTCTTACTCAGAGAATATTTTATGAGTTTTTAGATACCTAAAAATAAGCTTTAGTGCCATCATCAGAGAAATTAATGGCCCTTGACTGAAATTCTTAATAATCTCACCAGGAATAATGGAGCGGAGATAAGAGCGTGTTAACGATGTAAGTGGGTTCCGTCCCGAAGGCGGGAAATGAATGAAAACTTATTGATTCTGTAAGCTTTATAGTGGCTTCGGCTTATGTATATTCATATAGTCGCTGCAATAACTCCTTAATTGCTTTTATTACGTAGTACGTCTTATATAACAATAGGGCACAGTTATACAAAATATTTCCTTCTGGCTATTTACAGTAAAAATTGATAGTGTTATAAAAGAGACGATAAAAAAAGAGATTAAGTATTTTAAAAACATTGTGTTAGATACGCTTGCTTAGAACCAAAGTGTCTATGACATGTATCAGTAGGCGAGGGCCTTGGAAGATTCGAGTGCCAACTGTAGAGATTAATAAGGATTGGAATAAGAATCAAACTATTAAATATTAATAGACCATGTGTGGCGTGTTTATGCGTTAAAAAGCCACGTCGTAACGCGTTAAGTTCCTATATGAAGTTACTACAAAAAATATTTTAATATTATACACTTTATCTTATCCATATTTTATATGAACGAAAATGAATATTTCATGAGGCTTAGCACTTTCTTTAGTAGAGAAATGTAATATTCGATTAATCTTAGTCAAATTCACAACTTAGTCCAGCGCGTACAGTGAGTTAGGAAACTATGCCTTGGGTAGGAAATTGCGCCGAGGAATTTTAAGCTGCACGACACGATTATGCGACAAAATTTTATAAACTAAAATTGGAAGTTAAGTTAAAAGACGCTCAAATATACAACCTAGGACATAACGAATAAAAAACCAGACATAGTGATCACATAAATAAGTGATAATACTATAATGTAGTTAAACGTTAGCTACATAATAAAAGTTGTTGTTTCTCTCAGAATACGCGGAAAACGACTGAAGAAGACTGTTAAATATATATTTTTAATATAAAAATCAATAGCTTGTACATGACTGCATTTACAAACCTAATCCTAACATAGCCGAAGCAAATTAAATGAACAATAATATCGTATGGCGAGAAAATATAATAGCATCGTAATCGTGTCGTATGTTGTTTAAGCATCTGCCCCGTTAGACGTTCACCGGAAGCACTGTGTCGTTAGCAAACATTGCCTTTATTAGTTTCATACTCAGTGTTTGCTTGCTCGACTTATTTTATTGCATTCCGACACAACTTCGCTTTATTCTAAGTGCGTTTTAAAACAGGTCGTGGTATGTTTTTACTTGATAGTGGGGTTTTATATACAAATAAGAAACAATTACAGTATCCCCGTAAATATGAAATCCGCCTTTACTTAATTATTTTGCAAGAAGCCGAATGAATAATATCCAAAACTAAAATAGGTTGACACCACATTCTTGTTTAGATGCTATATGGCTGCGGTATTTCACGTACCATCAAGCGAAGATCATGCTGGCCTGTCCTCCTCAATCATAAAAAGATACAAAAATTGGTGCCTGGGGTACGATAATCAATAAGTATAATTATGAAATCAAATGTATACTTTAAAAGTACATAAATACTTCTACAATGAAGACTGCTTTACATTATTAGTTAATACAAATTTACTCACACGACAAAGATGGCCGTGGCAATGACGTTTCTGTCAATATTAAATTTTTGACAATTGACTTCCTAAGACTACAGACTATCTCTTTCGCTTATCATTTATTTAATTTAAATGGCAAACGAAACTAGGCTGGCGGATTAAGAACTTACCGTCCTCTAAGCGAGTCGTCTCCATCCTCAGCATCTGGTTGAAGCTGCATCCCGCTCTGAGCCCACGTCACTGTGAGCCAGTCTGTGGACAAATATAGACGACATTTATATCCGATATACATAGCAATAGTCCATTAAAATAAATTTAATCGTTTTATAACGAGTTGAAGTTCTGAAAAAGCTTCTTTTATAAAGGAGAATAGAGAAGCATAGCCAAATAACATCTAAGCAAGATGCGCTGTCGATCTATTTCTCTTCACGGCTTTTTCATCTGTAGACGGTGGTTGTGATCCGGGCGAAATTTCTACCACCCAATTAATATCTCTATTTTAGAAAATAATGATTAGGTTAGGAAAATGTTGACCGTGCTGGGGATCGAAAGCACGACCCGTTGTTTATTAGCCATAAATTGCTACCTCTACACTAACGAGTCTGTTAAAGCCTTTTACGATAAACAGAATAGCCAACGATATAGGATTTTTAAATAAAGGCTTCTTGTTCCCGAAATTAGTTCTAAGTTGTACTCCACTGTCTATACATATGAAAAAATGTCAAATAAGTTGAACTAATATATATCTCGTTTTAAACCGTTAAAGTGATTTATTTAAATGTGTACTACTCGCGTTAACTATAGACAGCGTATACATCATTAAAAAACTGGATTATCCAGGCTCGATAAGATAATTCTAAATAAATATCTAGATACATTTTTCGTAACTCAACATACAACAAAAACACGATAATAATCTGTGAAAATAATCCCGCAAAGTTATTGAATCGAAAGCCGCCATTCAAGCAACGTAATACCACGGTAATTAGAATTCAACAAAACTTTCGCAAACTCAAACGGCCGACACTATATTGTGTATTTTCCAAGAGATTGCGTTAAAATAACAATAATTAATAATATTTAGGAGACTTGTTTCTGAGCCGTTGCTATGGTAACGGAGAAAGCTAGAATAAGCTAAGTCTATATACTATCTAGATTTTAAAGTCGACACTCAATCGCCGAACTTCAATTTTTTTAAATGTATTTTTGAAAAACAATATTGAAAAGGAATCCGAGAGGTGGGGAATATCATTGTATATACTTAATCTATACTCATACATATATAATGCTCAGAAGTTTATTTGTTTAAACGCGACAATCTCAGGAACTACCGATTCGAATTGTTATTATTTTTGTATTGGTTAGAGTCAAGTGAAAGACATAAATAGGTGTGATGAGACAGTGAAAAATGTTAAAGAAACAAAAATTCATGGCTTAGGTATGAAAGAAAGATTTCCTTTAAATTATCGAAAAGAATGTCTATCTTCGGTTCGACGGGATACCGACGAAATCATGGGTAAAAGTTATAATTTTAAAACAAAGGGGGTAGTTTGCAAAAATAAAAATAATGCTTCAAAAAACTATTCCAGGGACAAAATCGTGGGCTCAGATAGTAACATATTGCTGAATCAAGAATAGCCAGTATATAACATATATATATATCAATGAAACGGATACAAAAATGTGTTCGCCCCGTGCCTCTGTAGTGTACAAGGAATTTTACTTTATATACAGTTTAAATAGTAAAATCTGAGATAATAAGTCAAGAGAGGAAAAGTCGTAAAGCGAAGTATTGGAGCCCGGTGCTTAAGCTTTATTGATTTCCACATTTTCCTACTGTCGACATCTGAGAGGGATTTAAATGTTATTTCTAATGGCCTATTTATGAGGGATTTTTATTCACAAATCACATCAACATAATTGCGTATTTATCGTGTATTTGATTAATTCGAATTTAATGATGTCTTAAGTCAGCGAACATCAAATGAGTACTTTATGTTTTTTTTAAGGGAGCCATGTCCTCGTTGGTGTAATGTATAACTAATAAATCAACGAACGTGAGTTCGTTCCCCACCGGAACATTTTTATAATCAATGTATACTTTTTCTGAAGCATGGACTTTTTCTGGAAATCCAGATATTGAATTGGTCGTAGAAATATCGACATTTCGTCCTGTTCACGAACCATCGTTCACAAATAAAAAAGACAAGTTTAATCGCGTTTAGATGATATCCGTGGTATGTTAACTGCCGCCAACTTTATGCTTGTTTATCCTGCTCTGCTACAAAAAATAAAAAAAAGCCACACAGTGAGCTACTAAACCAACAACGTTCACAAAACGCACCCCATAATGTTACAGGCTGTTAGATAAATCAATATTCGCATTATTTACAATAGTTTCGTATTCAAGTCGTACTTATGATTGAATTATGTTAAACTCTAGACGTATGCCATGTGACGAGGGTCAGCGCGGGTGACCATGAGTAACGCTTTTTGCATCAATGTCCCGATTAGTCACGTTAAGTTGTCCCGTTTTTGTAGTTCTATGTGATTTATTAGATGGCTGATAAAAACAGGATTAGTTACAATTTTAGCGGTTTTAAACATTTTTTTTTTAAATAAAACACTTTAACGGTTTAAAACGCGATATATATTAGTTAAACTTATTATAGTGAAATTTATTTTTAACTTCGGCCCGATGGATGCTTTACAGTAGCCGTGGCCACGAGTTTCAAATTAGTTTAACTAGTATATATCGTGTTTTAAACCGTTAAAGTGTATTATTTAAATGTGCACTACCCGCGGAAACTATAGACAGTATTTAAATTTTATTTTAAGTAGAATATTTTGTATGATATTCTGCAGGTCACCAGATACCTTGTCACGACAAAATTACAAGTACTGCGTAGTAATAGCATCCAGAACATAGAAGCAAAAGATATATCAGTTTAATTTCGTGTTTTATGCAATTGAAAGTGCTGTCGTGGAGTATAGACAATAATTTTAGCAAATAACATCTTAATAAACGGTAATGTGGTTTTTAGGTCCGGTGGAAGCTGGTGGTGGCTTTGACTGCCACAGGGCTAAAAAATTTTGTAGACTAATTGATATTTATTGTAAATATTTAAAACCCAAAAATTGGAGCATTTTTCCCCTCATCCTGTGACATCACAAATTTGTGCTCCTTCGACCTTTAACATTAAAAAAAATGCAAATGAATCCGATAAATAGTGTGACATTGTCATGCTTTTTGGTATCAGTACTTTATTACATTTAATTACGCTGCACTGTCGACCTGATTTGGCCTTCGACATTCGGAAATCCACAGACTGAAACCAAAACGTCACCTTCACGTTCATGTCATTACAGAATGGCGACATTTTTACGACCCATTTAAAGTTCAGATTATTTTGGACCAACAGACCTGTAAAGTTCAGAACATCAAATTCTAGAAATAGGTGTTTATTTCTGTCTACAATTTTTGATTCGTAAGATATAAAAAAAATAACATCGCATTGCATAACACTTAAATTTCCCTCAGACTTTATAAGCGGCTTTTAAATTTTGCGGTTTTGTTAAGCACGACTTATAGAAATGAAAAAGTTTTGTTTTAATTCAACAGAATAAGAAAATTATAATAAAATAATATCTAAGAGCAAACTAATCTGCAAACAAACAGCATCACTACGTAGTATAAAACAAAGTCGCTTTTCCTGTCCCTATGTGCGCAAATCTTTAAAACTACGCAAACGATTTTGATGCCGTTTTTAATCATTGCCATGTAAGTATCCGTATTGCCGCCGAGCGAAGTCGGGGCGGGTCACTAGTAATAATTAAATCCGTCAATTTTTCTTGTTCCTTTTTTACTAATAAAGTTATTTAATTACTTAAACTTATGGCTTGATGATATTTTTTACCATAGTAAATAATGTAGTAATTTACAAAACATATGTAATGTAATGTAAAACTTATTGAAATGTAAATATTTTTTTTTATATAATATGTACAGGCACACAAAAACTACTAATAGAAAATTAGTATGTATTGATAAAATTATCAATGGAAGGGCATGAAATCTAATTTAATGTTGGATCTTAATATCCGGAGTTTTTTAAAATTCAAGTAAATCATAGTCACCCTATTGGTCCCAAATCCATAAGATTAATAGAAATGTGTTATCTAAAATTTAGTATACACATACTTCTGCTTTCTGTGACATAAGATATAAGTGACAGCGACAATCAGTGTGTATGGTATTCAACAATTTTTAACTGTTGGTTATGACAGCTCGTAATTCAAACAAATAAAGCCAGTATAAATTCTACATAGCATTATTATAAACTTGAACCACAAAAATAAGGTATTAAGATCAAAACTGCATTGGATTAAATACAAATATAATACAATTTTATTCTCCTATTGTACTTGATATAATTACAAAAAAACTTGTATGTTGTAGAGGACACAGAAGTTTGATTCACTATTTTCCTGTGAATAAAATTGATCATAGAAGCTAACACAAATATGTCCCTGCCTTATGCCTCGCATAGGTAAAAGTGACACACAATTTCGTATTTTTAACATGGCATGGGGTTCACTGTAGGTGATATACGCCAGCACTAAACAAAATACGCTGTCGACCTATTTTGGCTTTAGATATACGGAAATTCATGGACTGAAACCGAAACGCGATTAAGCTCACGGCTTTTTGATTTGTGGACGGTAGTTCGTATCCGGACGGAATTTCTATAACCCTACCACCTATTTAATAGCCAGGTTCTCGGTTTCAGAAAAACTATAGCTTGAAAATTTTGAAACATGTTGGACCTGATTGGGATCGAGCCCACGACCCATTAATTGTTTGCCATTTATTGGTACCATTAGATCAACCAGCCCGTCAAAGATTTTCACAGCATCAGCTTACAACTTGGGCCATACATCGTTTCTCACGTCAAGGGTTGAACGGCGCAGACCACTCTATTCTGATATATCGCCTGATCTTTATATCGAACGCTCCCTAATGCTTCTTTACATAGTCACTTCGATATATCGAGAAACTTAAAGTAGACATCCTTAAATCATAATAATATTTTTTTCGGAATATTTCTATCTTTCGTCTTTTTTCTATTGTTCAGATTAGTTTATTCGAAACTGATACCCAGTACTTTTTATAAATTCCAGATAAAAGTTGTCATTTTTTGGTACTAACTTTTGCTTTGAAATTGGTAGTAGGTTTTTATTTATTATATTATTTAAATAAAACACTTTAACGGTTTAAAACGCGATATATTA